CTGGCCTCGAACTCACAATGATCCTCCTGCCTCAGACTCCTGAGTGCTGGGATTACAGGCATGTGCCACCATGCCCAGCTCTAACGACATTCTTCATTAAAAAGGAACAAGATTCCTTGGAGAAATGACTGATTCTAGGACTGATCAGGAAATATATAAAACTTGTGCCAGAAGTCAGGAAGTTTTAAAAAAAAAACAAAAAAGAAGCACAATGATAGAGTATATCAAAGGCACACATTATGGGAGACCTCCCAATGACCAAAACACAAAATAAATCGAGTAGTATTAAATTAAATTATAGTATTAAATTATAGTAGTATTAAACCCAAAGTACCCTTGAGCTCATACTGATATAAGTAGATGATATGTTGAAATGATAAATAAGTAACCAAATGGAGAATAGGCAAATATCTCCTGAGAAAACTTCCAAGTACATAATTTTTAAGATTTTTCATTCTCAAGGAGTGAATATAATACCCCACTCCTTAAGTATGAACCTGGCATAGTGACTTCCTACTGAAGAATACAGTAATGAAAGAACTTTTTAAAAATTAAATAGGCAGGGGCTGGGGATTTAGCTCAGTGGCATAAGCACCTGCCTTGCAAGTGTGTGGTTGTGAGTTTGATCCCCAGTACTGATAAAAAAGAAAAAGACCAAAAAAATTAAGTAACATCAGAGTATGACAAGTACTCTGTCAGTCACGTACTCAGGATCAGCATCTACAGAGTTAGGTCACGTTATGGTGTGTGCCCTGTAAACAGTGTGATAAGAATGGCACTTTTCCTCTGTAGTCTCACTCCTCAAATCCTGTAACCTAGTCCAATTTTGAGAAAAGTATCAAACAAATTCTAATTTAAGGACCAACAAAATCAATATTTTTAAAACTGATTATTAAAATCATCAAAATAAAGCCTGAGAAACCATTATAGTCAAGAGGAGCCCAAAGTGATATGACAACTACATTCAATGTCATGCCCTGAGTGTGATCCTGGAAGAGAAAAAGGATATTAGATAAAACTGATGAAATTTGAATTAATTTTGGACTGATTAATAAAAATGCAATAACATTGTTTCATTAGTTAGGACAAATATACTGCACAAACATAAGATGTTAATGAGAGGAAAATTTGTGCTCTGTATACTGTCTTTGCAATTTATAATTTTAAAATTTATCAAAGAATAATATACTTGATAAGATGTAGAATCAACATGAAAAAGTCAATAATTTTTCTATACATCTGTGGTTCATATATTATTATGAACTACATGAGAAAGAAATTGGGAAAATTATTCCATTCACATATATACACACCAAAAAACATACCCAGGGGTCATTCTAACCAAGAAAGTCAAAGACCTCTACAATAAAGATTACAAAAGACTGAAGGAAGAAACTGAAGAAGATACTGGAAAAAGAAAAGGCATCCCATGTTCATATAATCACTAGTATAAAATGTATGTATAATCACTAGTATAAAATGTAGTATAATCACTAGTACTAAAATGGCCACATCACAAAAAGCAATCCACAGATTCATGCAATCATCAACATTCCAGTGACATTCTTCACAAAACTAGAAAAAAATCCTAAAATTTATATGGAAACACAAAAGACCCAGAATAGCTGAAGTAGTCATAAACAAAAAGAGCAAAACCTAGAGGCATCACGATATCCAATTTATATATTAGAAAGCCAGAGTAACCAGCGTGGCCTGGTATAAATATAGACAAGTGGACAGAGTAGACTAGAATATGCAGGATCGAGTCCAAATTCTGATTCTTGACAATGGAGCCAAAAATACCTTGGAGAAAAGAGCCTTTTTAACAAGTAGTGCTGGGTTAACTGGATATCCACTTGGAGAAGATTGATATTAGATTCGTATCTTTCATGATATACAAAAACCAATCCAGCATGGATCAAAAACTAGGTAAAATCTGAAACTTTAGAACTATAGAATAAAACATAAAGGAAACTCAATAAGCTCAGGCAAGGAAGTCCTGACTAGGACTTCAATGACACAAGAAATAATAGGAAGAAGTAACAAATGGGACCACCCTGAATTAAAGTTTCTGTGCAGTAATGAAAAACACTAGCAGCATAAAGACAGTCTACTGAATGCTAGAAAAATCTTTGCTGTACTCTTCCAACAATAGATTGCTAGAATATATAAATAAGTCCAAAAAATTAACAGCAAAAAATCAAATAGCCTGATCAATAAATGGACAAAGGATAAGTACACATATTCTCAAAAGAAGTATAAATGTTCAATAAGTATATGAAAAATTGTTCAAAATCTTTAACTATTAGTAAAACACAAATCAAAGTACATTGAGATTCCATTTCAGAGCCAGGGATTTGGTTCAGTGGCAAGCACAAAGTCGTGAGTTCAATCCCTGGTACAAAAAAAAAAAAAAGTTCCATTTCATCACTGTCAGAATGGCTGTCATCAAGGATACACAAAACAATGCTTGTAAGGAAGGCGCTGAGAGCTGCTACCTTCAATAGGAATGTAAAGTATTGCAGCCCTATAATGGTTAAGCTTAATTTGCCAACTTGATTGACCTGGGACCTACCTAGGGAATCAGTAGAGCATACTCTGCTTGTCTGGATGAGCCTTGGAGGTTTGGCCTTGGGGTCAGTATCTGATTCCCAGCCTCTTCCTCTTTTGCTCTACCATCTATTTAATGTTTCTGTATTGCTTCCATCCAACCACACACGGAAACCACAAACAAAAATAAACCCTTCCTCCTTTAAAATGTGTATATGAAGTCTTTGATCTTAGCAACAGAAAGCTAATACAGGCCACTATCAAAGTCGCTATGAAGGTTTCTCAAAAACCTAAAAATGAGGTTACAATTGATCCTTAGTGTATTCCTCAAAGAGTTAAAGTCAGCACACTAAAAGAATACCTGCATATCTATGTTTATTGAAGCACAGTGCACAAGAATCAAGAGACAGCCTACGTTTGCATCAGTAGATGGAAAGGTAAAAATACGTGGAAAAAGATGTACAGATGAATAGGTAAAGCAACACAATGGAGTATTATTCAGCCATACAGAAGATTGGAATTTTGTCATTTGCAGGAAAATGGATAGTCATCATGTTAAACAAAATAAGCCAGACTCAGAAAAGACAAATATTGTGTATTTCTCTAATATGTGAAATCTAAAAAACTGACATGAAAAGAGGCTTAGTAGACAAGAGGATGACAGTAAGGGGAGGAGGTACAGGGGCAGATAGTAAGAGAAATAGATGTGATCAAAATATATACATTTAAAAACTAACGCTTTTTAAAAATCAATAGACATTAATAAAAAGTAATGTATTGGAGTAATATAGTGAATGTGTATGTCACTTCCACCCAGAATTAGGACAGTGCCAGCAACTAGAAACCTCTCTTTCTCTTTTCAACTGTGTCACCGCCTTTTACCCTAGAAAAAAGTCCACACAAATAGGAATTTTATGACAACACCCTACTTTTCTTTATAGTATTTCCACTAATTTGCATCCCTAAAAAGTTATAAAGTAGTTTTGCTTGGTTTTGAAGTTTATATTTACATAAATGTAATCATACTGTGTATAGTTTTGGGTGTTTTGCTTAAAATATTTCTGTGTTGCTGCATGTAGTTACCTATTACTTATTCATTTTTATTGCTGTACAAAATTGCATTGTATAAATGCACCAATATGTGTATATACATTTTATTGTCACTGGGCATTTTAGCTGTCTCTGGTATGTAACCCTGAAAAGAATTTTCTGACCATCAGATTTGTGGAGCACTAAAATTTGATGTGCCTTTTAGACATTTTCCTTAAGAGTATGCATTGCTGAAGGCCAGGAAAAAGAAGCTGCTATTGGAATGTTGTTCAAGGGCTACAAACTACATAGAGAGGCTCAGAAAGCCCAGGGCTGCTGCTCGTGGCTTACTAAGAGACAGTAGGCTAGCCCGGTGCCTCAAGATAGTGAAAACCTTCCTTCCCAGAGACACACAGGCCAGCTCCTTTACCATTTTATCCACCACTTTGCTAGTGATATCTGTGGGCCAGACCTTAGAAACCCTGATCTTACAACAATTTCTTATGCTTTTTATGCTTTTACAGAGAATAAATCTATAGGGCAGGCTCCTGTCTAGGCGGTCAGATAGAGTGGAGGCAGTAAGTCTCCCTTGCCTTCCCCACAAATCCTCCTGGCAATGCAGGTTTCTGACTCAGGGAAGGAACTTACTAAATTTTCAAGCAGATGAGTATGAGTATATTAAAAGATACAGAAAAGACAGACTGACTGACAGAGACAGAAATGAACATCTAAGGTTGAGTCGAGGTGAGCTATCCTCATTTATCTTGCCACCATAACTGTATTTCTCACTGAATATCTTTGAACTAATCAAATTTTTATTTTTATCAACAGTACTTCTCAGGTTAGCATATTATGTTTTATGTTTGTCTACTTTAGCCTAAATATATTTAAGTCATATCTTTTGTGTATGATTTAACTGGAAGACAAATAAACCTAGTAATCTTGGGTTCGGAAATTAGGCAGAACAGAATCCCACCTTTGCTATGCCTCCTCTGAGCTGGGTAACCTGCACTTTCCTTTTCTGAACCACAGTTTCCTCACAAGTGAAAAACAGAATAGTAAATTTACTTTGTAAGATGGAATGGTTTAGTACAAAAATATATTCAAAGTATTTAACATAGTTCCTGACACAAGAGAAAAAACTAATATATAATGAAGATTATTGTTGTTGAAAATTATACAGTGATTCACCTATTAGTTCCTTTCTTATGCATATGATCAGACACCTTTGAATACAACTTCAAAGGTTTTAGAATTCTGCTGCTTAAAAAGTTAACCTGTGACATTTGGCTTTTTATGTTTCCCATGCTGATTAGAATCCCTAGCAGGATGAAAAGTGAAGTCTAATGTGAGCGAAAGGCTTTGGATTGGGTCTCCCTTCCAGTTATACCACAGGCCAAATTTATGTCTCTTTCCATTAGATTTATAATTGGAGATTTGCTGGATTCAGAAAATGACATCTTTGAGCAGTCCAAAGAATGTGACCTTCATAGATCAGAGGAGTCACAGAAGGCCTTCGACCATGGAACAGAGCTCATCCCATGGTACGTGTTGTCCATCCAAGCTGATGTGCATCAGTTCCTGCTGCAGGGGGCCACAGTCATCCACTATGACCAAGACACACACCTCTCTGCTCGCTGCTTCCTACAGCTTCAGCCAGACAATAGCACACTGACTTGGATGAAGCCCCCCAGTACCTCCCCAGCTACTACTAAAGCAAAACTTAATGTGCTCAATAACACAGGTGAGCCTGGCAAGTTCCCATTGCTGGGCAGTGCTGGATTAAGCAGCCTGACAGAGGGGGTCTTAGATCTGTTTTCATCAAAGGCTGTGTACATGGGACACCCTAACATTGATCTACACACTGTGTGTGTTCAGAACAAACTGAGTAATATATGTCTGTCAGAGACTGGTGTAACTCTGCTGTATGGACTTCAGACCACAGACAATAGATTATTGCATTTCGTGGCACCAAAGTACACAGCAAAAATGCTCTTCAGTGGACTGCTGGAGCTCACTAGAGCTGTGAGAAAAATGAAGAAGTTCCCTGACCAAAGACAGCAGTGGCTACGGAAGCAGTACGTCAACCTCTACCAGGTAAGCAGAGTACCATGCCTCTCTCTCGAGTAGTGGGACCCTCAGGAATACATATTCTCATTCCACAAGTTCCCAGCTCTGCCACTTATACCTGTGTGACTTTGTGCAGCTTTTACTTAGCCTCTCAGAGCCACAGTGCCCTTTTTCATGGAAATCATATCAATCTTTGTTCATGGGATGGCTGGAAGAGCTGAGTTAATGCATAAAAAGCCACAGTATAAACTTGTATGTGTGAAGAAGAGCATCTTCTCATATTAGGTCCTGTGATTATTTTGTTATGAAAATAGTTATTATAGTCATTATAGTTCTTATATCTGGAGAGAAGCTGGTTCATGCAAGCAATTTCATTGGCTAATGGTTTTAATCAAAATTACTGTGATCTGGGGGCTGGAGATTTAGCTCAGCGGCATAAGCACCTGCCTTGCAAGCAGGCTGTCGTGAGTTCGATCCCTGGTACCGATAAAAAGAGAAAAAGAAAAAATAATTACTGTGATCTGAATGGTTTTATGGTTAGTGACTAGCTGACACATTGGAAACTTTCCCTTTGGAAATTGAAATTCCAATTCATTACCTAACATACCATGTGACTCTGGAGAGTTTTGTTTAACTTATTCTGTAATAAGTTACAGAATTGTAGATCTAATTGTAGATCTTTTAAGGTTAAAAGAAATGTTCCCAAATGTGGAATAATTCCTGCCTAGAGTTCTTCTTCATTAGGTTTATAGTGGCAGCAAGCAGTGTCTCACAATCTGCTGCACAAGTTCTGCGAGTTTCTCCTTAGCCTCAACTTACTAGGTGCTTTAACTGTCCAGCTAAGAGTGATGACAGGGCTAGGATAAATGAGGTAATACAACTCACAGCACCTCCACAAGACAGAGTTAAGGCCAAACAGCTCCAGCTGTCATTGTCACTTTGGAAATGCAGATGATGTTCTTCCTCAGTGCACCATTTTACAGGTGCCATTTGCAAGGATAGGCAGCCTATCTTGCACTCAAGATTTCTTTCAGAACAAAAAAATGGAAAGAACCAACACAGTGGGCATTTTCTCCTCGCATAGGCCATCTCCCAAACTGTCACAGGGAGTGCTGATATAATACTTAGAGAATAAGGGTCAAGTGGATCATTGTTAATATTTAATCTCCATGTGTAATGGATTTTTCTGCTTCTGAAAAGCTGAGAAGGGCTGGGGATTTAGCTCAGCGGCATAAGTGCCTGCACAAGGTCACGACTTCAATCCCTGATACCCCCCCCCAAAAAAAGTAACTGAAAAGCTGAGGAATAACCCTAATTAAAAATCAATATTTATGATAGCTCCTGAGAACTTGTCTTTCAAACAGCTGCTAACAGTGAAAGCTCCCTGTAGAACTCATAGGAAGTAGGTATTTTGATTTCTATTTTAGATAAGTCAATTAAAACTGACTTTGTGACATACAGCATCAGTATTCTTGTTAAGTGTTTTGTTCATTTGTTTTGTTGTTGTTATTGTTGTTGTTGTTTTGGAGACAGGATCTCACTGTATAGTGCAGACTAACCGTGGACTCACTATGTAGCCCAGGCTAGTGATAATCCTCCTGCCTCAGCCTTCCAAGTTCTGTGATTACAGGCATGTACCACCATGCCGAGCTCATTAAGTGATTTACAATACATGTTAGCACATGCCCTGAGAATGCCTAATACAAAAGGCAGGGTGGGAACTATTTAAATTTATCTGTTAGTTAAATAAATTTTTGAGAAAACTTTTTTGGATTTTTACAAACTTGTTAACAGTCCTAGAACAAGCCAGGCATGGTGGCACATATCTGTAGTCCTAAAGTAGGTTTTAAATCAACATAAGAATCCAAGCAGCCAAATCGATAAATTTTGAGATTTTGTTAGCTGAGCTCAGTGACCACTCGCATAGACCCCTGTTTCAGAGTCAAACCGAGTGGCCCCAAACTAGAGGGTTACAGAACATTTAAAGCAAAAAACCTCTAAGCAAGATATCCTGTTGGAAACAGTTTAGCTATAATCTTGTGTTAATTTTGTCTGACACTTGTATCCTGCTTCTTTGTTAAGCAGGTTAATTTTTCTCTCTTGTGGGTGCAGCTCATTCTGCTTTTCTCATGGGACTTGTACCTGAGTAATTTTTCACTCCACTGGGTCATATAGAGGTCACAAGTCAAATACAGGGTACAAGACAGCATTGATTATGCTAAGCTACAATGTTCCCAGCACTCAGGAGGCTGAGGCAGGAGGATTGCTGCAATTTTGAGGCCAACCTGAACTGCATAGTGAAACACCCTCTCAAACAGACAAAAAAGACAAAAAAAAAAAAAGTCTGAGAAAATTTCTTTATTCCCAGTTTGAGGAATGGTCATACAGAAAATAAAAATAATCTTTCCAACATTAGCTTTGCCTTGTGCAGTGAATGTATATGAAGTTACTTTCAAATGCTATAAGCATTTGTAATTGATCCTTTAGAGAGAGTGACAAGAAAGCAAAGAAGAATAAACAGGAACATTTGTGGTGAAGCCTTGGAAAGCCAAGGAAAAGAAAGAGCTCTGGGAAGTTAGGAGATCATATCCTGAATACCTAACTGGATGCATGTTCACAGTGTCACACTATGCAGGATGTCCTGGATCCCCCAGGCTTCCGTCCACCTTCAGATTGGCAGCTCAACTGTTTGAGAAGCTCCAAACACCACAGAAACCACATACCTATATTGAAATAGCATCAAACAAGATGAAAGATCTATCTGGCATAGTGTAATAACAGACAGACAGAAATCACATTTTGCTTAAACATTATCATACCTTGTTCCCTACCTCCCACATCAGTAAGTTCATCAAAGCCCTGATTTATAAAATAAGCCTTAATGAATTTTCCTACAATGTTAGTTCTGGCATGTAACCTTTTAATCCAGGTTGGGGAATATATTTTTCCTACTTACTGATTCAAAGCACACTACTGGTACTGATCAGGGACATTACCAGGACACATACAGGTCAAAAGACGGGACTTAGAAGACATGGCCACTTGGGTGGTCAGGTCCTTGCTCCTCCGTGGCTGTCTGTGCTCGTCTGCCTCTGGGAACTGACTGGTAGCCATTCACGGATTTACTTCCCCGTTGGTTGCTGCTGCCTTGTGTGTTCAGCACGTGGTTCTCTCACAGGAGGATGGTCGGTATGAAGGCCCAACTCTGGCTCATGCGGTGGAGTTGTTTGGTGGCAGAAGGTGGAGTACCCGGAATCCCAGCCCTGGCACGTCAGCAAAGAATGCCGAGAAGCCCAATATGCAGAGAAACAACACCCTCGGCATAAGCACCACCAAGAAAAAGAAGAAAATCCTCATGAGGGTAGAGTGGTATTTGTTTATTAAGCATCACACCCAATATTCCAGGACTGTTACTTGGTTTATTTCACCCATAAATCATCTTACATCATTTGAGTTGCGCATAGGTGAGGTATAAGACGTACAGGAGCTGACATGTCCTCTTGGGCTCCAGGGCCTGGGCCAGGAACCAAGGCAATACCAGGGAAGCGACCAGGTTCATAGAAGGACGTAGAGATATTAACACAGTGTCAGCTAAATAAAAGCCATTGTCAGGCATCTGCATAGTCCTGTAAGAGCTGAAAAAAGGAAAATAGAAGCTAAGAGATGGCAGAGAAGACCTCACAGAGCAGTTGACAGGCCATAAAGGATGTATGGGAGTTACCAATCAGACCATTGGAAGGTATCCCTGCAGAGGAGACAGTGGAGGTGTCTGCAGACGTGGCTTATTCAGGAAAGCGCATGCCATTCTGGGGGACTGGAGCATGAGTTCTGTGGTGGTTAGGGAAGGACTAGAAGAGGAATCATTTAGGAAGGTCCTAAGGGTCCATAATGTTGTATGTACAACAATTTAACATTTATTATCACTGTATATATTATATTACATGATTATAAATCATATATTATCACTATATCATGATAATACATATTTTTCATGACTATCTAAAAAGTATCCGATTCTTTCATACAGGAGGCTGTTTGTGATCAGTAGAACTTTATCTGCTTCACAGTTGTGCCTGGACACTGAGATTCCAGGGTTTGTGGGCCACCTCTTTCTGCCCTCCTCCTGCAAAGTCCTGCTTTAGAATGACACTCAAATTGGATAATGTGACATGAAAATTCTTGGTGCACCTTACCAGGAGGAGACAGTATTGAAGGCCAATGGGTTTCAAGCAGAGTTCTGCCTGAACTAACACAGCAATGAGAGGGATGTAGGCTGGGAGTCACCATGAGCTTTGTGTTCCCAGGGTGAGAGTGGAGAGGCAACTGATGATGAGATGACGACCCGAAAAGCCAAAATGCAAAAAGAATGTCGAAGCCGGAGTGGTTCTGACCCGCAGGACATTAATGAGCAAGAAGAATCAGGTGACGTGACTGTTTATCTCCGAGAGCTTTCTTTTTTGGTTGTAGAGGGAAAATACACACTTGGGCTTAAGCTGTGATTTAAGTGTCATGGAATTCCTAAACAAAATTATCTTCCTAGACATATCATTGTTTTTAACTTAAAAGGTTCCTCTACAGGTATAATGTACTTGGAAGTTAATGAGTTTATCGTTATCAGCAGGGAATATTAGATGTACAAGGTACAATTTGATAGATCAGTGGCTCTCAACACTGGCTGAATAATAGAGCTTTTGAAAATATGTCTAGATGTCCTGGCCACACCCAAGAGCAACTGATACATATATTCTCTGATTGGAACCTGGGAATCTATATATATTTTTAACTCCCCAGATTATGATGCAGTGTTGCCAGTTGAGAACTCACCAAATTAATTTATTCATCAAAAAATATTTTGATGCTTCTTACATAGGAACTGGTCTTTATATAGATTGTAGATATTGGTTTGCTCACACATCTAGAAGTATCTTCAGTTGATATTTGATTTTTTGTCTTTTTTTCTGTCTTTCATCTTCACAGAGGCGAATGCCATCAGTGGCCCTCCCAACCCCCTCCCTTCCAGAAGAGCCCACTCTTTGACCACAGCTGGGTCCCCCAACTTGGCTACCCCGACATCATCTCCCATCAGGCCAGTCTCCTCCCCTGTGCTGTCTTCTTCAAACAAGAGTCCATCCAGGTGGGGCCTTAACATGATAAAACAGAAGGACCCTTCTCATCATTTCAGTTCAGGGCATGTACTATGCTTCCAACTCTCTGTTGGAAGACTGTCTCTAATTTTGACTTACAGGTAAATTAAAGGCTAAGAACTACCCAGATTAAGTGATTCTAACTTTCCTGATTTATATTCCTACTTTTTCATATTATTGTAACTGTCCCTAATTATTTGAAAGACTACTCCTTCAAAGGTCATTAACATTGTCAGGAATTTAGCTCAGCGGCATAAGCACCTGTCTTGCAAGCGTGAGGATGTGAGTTGGATCCCTGGTACAACAAAAAAAGTCATTAGCAATAACCAAACCCAATCTGTGATTCTGCACATCTGTGCAGTTCATTACTGTAGCCACTAACCTCATATGGGTTATTAAAATTCAATTTAAATTAATCTAAATTAAATTAAATTTAAAAGTCAGTTCCTTAGTCACAGTAGCTGCGTTTCAAGTGCTCTGCAGCCACAAATAGTTGATCAGTGTTCTGAAAGCTACAGGCAGAAGACATTTCTATAATTGCAAAAGTTCCATTGGCTAGCACTGGCTAGCCTTATGAAGAATAAAGTTTTAGGCTGGTCCGATGGCAGTGGGTTATCAGAACTTATTAACATTAGTGTCACTAAAGTTGGTATACCACCCCCCCACTGCTAAATTTGACTGGCTTTAAAAAAAAAAAAGAATAAAGTTTTAATGTAAGCTACCTGACACTTTGCTAATTGGTAAAATATACTTTTTTCATATATTAGAAATTTAGGCATGCCTGGAGACATGAATGCAAATATTGCAGCAAGTTAGGTATGTTTAGATATAATTGTAAATCTGATATTATAGTAAATTATCACACAAGGACCATACAAATTCCAGGTCAAACCAAAATGTTTCCTCTCAGAAGAAGAAATAATACAAAAATGGAAGGCCTCCAAAAGGAAACAGAGTGTGACTCCGTCTCCCCAACCTGTATATTTCAAACAAAGTTAAAGAAATTCAGAGGTTCCGGACAGAACCAAAATTGAACAATTTTTCCTTTCTCACAAAGGAATGGGTCTGAACATACTGATTTCGTTGTCTTCGCTTTACATTTATAACAAAAATAAAAGTTATAAATTATCAGAATTCATCTGTTAGAATTTAGGCTCATGCAGGACTTTGGGTAAATGAAATAAAGATTACTTGGATTAAATGACTTTTATCTTTATTTCAGTCACTCATAAGCAGGAGAATGATAAAGTACAAGAGAGGAAAAGAGATTGAAAGAGAAACTAACCTGCTAGATCTAAGGCCAGAGGGCCCAACCACAGGACAAGAAAGAGTGGCCACCCAAGTATTCCAACATCGAAAGAACACACAAGACAGGAAAAGAAAAATCAGCCTGATTATTGTTTAAGGAGAAAGCAAGACCGAGTCCTAAATCCAGTGGGAGAAAAAGTGGACATCGTTTCCCAGTCAGAAAGACATGATTCTTACAGACAGGAGACAGGGCACTAGAAAGAAGAAAGATTAAGGAATCACTTGTTTGAATGCAAATCATGAAGTTAACTTTTCCCTTTTCCTGAACTCTCAGCCTGTGAAGACACAGGCTGTCACTGTGGAGTGTAAAACACTGGGATGTGTCAATGTGGAGTGTAAAACACTGCACAGTGACAGCCTGTGTCTCCACAGCACTATAAATATGTCTTCCGCTGAAGGAGGTGCCCTTCAGATGTCAGCACAAAATAATTTTCTATGAGCAAACATTGTTAGTAAGATTGAGATTAGATTGCCTACCTTTATAATAGTCTATAGTTTCTTATATATTTGAAATATTTCCAAAAAATAGAAAAGATCCTACCACTGATTTGACTAAAAACCATAGTCAAAACATTTTGTATTATTATTTGGGAAATCAGTATAGGAAATTTTAAATTTAAAACAGTGAAACTAAAATTTTTGACTGAGTTGACTGGCATTTTTATACTGAATGGATGCAGTGTTGGCAGGTACAGATATAGCCTAGGCAGAATTGGCTTCTTTCCAGTCTCAATATTTTCCTGACTCACATTTTCCATTAATATTAAAAGCTCTTCACTATTTCACTGAAGAACTAGTTTTAAAAAATGAAAAGAGAAGAAATACATTGATGCACTTGAAACTTTTCTCTCATATGTATTTCTATAATTTAAAAAATAGAAAAAAATGTGTTACTTCCCATAAACTATGATTGAATGATTGGAGCTCTTTTTTTTAAAAAAAATTTTTTTTGAGATGCACTAAATTTAAGAGTTTGTGTTCTCCCGTTGATCTCTGAGTTCAAAGAACTGTTTGATTAGTTGAGAAATTTTAAACTCACTCTTGTTCCCTTATTAAGTGGGCTGAAAAAACAAAGTGGTTTCTGTATGTGAAGTACAGAAACCTGAGTACAGATAAATAGCGGCAACCTGAAATGTCTTTTTGCAGTGGCTGGAGCAGCAGCAGTTGGCACGGGCGGATCAAAGGTGGAATGAAGGGGTTCCAGAGCTTCATAGTTTCAGACAGTAACATGAGTTTTGTTGAATTTATTGAGCTGTTCAAGTCTTTCAGGTATGGCACAAGCTTCCTCCTTACTTCTTCTCAGGACTACATTTTTGTAAGAGTACTAAATGGAAGATGTTGTCCATCCCTTACTCAGTGTGAGGAGCCGTAAGGACCTGAAGGATCTCTTCGACATCTACTCTGCACCCTGTAACCGATCAGGCTCGGAATCAGCCCCTGTCTACACCAGCCTGACAATCGAGGAAAGTGCCAATGACTTTCAGCCCGACCTAGGTTTGTTTAACATTTTAGGATTTTCCTTTCAGACCTTTCTGTCTAAAAATCAAGGCCGGTGATTCAATCACACAAACCCTCACAATGTCCCACTTGGCACACTACTACCTGGAGCCTGGTGAATCAGAGAACTTCCAAAGGGGTCATTTGGTGTCCTGGGGAAAGGTACTATGGTCGTGCTAGACAAGGAACCTCATCTTTGTGTGCTTCTGCCCATTATTCCAGGATGTTTAGCCAGCAGTGTGCTCCAGTCATTCTGAAAAACAAAAACCCTTTTCCGACCATTTCCAAATGTCCATGTGGTATATGAAGTTCTGTAGCTGACAAATACTAGTCTCATTCCTACCTACAGGCAGAAAGTTGCTCAGTGTCAGGGCAATAGGTGCCTGTTCTTTGACAGGAAAGTCTAAATATCCAGGACAGTTTTTTCACTGTGTAAAAGAGAATGTCTCTCTCTTCTTTCCTACTTATGAGCACCGCCACCATCACCACTCAGGCGTGTTTTTTAGCCACCCATTAAAGCCTATCATTTTTCTCTGGTCTTGCTGGAGCTATAAACATGAAAGAGCAAAGAAAAGCTCTTTCTTTGATGCAGTTTCTTCGTAATTACTTACAAACCAATATTGTACTTACACTACTAATGGACAGCTATTAAAATATGCATATCTATTTATTAGTCAAATAGATATATTTTTTTAAAATTATTAAGTTTTATTTTGTAGAGGAATTTCAAGGTTAGGAAGAATGAGCCAAAAGTACCGTTCAGAGTTTACATATACTAGCCTTGACACCCCTGCGCACACAAACACACACACGTGCACATGCACACACTTTCCTTGATTAGTAGTATCTTGCATTAGTTCATGTTACAGTTGAGTTCATATTGACACATTATTGTTACCTAAAGTTCATAGTTTATGTTAGGGTTGACACTTTGTGTTGCATATTTATTCTGTGTGTTTTGACAAATGTATAATGTCATGTAACCACCATAATAGTATCAGCAGAATAGTTCAGTGTCCTGAAAATCTCCTTTCCACCTCTTCCTTCCTTTTTTCCTCCAAATCCCTGACAACCAGTAATCTTTTTTACTGTCTCCATAATTTTGTCTTTTCCAGACTGTTATGTCATTGATCTCACACAGTATGCAGACTTTGCAGACTGGCTTCTTTCATTTAGCAATGTACATTTAAGTTCCTCCCATACACACTTTTTGCAGTATGTATGGGATTCATTTCTTTTGAAAACTAAAAAAATATTGTATTATGTGCCTTACCACAATTTGCTTGTCTGTTCACCTCCTAATGGCTATCTTGGTTGCTTCCAAATTTTAGCAATTATGAATAAAAAGCTACTATAACACTGGTATGCAAGACTGTGTATAGACATAAATAATTTGGGTAAATACCTGAGAGCCTGTTGTTAGATCATGATAGGCCTATGTTTTGCTGTCTAAGAAACTGCCAGTCAGGCATGGTGGTGCATGCCTATAATCCCAGCACTTGGGAGATTGAAGCAAAAAGATCACTGAGACTTTGAAGCCATCCTAGGCTAGAGTGAGTTTGAGGCCATCCCGGGCTACATAGGGAGATGCTGTTTCCAAAAAAGCAAGCAAGCAAGAAAGAAATGAGCTAGAATACCTTACAAAGTGACTAAAATTAAAATGACTGGCCATACCAAAGTTGATGTGAATGTGAAACAATTAGAACCTTACTACATTGCTTGTGGAAATGTAAAATGGTACAGCCACTTTGCAAGACAGTATAGCAGTTTCTTGGTAAATGAAACATACACTTTCCATATGACCCAGCAATTGTGCTATTTGATAACTTACCCACATGAGTTAAAAAGTTGTATTTACAGAAAAACCTTTATACAAATACTTACAGTCATAGTTTAAAAGTATAGAAATACATATATGTATGTATGTATGTATATTTTCAATGTCTATAAAAAGAAAAATGTACAAATAGGTATTCTTAAAAACCAAAATCTAGAGATGGGTGAAATGGTGTACACTTGAAATTCCAGCTATTTGAGAGAATGAAGCAGGAGGATGGCAAGTTTCAGGCTACTTTGAGTAACCTGGTGAGGCTCTATCTCAGAAATTTAAAACGCAGTTAAAAAGGGCTGGAGACAAAGCTCAGTTGTAGAGCGCTTGCATAGCGTATTTGAGGCCCTGGGTTCAATCCTCAGAAAATAAAATGAAAATCTGAATTTGGTCTCCAATCTCCAACTGAATCTACAGAGTTCTACCGGAATACTGAAGTTTATGAGATTTTAGTATTCTTAACCTAGCTGTTTCTTAGTTTTAGGTATTCCTTTATTTGTTTTTAGTCCCTCAACTCTATGAAGCAAGGAATAAGCACTAACTCTCATGATTTGTGTGGGGAGATTAGTAAAAAGCTCCTGCAGTTTAACAACTGTATAACTTCATTAATTCTAAAATGAACTTTGTGAACAGAGCTGCCTAGACAAAGAATCCAATGTCTATCATGGCTCTGTTTCAGATTTGCTAACCAGAAATGTCTCGGACTTGGGGTTGTTCATTAAGAGTAAGCAACAGCTGTCTGACAACCAGAGGCAGATATCTGATGCCATTGCTGCTGCAAGCATTGTGACGAATGGCACTGGGATTGAGAGCACGTCCCTGGGCATATTCGGAATCGGCATACTCCAGCTCAGTGACTTCCTGGTGAACTGCCAGGGGGAACACTGCACCTACGATGAGATCCTCAGCATCATCCAGGTCTGTACCCCGCTTGTCTCTGCCTGTGTGTGCCGTAAGCTATACAACTCTCTTAATATGCTGCTAAATGTTTGCTATACTTCTTTCCAAAAGCTTCCTGTCAGGAAGAAACAGGCTTGTTTGTTTGTGTTTGGTTTTGGATTTGAAATACCAAGTATATCATTGTTCTTTAACATGTGTTAATCTTGGTCTCAGGCTGTCTCTGACTCAGCGACTGTTATAAAGAATCAGTGCATGAATTCTTGTTATTCTGGCACATATAATAGAATAGTGTAGGTTTTCCACCTCTTTTGTCACTTAACATACATTTATTAGCTACTACTATGTACTCTCTGTTCTGGGAATTTGAATGATGGTAGAAAATAAAATCAAAGTACTGGCCCTCAGTGCAGCTTATGTTTTAGTGGGTAAGGCAGACAATAAGCAAAAAGATGTAGTATAACTTAAGTAATAATGAATTATGAGCAAAGTCAAGCAGAGTAAGGAGACAGAGTGATATAGGGAGGCTGAGGAGGAATAAGGAGAAGCCATATGTGGAGGTGCATGTGGACTTAGCACTGAGCAGTCACATGAAGTTCAAAGGAGGGAACATTCCAAGCCAGCAGGACAGGAAGCTGCAAGCTCAGCGACGCAGACTGGAGCAAGGCCAGCATTTGTGAAAAATAACAAAAGAGTGCATTTAGTGGGAGCTGTACAAGGCAGGCAGAGGATGGCAATCACCATCTCAGATGGTATCTGTGAGCCAAACTGAGGCCTTTTGATCGACAGGAAGGAAGCTGACATTAGTCCATGTAAAATAGGAAGCCTTTGGAAATTTTTGAGTGGGAGAGTAATGTGTTTAAGATGTCATTCTGGCCCCACTGGAAAATAACTGTGGTGCTGAAGGATGGAACCAGAGAGACGGTCAAGAGGTTCTCACAGCCCAAGCAAGAAGCGGGGATGGTTTACCTTCTATTTGCACAGAGAAATCCAAAATCAAAAGAAGTTTGAAATTTATTGTTCCATGGAAAAGAAAGGCATGTACAAAAATGATTACATATATTTTAGATATATGTACATGCATATACATACGTGTACATACACATATGAATATATGAGTATATTTAGACATATATGTAAATACATACTTTTATAGCTGTGTATATCTATAAGCCTGTGTGTTTGCTTTTGCAAGAAAATAAGCAAGGACCAATGTCTTAGCCTTAATCTGATTTCATTGTTTGATTTTTAAAAGTTTAAACAGTACTCTGGGAGTTTGAGGATAGAATTATCATAAGTTTGAGCTCAGCCTGGATAACTTAGCAGGAGTGTGGCGGGAAATAGGGGAGTGAGATGTCAATGTGTCCATGTCATGTGCAACAGAACTACTTTCATCACCTGATTGGAAATCAGGGAACTAGCTACCCCAATAAAAAGATGAGAGGTTATCACATTGCTGAGCACCCACTGTCATACAGCTGACTCCTGGCATAGGACTGCCTGCTGTACGCGGATCATCTCATCTACTTCCACCAGCTGCATAGAAGCTGCTATTAAAACCCACATTTTCAGAGAGATAAATGGATAGGTGCTATTTTCATGTAAATCAGCCTGTTTTCTTTTGGTTTTTTTTTTGTTTGTTTGTTTTTGGTTTTGGTACTGGGGATCAAACTCAGGATCTCTCACTTGCCAGGCAGGCGCTTTTGCAGCTGAGCTAAACTCCCTGCCCTAGCCATATTCTTTTCTCTTGCTCCCCTTTTTTCTCCTAAATAAATAGGCTTAGCGTAATAAACTCACATGTAATAAATATTTTCTTTTGTACTGAAAATTACATCTTACTGCCATATTACTAAATTAGTTCAGATATTTGGCTGAGATGTTTCCTGATGAAAACAGAAACACTTTAAAAAATGATGTGGTGGGGGTTTCCCCCCTCATGATTTCCTTTACCTAAATAACATTTTTGTTTTTTAATTCCTTGCAGAAGTTTGAACCTAACATCAGTATGTGTCATCAGGGTCTGATGTCATTTGAAGGATTTGCAAGGTAACTTTTAAGTTCTTTTGCCTGTCATTTAAGAGTACACGTTGCTCTCATGTGATCTTAAGAGAATGTGTTTCATCTAGGTTTCTGATGGATAAAGATAATTTTGCTTCAAAAAATGATGAGTCACAGGAGAACATAAAAGAATTGCAGCTACCCCTCTCCTACTATTACATTGCATCTTCCCACAACACCTACCTCACTGGCCATCAGCTCAAAGGAGAATCCTCAGTAGAACTCTATAGCCAGGTACTGAGAATGCCAGTTGAAATGTGGTTTTTACTGAACTTTATCATTTATATAAACCCAAAGTCACAAAAATATGACCCCAGTGAGCTTGTAAACTATGGCATGTGAAACATAAGGAAACATGATGTGTGGAAAAACTGGCTACATGTGTAGCAGTTGTTTTCTTCTCTCTCTCTCTCTCTCTCTCTCTCTCTCTCTCTCTCTCTCTCTCTCTCTCCCTGTTTCTCTCTGTCTCGGTCTGTCTCTCCGTCTCTCTCTCTCTATCTCTCTCTCTCATCTACTGGGAATCAAACTCAAGACCTTGCCCTTGCCAGGCAGACACTTGTGTTGCTGAGCAGTATTTCCAGCCCAGTAGTTGTTTTCTTTACTTGTTTCTTTGTTTCGTTTCATTTTGCCCTCTATCTATACTTACCCTTTATTCTAGGGAGGAAAAAAAATATTTGTTTGAAACTCATAGCTTTTAGATCCTAGTTTGACCTAGCACTACTAAAATTAGACTTTCCCATGAGAAACTATCTAATCATTTCATTAATTGCTAAATAAATCAATATATTATAATGGGAAAGTATAGTAGAAAATATAACTTTCTTATGGAGTTAATCCCAAAATATTGTTTGTTTTGCTTTACAGTTTGTTAGACAGTCCATTACTATGGTAACTAACTCTGTTGAGGCTGAAGACACTGTCTTTCCACACTAGAATTCGTGGGAATGTTCTCTGAAAAAGTAGGCTTTCTGTGTTGGGAAAAGCACACCCTTGTGATGTAAACATCTGACTCTCAATAATGTGCATGTCTGTTGCCTCACTCTTATACTATCTGCAACTTTGTCTTCAATGCTACCTGTTTTCTGAATTCTTACCCAAAGGGTTAATCAGCAGGGAGCTAGGCTGGGTCTGGCAAATATGTGTGTGGTTGGGGGCAAGGAAGTCCAAGTTGAAAACTGTAACTGAGTTGTTTGCACAACCCAACAGCAATGAGGTTCCTTTGTTCTCAGATTAGTCCAGATATTTCTCATGGCATGATACACATTTTTGTTCCCAAGATTATTTAGTATGTAATATATATTTTAAACTTTGTTTTTGCCAGGCATAGTGGCACATGCCTATAATCTCAACACGTGGGAGACTGAGGCAGATAGATTGCCATGAGTTCAATGCCAGCCATAGCAAGACCCTGTCTCAAAAAACAAATAAGTAAAAATTTTTCAAAACTTTGTTTTCTAGGGAAGCTTTACTGTGAAATAAAAATGCATCCTTAGAGTGATGATTTTCAAAAAAGGAATCTGTTGGGGGGCCTCAACCGCAAGTAAAAGAGTTATGAAGTAGAAAGAGGCAATATTGCCCATTTCTACAGAAGTTCACTCTTCTACATGTTTTCCATGTTCACCTTCTATTTGCACAGAGAAATCCAAAATCAAAAGAAGTTTGAAATTTATTGTTCCATGGAAAAGAAATTAAAGACATGTATAAAATGATTACATATATTTTATATATATGTACATGCATATACATATGTGTGCATACACATATGAGTATATTTAGACATATATGTAAATACATACTTTTATAGCTGTGTATATCTATAAGCCTGTGTGTTGCTTTTACAAGAAAATAAGCAAGGATCAATGTCTTAGCCTCAATCTGATTTCATTGTTTGATTTTTAAAAGTTTAAACAGTACTCTGGGAGTTTGAGGATAGAATTATCATAGCTTTGAGCTCAGCCTGGATAACTTAGCAAGACTCTATCTCAAAATTTAGAAAAGACCTGGGGACGTAGCTCAGTGCAAAGCCCAATGCTGGGGGGGGGGGATTTTTTTAAACCCCTTTAATGTTACATCCCAAGTGTAGATGATCATACTTTTTAATAAGGCAAGAAACCCAAGTAAACTCGTACACATGGTTAAACTAGTATACAGGTCACTTTTACTTCACTTCTAACTACTTTCCACTTTCCCTCAAATCTCATAATTAACTTCTATCATTTTTCTCTGTAAAGCAGATAGAAAGTGAGAGTAAGCTCTGTTCTTACCTGGAATTTCCAGCCCTGGTATTTCCTATTCTAGCATATAGATAGATTTTAGATGATACAGACTTTGGTAAAGACTATAATCTTTTCATGTTGAAAAACCATCCTGAACATTTTTTCTGGTCTAGAAGGCTCCCCACAAAAATGAAGCAGCCTTGTGTTCCAGTTACTGTATCACACAGCCATCTTCAGCCCTAGGCAGTTTACTTGTAGATATACTAATTGCTATTAGAAGCTGGTAGCTGGGGCTAGGGGTTTAGCTCAGCGGCATAAGCACCTGCCTTGAAGCAGGCGGTCGTGAGTTCGATCCCCGGTACCGATAAAAAGGAAAAAGACAAAAAAAAAAAAAAAAAAAAAAAGAAAAGAAAAGAAAAGAAGCTGGTAGCTTTGAAACTTAGGCCACAGACCATACTCTGTAATAAGAAGAATCTAGCATGTATTTCATTAAAAACTATTTAAATAAAAGATATTTCCCCATCTGAGTTTTGTTGCAGAAACTCGAATGGCCACTAAAATCCAATAATGGATTCTGTAACTTGGAAATAGTTACGGATTCTCAGATCAGTGGGCCAGCCCAGTCATAGATATATCAACTTTTTGGTTTATTTGTTTGATTTTGAGGATTTTCCCCCCATACTGAAGACTGAACCCAGAGCTTTCACACTGACTTAAATTCCCAGCCATTTTTATTTTTTATTTTGAAAGTCTCACTAAATTACTAAATTTCCCAAGTTTGACTAAAAATTGCCATGTCAGCCTCTGAGAGTGCTGGCATTATAGGACTGTGCCATCATGCCCTGCTTATATGATAATTTTTAAATTAATTTACAGATAAATTCTATGGAGCAAGAGGTTGCTTTGATAAATGAGAGATGAGAGATAGGTAGGTAGGTAGATCGACAGACAGACACATAGATAGAGTTTTACCTTCCAACACTCTCCCCTCTGGTAAACACTCTTTTCTACCTTAACCTATTCTTTCATTTTCCCACCCCATAGTAGCCAACAGAAGACACTTATTTTAGATCTTATGCCTGAAGTAAATGCTGATTGATGTATGGAGCTTTGTGCTGGATTCAGTTAGAGGCTTTATCTCTAGGTGTCCATCTGAAGTAGATTTATTCATTGTCATACAGGTCCTCTTACAAGGCTGCAGGAGCATAGAGCTGGACTGCTGGGATGGAGATGATGGGATGCCCATCATTTATCATGGACATACACTGACAACAAAGATCCCCTTCAAGGTAATGCAGCGCTCCCTAAGGACTCCCTTTGTGATGGCAAAAATCACTCCCAACCTGTTAGATGTCTGATGTGCCAAGTTTGTGGTCTCACAAAGTTGAGGAATAAAGTCTTGAACAAAAGAAGGAAGTTAGGAGAGTTTTATTTTAAATAAGGAGAAAAACAGTTCATGGATTTCCAAAAGAGGTCCCGAGCAGGTGGCCACTGAGGCTCTCTGTCAAGGGTAATTTATACAACAATCACCATATGCATACAACATAGGTCAAACTATAATCATACGTGGATTACAAATATAGTTCCATAGCTAACACTGATCCAATTAGGAAAATCAGTTATGTAGTGAAGGTACATCAAAAGAACAAAGGCCTTCTTAGAAAGGGGTAGAAGTACTGTCAATGTTCTGGTCACCCATCTATATGCCTGATGCCTAGCTGAGCTCCCTCGCCCAGGTGATGCTAATGACATTGAAAATGTCACTGCTGTTTTTCTCTAAAGAGGCTTTCAGGGCTGGCCTTTCCATATACCTCCTGGGGCCTGGCTCTCTTTAGATTCACCTCCAGCCACAATCTTGGTGTGTCATTTCTGTGCTAGCTTCCTTGAGGGCCCGATCCCTCTGACTAATTTCTATGTAAGTTAGCCATCTGTAATACTATCCAATCAAATCCCAAAGCATGTTATCTTCATGTGTCATTTAAATTAGTCACTTTACCAAATTCTACCTCAGGTTGAGGTTTCCTATGCTGAATATGAATAAAGAATTCTTCAAAGTATTAACAGTGTAGTATGGGATAGCACATGTTCTTTTTTCTGGGAGTTGAATCTAGAACTCTCATTAACTCTTATTCAACCAAGGTTTACTCATCACTTACCTTACATTATTTAGGATGTAATAATATTGTTGCAATTTTTGTATGAAATAATGATATAAAAATCTAGGAACTGGTCTCCTGCTAAAGAAATTAAAAGTCTTTTGTCCTGGTGTCCTGATGATAAAGACCAGTATCTCATGTTAGCTTATTAAATAATTGGCTTTATAAAGAAATGAGAATGAGTTCCACATAGGATCAAGTAGGCATGAGTTCCACATAGTATCCAGGAAGACATGTCTCACTGGATTAGTATTTCAAATTCTAGGTAGCTTCTTTGTTCAGTTGTAAAATTATTATTCATTCAGGGAGTCCTAGGCCCTCTGAGCTATAGTCAGGTTGGAAAATAATATTATTATTTTCATCTTATATGAAAATAAGACTAAAATATAATTTCTCTTTAATTCATTTTCCTGTTCAACACATTAAAACTCTTATACTATATATTGGTGGAATATAAGATGATAATTGTATTTATAAATGTACTTAAATAGATATGATATGTGTCTTATTGCTTCAAACTATTTATGTAGCATTCACATTGAATTAAGTATTAATCTCGAGATTATTCAAAGTATTTTTGAGGATGTGCATAAATTATATGAAAATACTATGCCTTTTTTTTTAAGATTTGAATATTGCACAGATTTCATTATCCCTGGGGGTCCTGGAATACATACCAATGGAAAAATACATGTTTCAAAGATAAAACTACCCTTGGTCAGAGACTATTGAATGTAACAATTGAGATGCTTTCATCAGCTTTCAAAGGCTGTAAGCACTTTGCCTTCTCACCATGCTGGAAAGGTATCTGACTCTTAACAAGTCATTTGCACTGTCATAGGAAGTGGTTGAAGCCATTGATCGCAGTGCCTTTATCAACTCTGACCTCCCAATCATCATATCAATTGAGAACCACTGTTCATTGCCTCAGCAACGAAAAATGGCAGAAATTTTCAAGGTAAGCTCCCACCTAAGAGGCAGGAGGATATCTTATCTTTGAGTTATCTGAGACTATTATAGACCACACTACAACTGTACTTTGGCCCTGAAGCACATACTGTTAGGGTTCCACAGACAAGAAATAGGGCTTCCTTGGGCAGCTTGGTCTCTTCTAGAATGGTCTGTCTTTTCAACTGGATTAACATAAGCATTGTTCTGTGATCTCCTAACTCCAGAATGCCTTAGGAGGTAAGGACATACCAACTCTCCAGCTGGTACCACAAGTGAGGGATGCCAGATATCCTGGGAGCTTTAGGTAGAGAATACAAAAATATTTCAGAGCAAGTAAGTCAGATCTTCTTGTAACCCACAGTTTAATATAGTATGACTCCAAGTTAACAGGATTTAGATTGAGCAGGATATTTGCTGTGTTAACAACAGGCTTCATTTTATAAAGAACGTAGAGTAATGGACAGGTTTCCCAGCAGATATTTCATTAAACTCCTCCTTCCTTCCAGGCATTTGCAGAAGCTTGGCTTTCAGTGCAGGGCAGAGGAAAATGTCCCCCAGTATAAATGCCAACAAAATTTCAGCTCTTCCTATTGCCTTGGCCTAAGCTTTGATACTTGTTCTTTTTTAATTCAAACTAACTTTTAAAATTGCTGTATTTTTAGTTTTCACCCCATTGGTCATCCTATGACTACCATCCTTCTAGCTACCTCTTTGAGAGACACGTTCTTTTTTGGAGAACAGTTCTCAGTTTTTTGTGAGAATGTGGTTCTTTATCATATGTGGGGGCAAATTGTCCACACTCTTTCACCTTTGTTTCTACTTCAGTCCCCTCCAAGGTTTCTATCTTCTTTGACTCCTTATCTTCATTGGGAACAGATCATGTTCTACAAGCCACAACCTCTACTGGAGTCTCTGCCGTCTTTAATTCATCAGGCCCCCAAGCATTTTCCCAAATCTTTAGATCTGCCTCCAGCTGGGGGTTACTCCCCCACACTTACCACCTCCCTTCCAAAGCTAGCAAGAGAGGATAAACAATTTCTTTCCTAGTTTCTCTTTGTGGAATTTTTAAAACAATTCGACCAGGCTGAAAAATTGAATGGTCTTATGAAATATAAATGTGCTTATCAAATATAGATAAAAAGCATTGATTGTGTATTTTCCTGTATTATTTTTAGACTGTGTTTGGAGAAAAGCTGGTGGCTAAATTCTTATTTGAAACTGATTTCTCAGATGATCCAATGCTTCCCTCACCTGACCAACTTAGGAGGAAAGTGCTCCTTAAAAACAAGAAGCTAAAGGCCCATCAGACGCCAGTGGACATCTTAAAGCAAAAGGTACTTTGCTGTCATTCAGGTTATGAATATCCTGTGTGCTCAGAACTAAGAAGTCAGTAGTACAATATTTGGACGCTTCAGTGTTATCACTTCCTTAAGTGATGCATTTCTTATTTATGTTTCCATTTCAAGCACCAAAAAATTCTTCATCCTACATCCCTAAAATTGTATCTTGTGGAAATTGCTCCCACGTAGATGGTAACCCTGTTACTTAATTTATTCTGAGTAGGAAGATGTGTGAGTTTTTTCAGGGTTGTCAATTCGCAGTTGTTGCTACCCTTTAAGGAGAACCCCCCCTTTAGGGACTGCACTTGGGCCTATGAGGCTATAAAGAAGCCCATTTGCAGCAGCCTTCTGATCGCAGTGCATCATCACAATGTGTTGATTCCAAGGTGCTTGCAATCCTGCCTCATGCACAGAGACTTTTTACCAAACTCCACAGACCTGCCCACCCAAGAAGATCCTCAGCCCAAGGGCCTATGAAAATGTTCCATCTCAGGGTGCTAAGTCCATGAGGCAGTATCACCTATTTAGCCCACACAGTGACATCTGCCAAAACTACTCTCCCTATTAAGGACACTATTGGGCCTAAAACATTACTTCTAGCACTCAGAGTTACTGCGTGTACTTCATCCCACACTGGGTAGAACCATAAGTAGGACCTACAAAGCCCAAATTAGGTGCAGCGCAGAGGTTTTGATTTTTCTCTGTGCCACTACCTCCAAGCCTCCCAGTCTTATTCCAGTCCTGCTTTAGTGGCTTCAGAGAATGGAGAGCTCAAGACAGTGAATTTGAAACCATTGTCCTAAGTAATCAAAAAAAAGTCACATTAAATTGAGTCTGGTATTCAGTTGAACCAGTCGTCAAGCCTCAAAACCTTGATTTGTAGACCTCACAGAGCCGAGAGCCAGAATGATATGCATCATAACACTGGAAGAGAAGAACACCAAGTGAGGAGCTGAGATACCAGGCCCACGGACTGATCTTCTGCACCTCCATTTCTTCATCTGTAAAATGGAAATGTTATGATAACTGGGCTCAAGAGGCCCTTCTGACACTAAAATCCCACAAATTGTAGGATGCCTGGTAGAATTTCAGGCCACACTGTAAACACTGTATCATCCTACATCTTCGTCTCCATGTCCAGCATTTCTTGCCATTCTCGAACATTACTGCTTCTCTGAGAGACGCCGGGAGGTCCTGTTACCTGCTGTCCCAAGGAGTCCCCAGGTCTCCCAGTTTACTCACTATTAAATTTGTTCTGCCTAGTGTGGCTGTCGTATTGCAGCCCACAATGTTCTTTTTCATTTGTTTCTGAGCTAGTGCCACACTTGGTGGTTTTCTGCAGTCCCTTCATCATGGAGAGGCTTGTGGCCCTCTGAAGGAGCCCCTCTGGAGTCGGGGTGATTATGGCTCCTATCTGGTGCTCTCTTTTCTTCAGTTTCTTTATTTATACATAGAAAAACGATTTCCTGGCCAGTAGGTGACATTCTTGCAGTGGCAGAGCTAGAACTTAGTTCCAGGTCCACAGGAAAGGCCTGTGCCAAGGTGATACAGAAGCCAGGATGCAGTGATAGGAATCCCTGGAGCACTTTAAGAAAGATTCTGAGCTCTGAAATCCAATAGACTAAATCAGAATTCTGGAGGAAAGGCTTGGGAATCTGTTTATTGAAAAATAATTATCATCTTGGAAGTTTAAGAAATATTATATTCTTGAAAGTGAGTTGCCAGATCCAAAAAGATGAAGGGTTACAATGCAGAAGTCTTCTAGAGGTAAACCTATTGTCCACTCTGTCTAGTCCCCTTTCAATTTTCTAAGTTTTCATGAACCTATGACTAATCCATTCTTTAACTTTGTTAGGTATCACTTTGATATTGCCCACAGTATGATTTCCACACGTTTCTTCTCCCATATTTTAGAAAGATGTTATCCTATTCCCAGTTTTCTAAGACTGCTCACAGGCCCCCACCATGATTTTCTAGGGAGTGTAGGCAATGGTTCCCCAATCACATCGGCAAATCGTTTCCTTCAGGTGTCTAGCAGGCTGTGGGTCTGGATCTTGTGCTTTGATCTGCTCCAGTGTACTCAGGCCTAACCCCTCACTTGGAAGGCATTTACATGCAAAGAATTCTGTATCAGTAAGGATAGACTGGCTCCAGGCAGGATTTCTGAAGCTCTCCATCTGCCTCAGGCTATGCCAAGGTTCTTCCTATGGCTTCCTACCAAGACCCCACAGAATTGTCCAGGAGCGTGACCATGGTCTCCAGAGCCCTACTCCTATAGACTCAGAGTTCACACTTGATGCCGAGTTCCAGGAGAGAGAAGAATGAAACACAGCTCCTGCCTAGCCCCACCAGAGCAGTTTTCCCATCTGAGCTCCAGTTCCCATCCCCTGACTGATATCTGTGTTGCTTTTATATAAGAACATGGCCCTCTTTACTTTTGAATAACCAGGAGTGTCAGCTTTTGGCTGGCTTCCATGGCCACCTCTCCCATGCTTCTTACCAAGTGGGCACAGCTGCATGCCTCAGGAACATGGCTGCACTAGTTCTGACATTGCTGTCCATGGCCCCTGAATGGTTTCTTTCACATGGTTCTGATACTTCTGCCAGAATGTTTACTAGGCTCTCTGCACCATCTCTGTCAGAACTTGTTCTTACCTCAGTTCCTCTGATTTAAGGCCTTTCTCACATGTGACACACACTTGGTCCTGTGGCTCACCTGGGCTTTGCACAGCTTTCCCCAAAATTTGAAGAATGAGAATGAGAACATGAGAAAAGAAAGAAAGAAAAAATTCTCCAGTTAAACAAGCTTGGGAAATACTGCACTAAAATCTTTGAAGAATCAGTGTCCTTTAGAATATTAAAAGAAGACTCTATCAAGTTCTGTAGTGGGATTGTGTTTCAATTTGGTTAAGCTGCTGTGGCCAGGCTTTCATCGTGTTTGTGGTTACTGATCTGTCAGTTTTTCCTTATCAGCTATTAATTCACACAAATCTCAATAACATCTACTTTGAGAAATCTCAGCCTAGATGGTTTCTAGTTATCTGGAATGAATCTCATTTTAAGACATTTTATCTGGATATAAACACAGACTAGTATGTATCTTCCTTATATATACCTTTTTATTATAAAGGTGATATAACTACATTTTAAAAATTTAGGAAATAATTATTTTTTATTATTATTTAAAGAAAGACAAAACAAAATAGAAAACGGGCAGAAATAGTACGTACTTTCAAAGAAAAAAGTAAACAATAATAAATCACTGGTTGATGTATAAATATTGTCCCCCCACAAATAGTTGTTCAAGTGGAACATATAAATGGGAATTCGACCAGGGAGACTGCATACAGTTCTGTTCAACTACCCAACAAAAACTAAGTAATATGGCTATCAGTCCTATACACTAAGGCATGTACACATTTATCCATATCTTCATTTATGTTGAGACCTAACTAAACTTATTAGATTAAAATCCTTCTGAACAAAGATTAATAATATTGCTGGATTTCACATCATAACATTCCGGAATCAGCACCGGGTACTGCAGTGCCCCTTTCTTTCCTTCAAAGTATTTGTTCATTTCATCATATGTCATAAGATCAGTTCTCATAAATTGTTTATAGGTTTTACACAAGCATGAGTCTTAACATGTATTTCTATCTTTTCTATATTAGAGGGAGAAACAGAACAAAGCAGGACAGAACTAAACATATTCCTATAGACACATAAAACTAAAAAGACATATAAAACTGCTATATAAGGAGTTCTACCATGGTCACTGTGCTGTTTCTTGTTATCATCAACAGAATTGGCTATATCATCGAATAAAGTACAATTAAATGTATCAGTAAATAGCAGAATTAATAGAAATACAACTTTGTAGATAGTGTAGAACTAAAAAAAACAGGTAGTAATCAAATCAGAATGGATATCGTAGTGAATCATTGTCATTTTCAGTATAGTTGTCTATACTCCTCAACTTGATACCAGCAACCTAACAGTTTTGAATAAAGTTTGTCAATAATAAGCAGCAATCAAACAAGTCAGATTCAACCAAGATCAGTCGTGATGCAACAGTATAAGTCATACAGGGATCCTGATTGAGTTAGTAGGAAATTAAAGATGACCACTGTGCTATGTCCTGATATCTTCGGGACAGCTGTCTGTGCCCTCAGATCCAGTGCTTGCATACAAACTAGGATGGAAAAGTTCCATCCAAGCAGAGTGGTGCGAGTAATAAGGGTTTTTTAATTCCTGATACACTATTAGCTATATGTTCTGCTGGTTTTTTAAAGACTGTTCCTCCCCTTTCACTCCTCCAGGATGAACTGTGTATTTTGGGTCTCCCCAACACTCACGGTTTTATATTGGGGGGCAACCTGCTATTTATGTTTCCAAACTTTCTCACTCCTGGACTGGATTTCTAGTTACATTTCTTCATTTATTAAAGCCTGTCTGTTCAACCTATCCATAAATACTGGTCCAGTTGCCCCTATTACTCTCTGGTTCCCTATCACATTGAGTTCCGTTTTCTCATATTTGATTTTGGTCCATATAACCTTCTTCAGGCTAATTATATTTCCTATAAAGAGCCTCTCGGTGGACCCTACCTCTTGATCTACTCTGCCTGCGATTCTCTCTTTTTTTCCCTTAAGTTAGTGTAACTAGGCCATCTACATTAGAAATTATATCCAACCTTTTCTGCCTCATTTCTGTTGTGCTCTTTTTCTGTCATTAGTTGTTTGTCTTCTTCATTTCACTTTTTGTTCCGTTCGTTGGGGCCTCTCTGCCATTGTTCCTGAAATCCTTGTGCTTTTCTCTTTAGAATGTCCTGTAGTATTCTCTGTAGAGTTGGATTGGTGGTTGTGAATTCCCCCAGTTCCTCTTTATCTTGGAAGCATCTTGTTTCTCCATTAATTTCTAGGGACAGTTGTGCAGGATATATCAATCTTGGCTGGAGTTTATTGTCTTTCAAGGCTTAGATTATTTCACCCCACGCTCTTCTAGATTTGATGGTTTGTGCTGAGAAGTCTGTTGTAATTCTGTTGGGTTTTCCCTTGTAAGTGATCTGTTTCTTGTCTCTGACAGCTTTTAAAATATTCTGTTCTTATATTAGATTTCTGGAATCTTGATTATTATATGCCTGGGTATAGTTCTAATTGTAGGTTGCTGGAGTTCTGTATGCCTCATACATCTGAGCATCTTTTCCTATGTGTGTGAAGTTTTCCTTAATTATTTCTGTGAATAGCCTTTGCAGTTCCTTTGTTTGTATCCCTGATTCTTCATTCACATTCTTTATTCTTAAGTTATAGATCCCCTTGTCATCTTCTAGCCTTTGTATTGTTACTGCTTATTTCCTTGTTAATTTTAAGAAGTTTTTCCTTTCATGTTCCCACATTATAAACCTGTCCTCCAGTTTGGATAATCTATCCTTAGTTTCTTTCAAGCTGTTATGCCAGCTTTCAATAGAGTTTTTAGTTTCCTGGTAATCTCTTTGAACCTGATTCATGTATTCTATGTTTTCTCTATTTTCTCCATCAAACAATTCTCCCTTTTTTTTTTTTTGTTCTTCCATTCTACCATCTCTTTTTTCTTGGGAGATGCTTAGCATTTCTTTAACTATTCTATTTATATATTGCTTTACTTGGTTAAATACTTCAATTTTGAATTCGTCTATGAGGTCCCGAAGATATTGCTTTATGTCTATTGGTGCCATGCCTGATATTGCATGTTTTTTGTCCTCATTCTCCTTTGCATTTACCTTTCCTGGATCAGTGTTCTCAGGATTGGGGACTGAGGACCCTTTCTTGTTGCCTCCTCTTCTCATATTTTTTGTTCCTTCCATATAGGCATATATCGGAGACCCAGTTTCTTTCTTTGTCAGTCTCAGTTTGTCTGAAGCATGCTGACTAGGTGGTCCTGCCCACTACAGTATACTAGGAGGTACAGACCCAGGCAGCCTATGCTGGGCCCGCCCTTCCAGGTCAACCTACTGAAGGCTTCACTGCGTTAGGGTGCACTGTCCCAGGTAGGGACTTGGTTAGGGCTAGCCTATTGGGCCTCAGTCCGTGGCATCACCCAGGTCCAGTACTCCCCACCAGTCCTGCCTGAGAAGGGAATATCTGCCTGAAGTCACTGCAGCGCCTTATTCTGGCCAGTCTTCCCAGTCCCAGAATGTCTTCTGTTGGAACCTCTTTGTCTTTGGAAGGATTTTTATTCCCCTCACTCACCACCGGTTGATGCAGGGTTCCCTGCCAGCTCTGCTATCAGTTCGGTTCGCCGATTCCCACTCTCAGAGCATTGTGTCTCCAGTGAGTTGAAACTGGCAGGCTATCCCAGCTGTGCCAATTCAGGTGCAGCAGCTGCAGGGTATTCAAGCCATGAGTTCAAGCAGCGGCACTGAGACTGTAGCTGTTCCAGTCGTAGCACCGGGACTGTATTTTTAATTGTTTTTTTTCCAGCTTAGTTTGTTCCTGGGTCAGCAGGGTGTATCTCACTCTGTTTGGGACTCCCCATGCTGCATTGAGTTTGGCTATCTCAGAGAGTCTCTGTAGGTGCTGTTATCTATCTGCCATCTTTTCTCTCCCCAGAAATAATTTTTTTTAAACATACAAAAGAAAGGGTATGTAGTGGTGGAACATTTGCCTGGTATGCACAAGGCCCTGGGTTGGATTCCCAGCACCAAGGCCAAATAGAACCTATATTATGATATTACGTAACCTTGGTAAGCTCCACAATTAGAACTCAGGGGATTCATGAGTGTAAATGGCAAAAAGTTGCATCTTCATTTTTAGTAAACTCCAACTGGAATTTAGCAGAGCTTCTCATTATAAATGTAGGGGACCTGTGTCATTGTCACCAGGAGAAATGGAAGATACAACTTTACAGTTGTCACTATCTCCAAGAATTATTTATGTTCATTATGTTTTCAAAAATATTACTTGACCTGCTATTACATGTTTTTACCATGTTAGTAAGGAAACATGTATTCTAATAGCACAATATGTATGTCTGTGTATGTATGTATGTATGTATGTATGGTGCTGGGGATTAAACCCAGGGTCCCACACATGCTAAACAGGGACTCTTCCACCCACTCAACTGCATCTCTAGCCCCACAAATTTATGAGGTTATTTTACCTTCTTTTGTTTTGAAACAAGTTCTACTACTATTTAAGGCCCCACCGGCCTTAAATTCCTGACCTCAAGCAGTTCTCCTGCCTCAACCTCTAAAGAAACTGTAGGCACTTGGCATCACACCCAGCTTCAAGCTAGTTTTCTTTTTCACTCCCTACTCATCCAGAGAAACTGTCATCTCTCTCATTCCCCTTCCCCACCTTTAAATCTATTTTCTTTTAAAAAATTAACTTTTTAAATCTCCGATAACCACATTCAATATCATTCCTATTAATTATATATATTTAAAACATACTTCTGAAGGAGGATTCTACCTCTACAGACTTCCAGAAGGGTCTGTGACACAAAAACAGATCAAGAACCCCTGATATATTAACATTTAATATCTAGCTTTTTTTTTTTTTTTTGTCTTTATCGGTACTGGGGATCGAACTCATGACTGCCTGCTTGCAAGGCAGGCACTTATTCCGCTGAGCTAAACCTCCAGCCCCAATATCTAGCTTTTTATTAATGTTACTGTATACAGTTGTGCTCTATGTATAATTACATGTAACTATATGTACATATAAATATATATAACTATATATACATGTAAATAAATATATATGTATATACACACACTTCTGGGTTTTTTTATTTAATAAATGACCTCCCTCTCTGTGCATATCAAATTTATTAAAGTTTCTAAACTTGCTTAATTAATTTTACGTAGCATTCAGATAAAGTCTGTTGAAAAACCTTTCTTTAAATTAATAGTTATTCTTTTGGTCGCTCTGTTCACAGAGATTCTAACATTGGTCTCAAGGTCAGAGGACTATAGATATTTTAAGAAAGAAAAAAAATGGTTCCTTAGCAGAGACTTACTGTTCCAAATTTGTCGTCTCACTTGCATGGTGCTTTGGGCCTGTCATGCTTTTCCAGAGCACCAGTTTCTCTTGGCAGGTTTGCCCTGTGAGCCTAGGGAGCAATCTTGTGATTGTTTCCAAGAGCTCCAGGATTGGCCTTTTAGGAATGTAGACATTTGCCCAGGTATTTACATTGCATGTCCAGTGAATACGATTTGTTCCTCTCTCAACGGAATCAAAATAGGGTAAACCACTTGTAGTGACCATGGTGAGCATTAGATGTAGTTTGAAGAGTCATAAGTGAAAGTTCAGTAGGTTGGCACATACTTTAATTATTGCTGTCTTACAGGCTCATCAGTTAGCATCCATGCAAGCACAGGCTTACAATGGGGGGAACACCAACCCCCCACCTGCCAATAATGAGGAAGAGGAAGATGACGAAGATGAATATGATTATGACTATGAATCCCTTTCTGACGGTAAGAGAAACAAAACAGTGTTGTACAGGAAAATGGTTGAACAGTCTTCCAATTTTCCCCCAAAACAAAGTTAATTCTTATACAGTTATATAGTCTTGTACAGTCTTATATAGTACAGTTAAGTACTATACAGTTTTTTATAAAATTGTCTGACAGTTTGTGTGTGTGTATGGAGGAGGGGTGATTGCTAAATTGAGCTTCTAGAGGAAAGATGGAATGATAGCAGAGAATCTGTTTTCATTCTCTCAGTTTCTTTTTTTTTTTTTAATCAGTACCGGGGATCAAACTCATGACTGCCTCCTTGCAAGGCAGGCACTTATGCCACTGAGCTAAATCCGCAGCCCCTTTCTTTTAGTTTCTGATGTGGCTGAGGCTCTTGGCAGGAATTTTTAACTGTGACTAAATCTTGTCTCCAGCATGACCTGCAGGGGGCAGCATCACCACTCTGCTCTCTGTTCCTCCTTGTCTGCTCTTTTTTTTGTTTGTTTGTTTGTTTGTTTGTTTGTTTGTTTTTGGTCTTTTTCGTTTTTATCGGTACCAGGGATCGAACTCACGACTGCCTGCTTGCAAGGCAAGCGCTTATGCCGCTGAACTAAATCCCCAGCCCCCTCCTTGTCTGCTCTTACTCGGGCCGTCTAGAGTATAGGAAAGAAGGATACCTCTGTCTTCTTCCCTCTCTGATGCTCAGATGACAAGCTACAAGACATTTCCTTCTAGCCCCACCGAAGAGAAGAAACAGGAGTGATAGCTAATGACACAACACAAAATAACAATATAAATGGTGTTAGCCACAGACTACTAGGAAGGGTTCTTCTTGTGTGAGAACTAATTTGCCCTAAATTAGTGTAATTTGCTGGAGTTTGCCAAATGCTTTCTCTAGCACCATTGCTAATAGTAAATTGTTTCATTTTGGCAACTTCTGAAAGACAGCAACATATTAATGAGAAAATGTCAAGGTTCCTATTTATATAAACATAATGTGCTTAGAGTATGTTTTTATATAGGCTAATGCTTTTGTTAGCTATAGATATCCCCAATCTAGTCACTATTTGCCACTAAAGTTGAGGTAACCAAGCCCATCCTTCTCCAAATGTGTGCTCCTCACACTCGGTTGTCTTCAATCATGTTTGAGTTCCACAAACTTACATCACTGGTGACAAGTCCATGTTTTTCTGCCCCCAGAGCCTCTGTGTAATATTTTCCCCTCTGATTGACTGATTATATCAACTAAAGTCCAATGTATTGATCTGAAACTCTTTAAGGTAAGAGGCATATCTTATTAGATATGAAGGACCAACTTAAAAGGAGTCAGGACAGTTTGTTTACAGCCTATTCCTCAAAACTCATGAGAATGTGGACATTTTTATGCAGACTTATTCTTCCCCATGGATTTCTACTGCAGTTGTGATAATGTCCTGTAGAAGAAATCAACCAATCACCTGGCAAGCGTGAAATCATGAATTCAATCCCTGTTTAACCCCCCCCCCCAAAATGAAAAGAAATCAACCAATCCATATGTCATTTGCTTAAGTAGTTCACTCGAAGACACTTCCATTCACTGTCATAAATTAATCCTGTAGGGGTTTTTTTGTTCTTTTGAAAACAGGAAAAGAAGTGGCTTTTAAAAATCATTATTATAAATGCCTTTGATTTGCAAATAACCTGTGGGAGAAGGCTCTAGGTGATTTACTTTCATCTTGGAGAAATCTTAACACCACTGAATCTCTAAGACAGTTGTATGCATTTTATAAAACCCACGTATAATAGGTTGGGGTGTCAGTAAACAATAGGGCCCCCCATAGTCTGCTCCAGAGGTCTGTGAGAACTTGGTCTTTTCACACTCTCTGGCTTAGAGCCTTTACAGGGTATGAAAAGTTTCTGTTAAGTGTTTGGTGAGGCCCTTTCTTCACTTCTCACTTCTAGCACTAATACCCATGATCTATGACAATTAAAGTCCACTATCACCACATAGTACTTCCCATCTCACTGAGGGCTCTTCTGAATGGCTGATTCCCAAACAGTGCTTGCAGGTTTTACATGCCTTATGGTAGCTTGTCATCTAAAGGCATCCGTATGCTACTGTTAGGTTCAGTAATTCTAGCCACAAAATTATTTCAAGAAACCCCTGGGGAAATTGGCAAATAAAGGTCATATGTTTTAGGAGTTGTTACTCTGCCTTTTGGATCATACATTCTTCATGAATGTTTATTTCATTGAATTTTATCACCCAAACTTTGTTTACCTTGATTACTTTTGACTACAAACTAGAACACAGGTTTGACTTTACAACCTAATGGAGGCATGTTCTAATGAATTAATTGATTTTTGTTGATGTGAAATAAAGTCATACTGGAGTAACACAAGAGTCAGTAACTGCGAATATGTAGCATGACTATGGCAACCATTGGCATGATTAACAAAGTTGGTGTTTTTTATTGCTAGCATACTTTAATAGTCAAAATATCAAATCTTCAGAACATTTCTTGTAAACTGAGCTGTCATTTATGCTCCACTTCATGCCGTGGTTTAATTTATCTGGCTTTTTGTCTGGATTCTTGCTATTTGTACACCCCTCCTGACTCTGTGGCAGATGTCCCTACTGCTTCCCCTGCTCCTAACAGTCAGGAAGGTAGACACTGTTTGAAATGGGCTTCCCCATTTTAGCTGCATGAATGTCACATTCTGTTTCTAACTTTCTTGGGCCTGATTAGCATGCATTATAACACTCTCTGAATATAAATGTAATGAAATAATTGATCTCACTTACTCTTGGCAGCCTGCATGGCCCTGATTTACTATAAAGATATTTTGGTCTAAGCATTTGTGGCCTGATGAGATAATAAATCTTGCTTGAGAAATAAGCTTTCTTGTTTTACATTTTAAAAGACTATAATCATGATCTAACACTTTTAGAGTCATTCTGAATAGAAATGCCAATAAAACCAAAGAATAAGATTGTCTTTCACGCTTATATATATTTATATATGTTTTAGTTACTGTTATTATCACTTAATAATCAATAACAGTCATGAAAATTTATTTTCCAATTAATCATAGTAAAAACTTTGCATTGTTCTTAACAGTCTACACACACACACACACACACACACACACACACACACACATACACACTGGTTTTGACATTTCTCAAAGTAAAACACGTAACTTCATTTTGAAGTAAGGATGTTTAAATCATGTATGTATCATCTAAAACTGCTTCAGCTGCTAAACCCTCCCCAAACTTGTGTGCCATCAGCCTCTTGATACAAAATATCTCTCCTCATATTTGCACAGTTCCAGTCATCTGTATGAAAATTAGCATTCTTATTGAGACTATGTCTATGTGTTACCAAAACTACGAGTAAATAAGTCCGTTAAACTGAAATCAAATATATCAACCCAATTTTTGAAATTATGCTTCATCATTTTGGTAACATGTAGTCAGAGCCTTGGTCTTGCAGATAAGTAAGTACAAGTGTACAGTTGTCCTCCCAAGGATGTTCATGCATCTCTTAAGTGAAGCATTCAGTTCTTTTTCACTGAACCCTGCTAACTCACTTTCAGACAACATTCTGGAAGACAGACCTGAAACTAAATCATGCAGTGACAAGCTTCAGTTTGAGTACAACGAAGAAATCCCCAAGAGGATAAAGAAAGCAGATCACTCTGCTTGCAGCAAAGGGAAGGTAAGTAAATGGTTTCTGGTACGTAGTATTGGGACTGTGGCTCCCTTGTCACTCTCAGGTAGTATGCCACCTCCTCCCTCTCCTTTCTGTTCATCTTTGCTTCTCTGTCCCTTAATGCCAATGTCCTTCGGGTGATAATATGGGCGCCTACCTGCCACTGGTGAAGGCTATTCATTGACTCATCCAACCGACATCTATCAAAGGTATATGTGACATGCCCTCAAGCAGGACAGAAGCTGATCTAGGGACAGGGACAGACCTGTAGATAAATGTGTTATCAGAGAATCAAGGATAAGCTTTCCAGGGAAGATTATGCACAAGAGGAAAAGTTTGGCCAATCAGATAAAAATAAGAGTATTCAGTCAGACTAAGGGACAGTCTGTTGTTCAGGGAATTTCAAGCAGTTTTAAAGGCATTTGGGATACTGCCTTTAAAGATAAATAGTGGCCAGACTGTGGTGTGTCCACAGGGGAATGACACAGAGAATAGAAAGACTGTTCCATCTGTGGTAAATCATGGGACATGATGAGGGCTATGAAGGGTGAATTAGACTTGTCCCTTGCCCTCAGAGAGCTTTTACTAAGGAAAGGTGTTAGAGCATGAATGTGGATAAATACTGGGCAAGGAGGAGTACACAGGTCATATCAGAGAAGTACAGATGAAGACCTGTAGAGACTGAAAACTGAGCCGTGTATACCTTCCATGTAAAATGGTATCATTTTCCCATAATAGGTTTATGACATGGAACTGGGAGAAGAATTTTATCTCCCTCAAAATAAAAAAGAGAGCAGACAGATTGCACCAGAGCTTTCTGACCTTGTCATCTATTGCCAAGCGGTAAAATTTCCAGGTAAGAGTACATATCTTGTCATATTATTTAAAGATACCAAGTGAACAACATTTCCTGTTTATCTAATTGGGCATTTGAACACAACAAAATAACTATATTGTGTTGTCAAATAATGGTTATAATGTCTTCTAATTTGCTTCTAAACATAAGCAAATTATAATATCTTATAATGTCTATTTTAATTTGCTTTTATGCAGATGAGGAAAAAGTACCATAAAAGTTCACTTTCCAGACCCAGCAATTTTTTTCATAATAGTTAATATTTATAACATCTAATAATTAAAATGTTAAACACTGAAGTATCAGATTTTATGCTAAATATTTTACACAGATGTCTTTGACTATTCATAGTAATTCTGTGAGGTTGGTGATATTATCCCCATTTTAAGTCAAACAATCTAAGATAGAGTAATTTGTTTAAGGTTTCAGAATGTGTCAGTTAAGATTCTTGTTTGACAGGCACAAAAATTGACCTAAGCCAAGAGGAGAATTTACTGACTAATGCACTAAACAATGTAGAATGATGATGTACAAGTTTCAGGTAGAGCCTAGCCGTGGAATACGCTTTTTCTTTGCCTGAGTGTCACCCTGCAGCCACTGTGTTGGCTTCATTCCTATGTGGTTGTAAGATAGCTGTACCAGGCTGGCACTTCATACCTACAGACTCAGATTTGATATGGGTTGCTTCAGAACTTCCAGCAGAAGCCTCATTGCTTCTCCTTGGGTTCTTTGCCTGGACGCTAAGTAATCACTTTAGTTAAGGGATTACAGCGGTCTGTTAACTTGGGGCCTATGACTCACACTGCTTCCCAGAGGTTCCACCCAAACCACAAGGCTAAAGGATGACAATGTGTTCGGAGGAGGAAGTTTTCCCAATGGGCCATTTCTAGAAGTACAGTGAACTTACAGTGATGAGCTACTTCATCCAGAGTGCTCATTTCATATGTAAGGGGTAGATCTATGAAGCCTCTCCAGAGTCCCACTGTGAATCACACACAATCCTGCCTCTCCTGATACAATATGTTGTCAGTAAACTCACTTGATTACGTGTCCAACAAATGGGAGACTAAGAGGTAGAAAAATCAAGAAAGCCAGTAAGTTTATGGAAAAGTGATTTTCTGACTATGCCTTCCACAAGATTTCTGAGACAGGAAAAAGCTGGAGTTAGACGTCAGTGTGAATGTGAAATAGGGTCGTATGTTTGCCCTGAGGCAGCGAGTCAAAATGCCAGCCCTCATCTTTCCAAGATGCTCTTAACCTGGCTTCTTAACTTAAGCACTTGTTCTTATGCTGTGCTTGCCAAGGGGACAGAGGTGTTATCTATTTTAAAAATTAGATAATAGTGACCTTTTCACACATACTGGGAGGGGGAAATAATAGGTAAAATTTTCTTAATTTATAAGTTTTCTCCCAGAAACTGTTTTTAAACTTTTGGCAGCTGCTGCTGTTTCTCTGCTAGCAAATGCTATTGAAAAGCTATGAACATGCAAGCAGTAACCAAGATTTCAAAGAAACCCAAGAAGCTACCGTTTACCTGTGGTTTATTGAGCATGACCTTATGTCACAGAAGTACACTGCAATGATATTCACACATAGTGAAACTGTTTTATGGTGGAAGGAAATCTTTTTCCTGCCACATCCTGTGTTGGAATCAAGTATAAGGGCCACACTGTTCAACAAGCACCCCGTATCTCTCATTCTGTATAAATGGAGGCAACAGTACATGTACGCAAACCGTTCTACTGACTTTGTCCTCGAGCACTGAGAAATTAAGGAGTAAAGAGTCCCACAGATATGTGAAATCGATTAGGTCTCTGTACCATTAGAGAATTGTGGAATGGTTGAGAAGTCCTTCCATCCAGCTTTTGACTTGAGGCACAGGCTAAGCATTCAGTTGTTTGTCTTACTTTTAAAATTCCAAGTCTGTTGGTTAAATGTGTTTGTAGGACACATGTTCTTATAATTCTGTTGCTGGAATCAGTTATAATACTTTCTAAACATTTATTGTTTCATAATTTTGATGTGCATGAGAAAAATACTATTAAATATTCAGTTACTCTATGAAGTTTGACAAGTTTACTTGATAACTTGTATGACCACTCTCAGTGTATTGCACCTTTTATTGCCCCAAGTCCCTTCTCAAAAAACGTGTGAACAGCTGCAGAGCAGCTGCAGAGACCCAGCAAAGACCCTGTAGCCCAAGGGCTACAGAAGAAAGGGACGTCTCCATGATCGCAAACCTGTTCAGGGGCAGGGGCAGAGCCAGAGCTCAGGTGTCTCAGTTCCCAGTGCTGTGTTCTTTTCACTGCATTTCCTGGTTTGACTTATGGCCAAGGACTTCTAGCTACCTATTATTCCCTATGACGTGGGCCCAGGCAGAGTCCCTCTCTCAGCTTCAGTGTACTCATCCAAACATTTTTGCTCTTAAACACCACTGTATCCTGTTTTCTCTGATGGTGTTCTTGAAAAGCATATTTTCATATTACAGAAGACCTCCTGCTTCAAATTAAGAAATTACTCTCCAACAGTATAATTACAGACAATAGGGATGATTTGGAGGCAACTCTGGTTTCACTGGAGTCTTTAAATCACTCTTCTTATACTGGAACCAGGTCTGTGTGGTGTGCTTCATTTCCTTATCCAACAAATGTGTACTAAGATCCTGTGTGTGCCAAGAACTTTGCCAGGCTGAAGGGTCCAGGGAGTTCTTGGATCCGAAGTAAGAAAGAGAAGCCGTGAAACTTCATTCACATCTTAATACAGTTCCCATAGAATCTTTGATAACCCCATCAGTGAACCCCTATAGTCACACCCATTCTGTGGTACTGAAGGGGAACCGAAGGTTAAAGAAGGTAGAGTAGTAAGTCTTGGCTCACACCAAACTTACTGAACTTCGGCAATATGATGCCAAAGCTTGGTTTTGTAGCCATGCCCTCATCTCTCAGAACTGAATAGCCTTTGGGAATTAAATATAGACAGCAACACTTTCTTTTCACACAGTTTTTCAAAATCTTTCAGATGCACAATCAACTAGGGATGTGTGTATATGAGAGAGAGATTTTATAATTATTCTGCAATAAGCATGTAAATCTTGTTGCATTTGTCAACAGTGATAAAACTTTATTATACTTTCTTATAGTACTATTATTAACAGTGCTAAAAATTCTAGGAGGTCTTCTAAGATTGGTTGCAAGTGAGTAATAGGACTTCAAAATAAACATTAACAAGGATGGAAAATGTTGAGCTCTCTTGCCTGTAGTTTTTGGCTTATTTATTTTCATTTTCTGGGAACAGGCCTGTCAACTCTAAATGCATCTGGCTCTAGCAGAGGAAAAGAAAGGAAAAGCAGGAAGTCCATTTTTGGCAACAATCCGGGAAGAATGAGCCCAGGGGAGACAGCATCGTTTAACAAAACATCTGGAAAAAGTAAAGTCACCTTCTTAACAATATCTTTGGTTGATCCTCATGATGAATGATTCAGATATTTTGCTGTCTAAGCAGTTCCTTTGAACTTGTAAAGACTTTTTTATTTTCATAAATGTTCATAATTGTGTGTGGCATAAATATTTTAATTGCTAATTTATACTTTTAACTCATTAAAAATAGCACTTAACTGAAGATATTCTAGCATCATTTGCCTCAAAAGTAAACATTCTAGTGGTTCTTGGAACTGTGCCCCTACCCAAAAGATCTATCCATTTTATTTCTAATTACCTTTTATTGTGAAAATAATAAATTTTCATAGTTACAAGCTCAAATAACAGAATATTATTACAGTTCTTTTCCATTCAGTGTACTGATTCTGCTTCCCAAAGGTTACTAATGTTGAGTTTATTGTGTTTTGTTCAAGAAAAACTAGATCCTTTTTAAAATAATCCCAAATGCAATATAACTCAGCATACTTGTATAACTTTCTACTTACTGTAAATTTTCACATACCCTTCTATACATTTATCTTTAATGCTCACATGATATTCAATTTGTGAATATACTTTATTTAACTACCTCATTGTTGATACGTTTGGATTGTTCCCTATGGTTTTTTGTTTGTTTGTTTCGTTTTGTTTTATAAGTTTTATATGCTTATATATATTGTCGTATATTTGTACAAATATACCCAGGGCAGATGAGGTACTGAAAGAAAGGATTTCCAGACTTTTAATTTAAATCGGTCCTGCCCCCTCATTTTATTTTATTTTATTTTATTCTATTTTATTTTGGGGGAGAGTCCTGGGGATTGCACCTAGAGCCTTGCTCATGCCACACATACACTCTATCACTGAGCTGTACCCCAGCCTACTACCCACGTTTTAAAGCTCAGTAGCCACCATGTTGTTTCAAGATAATGAAATGAGTCACAAGTAAAATGTAAGATATATTCTGATGTATTACATGTTATAAAAGTTTTCCTGACTAATCTGAGGCTGATCTTTTGTGGAATTTAGGTTCTTATGAAGGAATTCGGCAGACCTGGGAGGAATCTTCTTCCCCTCTCAACCCAGCCACCTCCCTCAGTGCTATCATTAGAACTCCCAAATGCTATCATATCTCATCACTGAATGAAAATGCCGCCAAACGTCTATGTCGCAGGTATTCTCAGAAACTGATCCAGCACACCGCCGGTCAGCTGCTGAGGACGTATCCCGCGGCCACCCGCATTGATTCATCCAACCCCAACCCCCTCATATTCTGGCTCCATGGAATACAACTCGTGGCACTCAACTACCAGACAGATGGTAATGGGCTGGGATCCTCACCTTGTTCTTTCTGATCTCACATCGCAGTAAATGTAGTTCAATAAACAGTTTTTCAAAGAGCCAAAATCCAGACTGAGGCACATCATCTGTGAGGGCAGAAATACAAAAAAATAGAAAACAAAAGTGAATGTGATACTGAATTGTGCTCCTAATGTTTTGGAGTTAAGGTGGTGGAAAAGAACAATAAAGAGGTATCTTTAAAGAGGGTGGTTTAAAGCATTTTTTAAACATAGGCTGCTCTTCTCTGAGTTGTATCTATTTCGATTTTAAAGATCTTTCAGGACAGGGATTTCCTAACGTTGCTTACTGAACCTGTCTTGCTATGCAGTTGTTCCGCCGGGCATGGTAATACACACCCACAGTCACAGCCAGTACCACGGCTGAAACAAGGACCACTTGAACCCCGTTCCAGGCTGGCCCGGACAACATATATGTCCATGTCTCAAAAACTAAATAAATAGTACTATCAGCTTGGGGGAATAGCTCAGTGGTGGAGTGCTTCCCTAGCCTGCATGAATCCCTGGGTATCCCCCAAAAATAAAAATAAAAACCAGTAGTGTCCCTCCAAACACTGTTAAAATCTTTTCATTCCTTTGAAATCAAGATGGAGACTACTGGAGCAAAAACAGGAAAACAAGTAATGAATTCTATAAACAGGGAGAGTAACATTCCTGTTTCTGTGCTGTCAGTGAGACATACATGAGTCCCAAAACTCCAGAGTAAAGTTTCCACTTATTGCATGCTCATATGGACCAGACCCTATGGTGAATTCTTGACTCCTGTTATCCACTGAATCTTAACAACCCTAGGAAGTGGTCCTGTATGATCCTTATTTCTCAGTTGAGCAAGACATAGCAAAATGGTTAATTTATTCAAGGTTACCAAGTGACTTGTGATAATAAATTCAAGGTGTCTGAGAGTTTGAAGGATAAAGCATTTTGTTCCCACTGGTTATGAAAGGGGGTGGCAGCTACAGAAAGTGCCCAAAGAATTGATGCAAATTGTTTCCTAGAAGCTTATTCAACAAACCAGTTTTCCCTTTGAACAGCTGAGCAGTGGCAGCCCTTGTCATTCCTCTCACTTGAACTGGCTCAGATCCTAACCATGCTGAACCAAAAATCGACAGCGTGGTCTTGTCACCAGCAGAGTTCAAACCACAGCTTGTGCTCTGGGCCCTGCTAGACATCTGCCACTGCTACCCACTTGGGGCAGATCCCGAAGACACAAAGATATCAGTCATGTTTTTCTTGCCCCTACTATATTTACTTCTTTCCATGGGAGATACCTAAGGTGATGCAGGTGATACTTAGCATAGCACCTGGCACATACAAAGCATTCAACAAGTATCCACAAGTGCATTTGATGAGTTACAAAAACATATGATTTGGACCCACAAATGGAAATAATGGTGGAATATTTTCAAAGTTGTAAAAATTTTATTTCCCTTTTTTTAAAATCTCCATTGTGTGGCTTGTGGGTTCACACCCCTGACCTGGTCTGTAGCTCTGTGTCCACTGGTGCTCTTGTTTATTATGATACTGAAATATTTTAAGTATACTGAAATAGCTACAAAGATAGTTTTCTTGAGGAGATGGAAGTGCATTTGGTTTTGGATGTGCCTTTTCTCCTGAAGTGCCGAGGCTGGCGCAGACACGCTGGCTCCACTGATACCACAGGCTGAAGAGACACACCAAGTCACCACTCCTTGGGTCACCCCCGGTTTGGCAGCCATGCCGAAGTGCAACTGCCCCTCCAGTCACCCCTGAAGGCCTTACACCTCTCAGAATCAGGCCAGAGATAGATGTCTCTGTCGTGTGAGTCATCCTCAAGCTCTTACGCAGTTTTCCAACTCAGGGAAGAGTGTTATCATGTAACCTCTTGTTAATGTAGCTTGATGAAACTTCTTCCCTTGCATACAGCATCAGGATGGCCATCTGTAAAAACAGTCATTTTTATAAACCAGGGTTAGGGTTTGGTGCAGTACCTGGCATGCAGCAGGTGCTCAGTAAATGCATGCTGCTGTGAGCTGAAGCTGCTGATCCCTGTCAGTCCCACTGCACTCTGAACCTGTGTTTCTTGATTTTTGGTTCAGAGCTCTTCTGTTTTGTGCATCACAAAGCCAAATAGAGAGGGAAGTAAAAACATTGAAAACACTTTGTTAAAGCGTTTAAAACAGTTCCTAGGTTAGGAGCGCTTTGGTTTTTCATGATGCCTCCTATTGTGCCTCTAGACTCCTGGTATGGGCCAGAGATCGTCTGCCCTCCTATTTCCTGGGTTGTCAGAGGACCTTGATGCCCAAATGGTTGGCTGTGGTCATAGCTAGGCCATTCCTCTGCAAACTTTCTGTTAACTCCAAGAAGATCAGAAGTGATATGGAACCAGCTTAGGATAGATATGTCCACATTCAATAAAATCAGTTCTCAGCTGTGGAAACTGATCCAGGCTGGTATGTAAAAACCTGGTTATTGCTGACAACAGTCCCTCTGAGTTCTTTCCATTAGGGCAGAATAATTGCTACCTCTTCCATAGGACCTGAAACTTTATAAATAGGCAACCCCCATCAGAAGAAAACCTCTTTCAAAAAAAGGATTTATCATGTTTTAGTGAACACTTTGCTTTTTATGATGGGTCACCACAAGACAACCCATAATTAACAGTAACTACCACAGTCTCTTTCTTTGAAATAGTTAAGCATAGCTTCATGTACAATAGTATCAAGCATAACAAAACAATATAAAACCATTCAAGAGAATGAAAGCATTACAGGGTTTTCAGAACCAAACAGCAGAGAATGAACAATGGCTACTATATTAATCTCATTTTCCATAGAAAATTTGTTTATACTATCACACATAATAATGTGCAATAAGATATAACAGGATAGAACCAAAGACAACAGAAAAATAAAAGCATAGTAGGACTTCAGAGTAAGATAATACTAAATCAGCTCTGGCTATTCTAATGTCTTCTTTTCTTTAAAATAGCTGTTTATACTATCACAGATAATAAAATCAAACAAACTAGGATAAAACCATTCCAACTAATGAATGCAGACATTATAAGGCTTTAGAGCAATGTAATGGGAATAGTGTTACAAGATTTTTAAGTGAATGTATGACCTAAAAGGCAATAGTTTCTTGTTCTACACTGATTCCTGCACATTTTTTCACCTGGTTAGAACAGGAGTTTTCAATCTATAGTACCAGATGAAGTTCTGGACCACTCCCAGGAAACAGTGAAAGAGCCAGATTTGGAGTCCGAGTCTTGTTTCAAACTAAGCAATTCCATTTTTTTAGATCTTGGGTCACCAAGTGAAGTCTTAGTTAAGAAAAGTACCTTCAAGTTTTGGAAAAGCAGTTAAATAGCCACAGTGCAGGTGAGATCAGGCTTTAAACCTAGAGGATCACTGTTGCTCTGTTAGGAGTACAGTTGAGTATACCTTATCCAAAGGCTTGGAAATAGAAGTGTTTGGATCCAGATTTTTTTAAATTTTGGAGTATTTGCATATGTGTAGTGAGATATCTTAAGGATGTGATCCAAATCTTTACAGAATTTGTTTCACACACCTAATATACATAGTTTTATATATTTTTACTGTTCATCTCTTGTGACCGCAGCCCATCATATGAGGTCAAGCATGAAATTTCCCATCTGTGATATCATGTCAGCACTCAAAACTTTTGTATTTTGGAGCACTTCAGATTTTCAGATTAGGGATCCTCCACCTATGTATGGCCATTTCATACTTACTCACCCATGTGAACCAATTCATTTCACCTTTTTTAACTTGTCTGCCTTTCTTTGTTAGAATGGCCAGGCAAGTAATTCTCTGAACTTGTAGATGACAGGAAACAGCCTTACTGAGCCAGTCCCATCAGACTGTAGGGGGTGCCGTGCACATATCTGACAGAAAAGGAGGTTGGGGCCCACAGAACTCTCATATATCCGAGACACCTTGCCCCAAGAGTTCTGCACACAATCCTAGTCAGGCTGTACTACGGAAGCAATTTACACATAAGACATGAGAATAGGAGCCAGCCTTTTCTTGTGCCAAGACACTTACCACAATTTTCCTTGTTGTTGGTCCGTGTAGCAAAGTTCATTCTGCACATGGGAGGAATCTATCAGAGGGAACACGTGTCAGTGTGTCTCATAAACCTTTGGCTCATTTGGGTGACTTTTATGCAGACTTGAGCCATCAGATAAACATATAAGTGTGGAAAAGTCCAGAAACAGTGCAGGAATCCAGCCATTCATCAAATAACTGTGCCAAAGAAAATTTGACCACAAAAGACTCAAAACCTTTGTTGAGAAGTCCTAAAATTTATGATTGAGGGGATTGTGGACATGATGTGAATCATATGTGATGATGATTTTTTTCATATTTAACTGCCTTAGAAAAAGAGTTAAAAGTAATTTATGGATTGAAATTGAGATTTCAAGGAAAAGCTGGTTTTCTGGCTATTCTGTCCTGTATAGTTAAGATTTTACCATTGCTTTAAAGGCAAGAATTGGCCCTATACTTGCCTGCTTGATGTAGTGTGTGGAGTTAAGAAAATAACACTATTCCAAAATTCAGCATAAAATGAGATATTTTATAAGAAGTTTCAGACGGACATTGTAAACTTATACTTGCTGGGTCAGACAGCAAGAACACCAGGCATTTCTGTAGATGATATGTTCTGTGAGAGCACAGGGATTGTTTCTCTTATTACCTGTGGTATGTCTGGTGCCTAACACAACCTGGCACATAGGCATTCATTCATTTGTCCAGGGAACAAGTGGCTGATTTTCTCTTCTTCATGCTTGAGCTTCTGGAAAAGAGATACATAGTTCTTTTCAACTTTAAAGAAAAAAATATGACAGTTAAGCAACACAGTAACAAGCAGTGTTGGATTTCTTTGTTTTACAGATCTCCCTTTACATTTAAATGCTGCAATGTTTGAGGCAAATGGTGGCTGTGGTTATGTTCTGAAGCCACCAGTTCTGTGGGATAAGAACTGTCCTATGTATCAGAAGTTTTCTCCACTGGAAAGAGATCTGGACAACCTGGAGCCTGCTGTCTATTCTCTAACTGTGAGTAGAGCCCCTACAGTCACAATGTGCTGAGGTATTAAAAAGCTGTTGTGTCCTAGGCTATGCAGGTGCAGTTCCCACAATAATTTCATTGTCTCACAGAAAGTAGCACCTGTGGTTCGTGTGCTGCCATCCCAGTCATAGCCCTTCAAGGCACTGTGTCTGTCAAGCCCAGTCGTAGCCCTTCGAGATCGCCCCTTCCACTAATAAACTAACGATGGTCACTGTGTCCCCCAGAACCCATAGGGTTGTAACCATAAGTACCCTTCGTAAAAACTGAGCGGCTCCTTAGATAGACTCATCTTAAGCTCCACCGAGTTCTAAGATCAAACGGGCAAATATACCATGCAGCAAGGCACCTTTTCTGCTTTTAATTCAGCGCTATCATCCCTGGCGTTTCCTTTTCCTTTTAGCACGGCAGCACCTCACTGTGGAATCCCCACGCACCCTCCCCTACCACAAAAGCCTGGTAGCTCTTCTCTGTTTCCCCGTTCTTCCCCTTCCTCTTAGCTAACAGAGAAAAACATCCGGGTGCATAATAGAAAGAGACAGAAATAAGGTCAGCACTTCTCTCCATCTTAAATCTCATCCCCCTGTCTTGTCTTTCTGAAGGAAATCTCATGACACCCCAAATTCCTGGGATAACCCATTCATAGGTTTTCTAACCATCCAAACTGGTTTTTTTCTCTTTCCCTAAGATAGGACCATGTTAGTTAGAGTTGAGTATAATTGTATGCATTTGCAGAAGGTTATGAATTAATTATGAATTTTAACAACAACCTGTGACTTGCTGTAAAACTATTCAAGGCAGAGTATTTTGAAATTGTATAATATACTCCTACCAACATTTTAAACGGAGTATCAATAACAACTCATGGTTACATGACATAAGATTTTTTTCTTTCAATTTCCAGGGGCTGGGGATTTAGCTCAGCGGCATAAGCACCTGCCTTGCAAGCAGGCAGTCGTGAGTTCGATCCCTGGTACCGAAAAAGACAAAAAAAGAAAAAAAAGAAAAAAAATCACAATTTCCATGAGAAATTTAATTTCATCTTAATTGCTTGGTTTTGAACATACTTGAAATTTTGACAGTTGAAAAGTTCTTGTAAAATACATGCTGCTGAAAACACAGGCTTTTCACTTGATTCCAGCAATACAGTTACACAATTACAATTACAATCACAATTACCATCACTTTATTTTTTTAACACTTTCATGAATCATTTATCTGTCTATTCCAGTGTTTTGTTTTGTTTTCTGCAGATCAAGTCGTGAAGCGCAGAGGTCGACTTTGCTTCTTTTTCGTTTTCCATGACTTTGATCCCTTTTTCCCCTTCAGATTGTCTCTGGCCAAAATGTGTGCCCTGGTAACAGCACAGGAAGCCCATGCATTGAAGTGGACGTGCTGGGCATGTCCCTGGACAGCTGCCACTTCCGCACAAAGCCTATCCACCGAAACACTCTGAATCCCATGTGGAATGAACAGTTTCTGTTCCGGGTTCACTTTGAAGATCTTGTATTTATTCGGTTTGCAGTTGTGGAAAACAACAGCTCAGCAGTAACTGCTCAGAGAATCATTCCACTCAAGGCTTTAAAACGAGGTAGAGTGAAATTCCCAAGTCACGCCCACAGCACCCCTGGCATTTTCAACAGAGGGACTAAAGAAAGAAAATCACACAAAGGAAGGGAGAGCTGGTTGTGGCAGTGGCAAAAGTGAGCCATGGCTAGGGGCAGTGCCTGGCAGACACTCCAGGACTGGAAGCCAGGGGTGGGTGTCAGGTGGAGAGCAGTGGTTTAGAAAATTCTAAACAAAAGTGAGCACTCTTGGCTTGCATGGCACTCCAGGGATGTCTGACTTCTTGAACCTGACTTATGCATTGTTTTCAAACTTTGATGCACATTTGCCTGAGCTCTTGATAATAACAAACAGATCTGTGGCAGGGCTTGAGATTCTGCCTTTCTAACAGGTGCTTAAGGGTGCTGACTATGCTGGCTACCCTGAGTACTAAAGCTCTAAATGTATATCTCTCCACCTGTAGTCACACTTAAACTGTCACCGTCTGACAGGTCCACAAACATGTTGCTTTCCTGTTTTTTGTTTGTTTGTTTTATTTTGTTTTTGTGTTTTTTGGGGGGTGGCAGTACACAGGATGGAACCCTGGTGCACTGTAGCACTGAGTCATATTCCCAGCCCCATTTGTTTTATTTTGAGGCCCAGTCTTAAAGTGCCCAGGCAGGACTTGAACTCTTAACCCTTCGGCTTTTGCCTCCCTCAGGGATGGGATTACAGGAGTATGCCAAAATGCCCAGCAGCGTCCTGCTTTTTGTTCCTTTCCTATTTCTCTTCTTTACTGCACAAGCAGCTCCTGGTCATTCCGTTTATTTGCTGGGGGTTTTGTGACAGAATCCCACAGGAGCATTATATTTTCTCATGGTTCTGAAGACTAGAAGAGCACAATCACAGGGTCAGCAGGTCTGCTGTCTTGAGAAGTTTCTCTTCTTGGTGTGGCCTCCTCACAGTGAACACATCTGGGGCCTCTGTGTCACAATTTCCTGCTTCTATAAGGGTACCAGTCACATTGGATTAGGGTCTTCCCACCCCAGTAACCTCATTTTAACTTAATCACCTTATTAAGGAGCCTACACAGTCCAACTACAGTCACCTTCTGAGATACTGGGTGTTAAGAGTATCAACATATGAACAGCACATGGGAGGTGAACCTTAATAAGTTTCAGCCTATAAGCCTGTAACTGTTATTATAGAAACATGAGAAAATACAGAACAAAAACAGTTTTCTAAAAATTATCTTCTTACTTGGTGCAGTAACACACATTTGTAAATAAACCCAGCACTCAGGAATAGAGGTAGGAAAATTGTGAGTTTGGCCTGAACTGAACTTTTGTAGCAAGACTGTCTCAAAAAAAAAAAGTTGTCCATTTTTCTGTCTCACCACTCTAATCACTTTAAGTGTATGTCTTTGCAGGCTTTTTCTGCCATGTAAATAGCACATGAGCATTAACATATGTTTTTGTTTGGGTTTTTTGTTTGTTTGTTTGTTTTTTTGTTTTGTTTTTTGTCTTTTTCCTTTTTATCGGTACCAGGGATCGAACTCACAACTGCCTGCTTGCAAGGCAGGCGCTTATGCCGCTGAGCTAGATCCCCAGCCCCAACATATGTTTTTAACAAATAGGCCTACCACTAATTTTACAATTTAATGATTTTCATTTTGTAATTTATATAGTGAGCAACTTTTCATATTAAACATATTAAGTGGCATTACCACTTGTTTGTTTGTTTGTTTGTTTTCCTGGTGGTAAGAATCAAGCCCAGCCCCTTGCACGTGCTAGGCATGCACTCTGCCACTGCACTTCACACCCAACCTTTACATTAACATTTTACTGGCTGTATATTCCATTTTATACTGACACATTCGGGCCATGCCTTGTTTAAACCAATCCTCTATTAGTGGAATAGTTTATCATTAAAGCTGCTCTAGGATGGAACATTAGCCCCTACTAAAACAGAGACAGTAAATGTCTTGGCATTAAAATGATCACATTTTCCTGCTATTTTTTGAGGGTGTTTTTGTTTTTCCATTTGAGTCTCACTGGCTGGCCCAAAACCATGCCCGGGAGTACCACTCCCAGTGATACGATGCCTGCTGTTCATATGCCCATTGCCACTCACAGCCTATCTTGAGGCAGTATTTCTACCTGTCACCCATCGACCTCCAGGGAGTATCTTCTCTGCAGAACTGTGCAGAAAATGGCTAACAGGCATTTCCCAATTCTTCATTACTCCAGGGTATCGGCATCTTCAACTGCGAAACCTTCACAATGAAGTCTTGGAAATCTCTAGTTTATTCATAAACAGCAGAAGAATGGAAGAAAATTCCTCTGTCACTACCATGCCAGCCTCTTTGGTAATTAAATTCTGTTTTTCTCAGCACATGTGCAGGGACTTCCATGACAGATGTGGGCTTTCTTATGGTACAGCAAAGTGGACAGTGAGCGTTATTAAGTAACAGTGACAATAATAGCAGGCAGTTGAAACTTAGCAAGCACTTTACATGTATAACTCATTAGCTTCCCACATAATATCAATGACCTTGAATTTTGAGAACTTCTGAATCAGAATTCACCCAACTAATACAAGGTGAATAGCAGGAGTGAGTAGAAGCTAATGCTGAGGTGGACAAAACACATTTTTTAAAGAAGTACTGTTTTGGGGCTGAGGATTTAGCTCAGCGGCATAAGCGCCTGCCTTGCAAGTAGGCAGTCTGAGTTCGATCCCCGGTACCGCTAAAAAGACAAAAAAAAAAAAAAAAAAAACCAAAAAACAAAGAAGTACTGTTTTAGTTAACTGGCTAATTCCATTATATCTCTTCCTTAAAATTAAATTTATGCTGAGGATCTAGCAAGTGCAAAGTCCTGAGTTTGATCCCCGTTGCCAAAAAAATTTGAAAACATGTCCAGTGATTTCCATTTTTACATGTTTAGTCATCTAACTAATCTTATAATTTGACAGAGTCTATCAAACTGTAGAAAAGCTTCTTCTATGCTTACAGTGGCGCTGGTTTGGACAGCACCCACCATCTCTGGCGAGCCTTGCTTTCTTCTCTGGCCTCCGCTTGCCCTCACAAGTGAGATGCTTCTCTCTGTTCCTGACCTTGTTTTCTTGGGTTTTCCTCCTTTTTCTTTTATCACTCCACAGCAACTTTGCTTGCACACTGATATCACCTCGGGAGCTCTAAACATGATCAGAGCATGTTCCACACCAAGAAAGGCCGCCTGGCATGCACCTTTTGAAGGATTCCCAGGGCATTCCAGTGTGCCACAGGCCGAGAGCACAACACTGATCAAGGGGGAGGACAGCTAGCCTCCCCGTGGTGCAGACTTCACAAACAGGGCCAGCGTTCCCTGCTAACACAGCAGGAATGAGACGCTTTCAGTTTATTTCTGCTTCTAGTCACCTGGAGTTAGTGTTACCTCTCACAAGATTAACCCTGCTACAGGGTCTAATCGCAACTCCCAGATTGTCACCAGGACTTCGGACTGATGAGTTATAAATTCAGCAGGTTTCCACAATGCCCTCGGTTTAGTAATATACTAGAATGACAGAGAATTCCAGAAAGCACTGTATTATTATCAGTTACTAGAAAATGTTCAGTTCAGGAACAGCCAAATTAGAATGTGTAAGACAAGGTAGGGGAGGAGCATCCATGCCTGTCTAGGACACCCTCCCAGAACTCTGCCTGTTCACCAACTCAGAGGTCCCAGAACCCCGTCATTTAGGGCTTTCCCAAGGTTTCATTAGGTAGGTTTACTATAGGTAAGCTGCTGCTCAGTCTCCAGCCCTCTCGCTCCCTGAGGTCTGCAATGGTGCTCATAGTTCCACTGTCCTAACCATGCCCTCTCCATCATCCCAAGCAGTTGACTGGTGAGGGGAAGAGAAAGTCAGAAGAAAGCAAGGCTAGTTAATACTTTTATCACTCAATAGATTCCAAGGGTTCTAGGAGATGTATGCCAGGAGCCAGAAACAGGACCAAATATTTATTTTTTATTATATCACACCATTCTCTCCTTGAGGTTCCCAGGCATGGTGACTGCATTGTTTGATCATGGAGGGCATCACTCTTGTTGATAACTGGACATCATCCTAGACTTCTCCCTTCCTCCAATTAAGACTTGACAGTTCTGGCCCATTCGTGTCTTTCAAATCTATTTGTCTCTGTCCATCCTTTCTACTTAGCCCTCATTCACTCTTACCTAATTCCTAATTGGTCTGTTTTCTCTGGACTTGTCATCTTTTGTCTGTCTTCCCTGATGGCCTTCTGGACAGATCCGTTTAAAACCTAAATGTGATCATGTCATTTCTCATTAGAAACCCTCCTTTGGTCTTCCATTGCTTTGGGACTGATAGGGCCCAGTGTCTGAGTGAGAGTGAGACAAAGGCATGATGTACATGCATGTAATTGGGAAGACAGAGATTCCAGGAAAGCAGATAGCTCTTGTGGCATTTAGAGGGGTAGCTGCTGCTCTGCTGTTACCTCCAGCTCTTATTGCCATGTGATGTTACCAGATTTTTTGTTTTTTCAAGAGAATCAGAACATCTAAGTTTTTATAAATGTTAGCAACTTTTTACATCTTAAAGACTGGTTAAATAGTGTAAATATAGTAAAATGAGGAACCTCTTTTCGCTATTCAAGGTTTTAAAATAAAAACCATCTATGCTAAAACACTTCAGCCCTGAGGTTGCCATTTTACCGATTTTGGTCTAAATGTTAGCCAGTTAGACAAAGATCCACATAATTCTGCTTTGCCTGCAACCTTGGCCTTCAACTTATAAGCCACTGGCCTCACTAAGGTTCTCGGAATGTTCTGCCTTAGGCTGCCTCTGATCTTAGCACACGTGCAGAATCAAGTTGATATTCTTTTGTCTCCTTCATCTGCTACATCACACTAAGTCCTTCAAGATTTAGTTAGATGATACCACTTTCAAGAAACCTCCCTTATGGGGACATAGCTCAGCACCACAGCACCTGCCTGGCAAGCATGAGGTCCTGAGTTTGATTCCCAGTTACACACCCCCCAAAAAAGATCTCTCTTGCCAGGCATGGTGGCACATGTGCCTATTATCCCAACACTAGGAAGGCTGAGGCAGGAGGATCATCGTGAGTTTGAGACCAGCCTGAACTACATAGCAAGATCCTGTCTCGGAAAAAAAAGAAAAAAGAAAAAAAACCCTCTCATATTTCCCTCAAACTGAAAGCATGTCCTTTCCTCTGGATTTCCAAGGAATTTACCATGCTTCTTACAATTGTCAACTTACCCTTCTAGCTGTCTCATTGGGAGACCTTGAGGGCAAGGCTAATGTTGTATTTTCCCTAATTCTCCAGGGCAAGGCATAATATTCGACTCATTGTAAGCCCTCCATAAATGATTTCATATTTGGAAGGAAATTACACAGCTTCCCATATCATCCCAGCTGACATACAATGCTGCTTGTATTATGGATTATTTGTGTGCTGAATGGTGAGCTCTGTAAGGGCAGGACAATTTTCACCTTCTATCCAAAACTCTATCCCAGTCCCCTGAAGGAGATAGAACTCAACAGATACTTTAGAATAGCTCAGTTCACAAATAAGGACTAATATGCATTTCAAAAAGTTTCCAGTCCCTAATTTTTATGGGAAAAGAGATATTGTGTTTTAAAATAAACTATTATTTTGGTGTGTTGCTAAATATCTTCACCAGACTAATGAGGAAGATGCCATTGTCTCCCCTACTATATTAGCGTGCAACTGGTTAGAAACAGGTTCTCTCTTGCATTCACACGTCCCTGTCCATATTTCTAGGTACTAGCACTCTTATATCATGTTACTTAGAACCCTATAAGTAAAAAATTATATGGTCTTCTTTGACAGATGTTTAATACAGAAGAAAGAAAATGTTTGCAGACTTACAGAGTCACAGTGCATGGGGTCCCGGGTCCAGAGCCCTTTGCTCTTTTCACCATAAAAGGAGGCACCAAAGCAAAGCAACTTCTCCAACAGGCAAGTCTACTGCACCCTTAGAATCTGCTGGTTATAAGAAATCAACATCTAAAAGTGTGTGGGTATACATGTGTGTGTAAATGTGTGTGCAAGCATATACCACACATGCACATAAATATACAAATATCTGTGTTAATGACACATACTTTGATTATTTGGAAATGTGTTACTCAGCACTGAGACCCACCTTTAGAATGATCTTAGAGATCTTGGTACCACTAGACAAGCTACTTTAACCATAGAGAATTCTTTCTTTATTTTGGCAGTGGGAGCAGGTACCAGAGATCAAACTTACGACCTCACGCTTGCCACGCAGGCACTTGTGCCGCTGAGCTAAATCCCCAGCCCTATAGAGAATATTTTTTTAACAGTCCTTCAGCCACATAAAACGCAGGGCTCTAGAAACATAAAAACCAGAACAAGTGGCTCGCTAGCCATGGAAACTTTTCCCCTCTCAGCCTAGACATGGGCTGCATCTTCCTTCTTAACACAGCAATTACTCAGCAGTAAGAATTTGCACATGAGCTGAATGAAGTCCGTTTGCCATCCTAGGAGTTGGATCAGATTCCTAGAGCATCATCATAGACCACATGGAGCAAGAAGACATCTCTAACCCCTCAGCTTAACATGAGGATCAGTCCACTTTCCAACAGTGCTGAAACCAGAGAATGAGGTCTCCCTACCCTAAGACCCCTTATGTCGGGCCTCTCTCTGGATCCCTCTAGAAATCTCTATGGCCTTCTGCAGGTGGGATCACCATCCATAAGAAGATTTATAAGAGATCTTATAAGGAACAACAACCAGTAACAACAACCAGTATCCAGAAGAGAAATGGCAGCTCCGCAGAGAGCAGGCTGAGCCGGAGTACAGTTCCTTTCCCCTTCCCATTAGACACTCTATCCTGGCTTGACACAAGGCCTCCTACTCTGCAGACTCTTTTATCTCTAAGCCAACTCAGGACTCCTTCTCCTCAAAGATAGGCCAATGTGGAACAAGGACCACAGGGAGTAACCCTGCACACCCCAGCAGCTAGGGTGTAGGAGAAAATGTACCTGGCATCATATGATACATGGAATTAAAAATATATTGAGTAATCATTCATGAATATTAATAAATAGCTCTGATCTTTGAAGATACATCATTGTGATCTGGTCAACATGTTGTCAATGTTTTATTAAAGTTATAAAATGGTTTAGGCATCACATTTCATAAATTATCAAAAAGAAGCTACTGTCAAGGGTCTGAAGTTCTTTTGTTGGAGGAGGTAGTTTGCTTGCTTTTTAACCAGGCAGTTTATGAATTTTAGCTTCATTATCACAGAGCACTGTTGAGGTTTTGTAAAATAAGGAGAAACTTCCGTGGGCCATCCATAAAAAGAAGCCATTTATTTTATTGTCACTCAATGGAAATAAGCGAAGAAGTCCTTAGGACTGAAAAGAGACCTCTAGTAGAAGTGACAGTTCCAGCTGACCTCCTGGAAGCCTCATGTCCTGAATTATTCCTTTGCCACTGTAGCACCAGTAGCTAGGGTATCTATTGTGAGGGCTGGGGTAGTGGGATCAGAGCTTTGTGAGAATCTTGTGCTCGCATCATCCTCCATGTATCACATGCAGCTTTCCTCCAAGTCAGAAAGGGTTAACTCTGATCATTGCATCTGTGGCCAGGGGAGAAAGATGTTTGCTTAATCCAGGACAGGTGGGGCATCACCCAGCTGCTTCTCACAGGAAGGCAACAGTGGGGGTTTCTTCACTGTAACTGCCCTTCACTCTTAACCTTCAGATTCAACTTTTTGTCAGAAATCTGTGCAAGAAGAGTGAGAAAGAGTATATCATTGAAAGTAACTATAATGATAGCTATTGAGTTCTCATAATATGTCTATTCTATACTTTGTGCCTCAATCATAAAACAAAATGTAAGAGCTTGTTACTATTACTGATCCCATTGTATATAAAGGAAAATGAATCTCTAAGGCATTAAGTATCTTGCCCAGCACTTTGCAGACATAAGAAGTCTTAACAGCAAACCTCAAACCCAGGTCCACCTGGCTCCCATTTGACCACACAAGATAAGTGGCCAACAAAGAATACAGCCCATTAGACACACTGTCAGGAGTTTATCACAACAATTTCCAGCAACTTAGAGCAGATGGGAATTTAGCACTGTGCAGCTTACATGAGAAAAAGATTATTTCTATGGTGAGAAAAAGATCGTTAGTAAAAGCTAGATGGGTCCTTGCCCTTCCTTAGTCCTGTGCAGCAAGGTCACAGAGGGAGTGAGAAACCTACAGGTTTGAATTCAGTAAGAGTTCTCACTCCAGCAGTGGGAACATGGTTCTCTCGTCTGGGGACTATGAATAAACTGTGCTGTTGCCCAGAGTAGACATAAACAATTGTTTTTGGATATATGAGAATCCTTAGATCTTGCAAAAAGAACTATGCAACACTTCAGAGCAGGTGTCACATATAAGTTGCACATCAAACCTGTCTGAATATCATGAAGGCTTGCTTTGATTGTTTTTGTTTTTGTTCTGCTTTTTTGGTTTTTTGAGACAAGGTCTCGCTATGTCATTCAGACTAGCTTTGAACTCACTATGTAGCCCAGGCTGGCCTCAAACTCATAGCAATCCTCCCACCTCAGCCTTCTGAGTGCTGGGTGTGTTTTAAATTTAAGTTTGTGTCCCACTTCTGAGAGGTGTTCCTAATTTTGCTTTTGCTTTTTCTTTAGATTCTGATGACTGAACAAAACACCAAATTATTCTCCACAGACTATTTTTTGATGGAAGAAAAATATTTTATATCAAAAGAAAAGAACGAATGCAGGAAACAACCATTCCAGAGAGTCATTGGTCCAGAAGAAGACGTGATGCAGATTTTAAACAGCTGGTTTCCAGAAGAAGGTTATGTGGGCAGGATTGTCTTAAAAACTCCACAGGAAGTAAGTGCTCAGAAGCAGTCTACACAGTATGAGAGTAACCGTCTCACCACTAAGGATGTCCCTCTTATCCTGAATTTCTTGTAATTACAACTTAATTTTATTATTAAGTGAGTGTGGGGAAATTATTTTATTCTTCTAAACATATCCCAAAGGTTATCTCTAAGTTATAGAAATTTCAGTTTGAAAAATATTCTTTATGAAACAAAGGATCAAGAGGTCGAAGGATTCCTGTGGTTGTCGTCAGCTGTGGGCCCAGTATTTTATTTTTACGTTGCTGTGAGGATGCTTTATAGCAGCATTGCCTTATCCATAAGGGATATGGTCCAGGCCCTTCAGTGGACTGGGACAAAACCACACCCCATACAAGCACAATCCCTGATCGAATAAGCAAAGTGGCTCCTAAGTGACTACCAGCAGGTGATGCATTATAGATATGCTGAGCAGAGAGGAAAGCATGGCTTGGGCAGACAGAACAGGACAGAAAGAGACTATCACGCTGCTCAGCGTTGCCCTTGGCTTAAAAGTTGTAAATGATTTATTTCTGGAATTTTCCACTTGATACTTTTGGGCCATGGTTTTGAAGCCTCAGATGACAAAACCTCAAAAAGGAAAACTGCAGTGTTGCAGGACTCAGTGGCTGTCAGTGTTCTACATTTTGAATCTGGTAGCCTTCTTGCTGGTGCCTGCTGTTTTACCTAATGCAGCCTGAGCACCTGTAAACTTTTCACGCCATATATTGCATAACCATTTATGCAAACACCGAAAGTTCTCAGACACTCACTATTTTGAAGGTTCTCTTGATACAATTGATACTACTGTACACATAACCTGTAAACTCTACAAATACTCCAAAATCTGAAAAACATCAGATTCCAACATGTCAGGTTCCAAGCATGTCAAAGCATCACGTTCCAACCTTTAGAAGGTAAGTCAGTAAAGACTCCTAAGTAAGGCAATAGTATTTCCTTGAAAATATTCCATAATGTCACATAAAGTGAATAATCCTTCAGCCCTAGTCAGAATTAATAAAAATGTGAATTATGTGTGTTAATATTACCACAGTTACCCCAGGAAGGTAAAAAGCAACAACTATCATGTCCAAATCAGTTGGCTCTCTTCGACCTCGTTTATGGTGCACGTTTATGGTGCACCTTTTTGCTGAGCATATTGATAAGACCTCAGCTAGTTTACTGCCATTGTAAAAATAGTGTGTAAGCTATAGACAGCCAGGCCTCATGATATGTTGTTAATGAATCAACTGAGCCAGTTCAACAATTTTTTTTTTTTTTTTGTCTTTTTCCTTTTTATCAGTACCGGGGGTCGAACTCACGACTGCCTGCTTGCAAGGCAGGTGCTTATGCCGCTGAGCTAAATCCCCAGCCCCCAGTTTAACAATTTGATTAAACACATTAAGCGCCTGATATGTGCCAGGCCCTGTTCTGAGGACTGGCCTCTCCCTTGGGGTACAATAATGCTTGACTGGCAGAACACGCCCTGGCAATCCATGTGTGCTGGGGCGCGAGACAGATCATGGCCAGTTTTCACCATCATACGTTCGTTATCTTTTCACTCTGATGACTCTGAACATCACTTGCAGCCTCAACAGAACTCTAGCACCTGCCCTGGGACCCAGAGCCACTGTCTCCCTTCCCTCCACTGCCTCAGATGATAAAAGGACACTTAATTCAAGCCAAGAAATGTAATTGTTTCCCATGCTTCTCTCCTTGTCAGTATATGAATTGCTAAGACAGAGAACAAGCTGTTCTAATGGTAATCATCTTATGAGAAATTATAAGAGGACTCAGCTTGACTTTTGAAGCCGTCTTTAATTTTTCTCTAGTTTTTGTTTGTCTGTTTCCTATTTCTAATTCACTTGCTTGTTAACTAGCTACTTGTAAAATAATATCGTCTAAGTGACAGCATCAATAAATGATGTAAATTTGTTAAATTACACATCACATTTACAGAATTGAAAAGTCGCAATGTCTACTGTTTGGAATGATTTCATGGTGTAATGGAAACCATGTGATGCATAAGGAAACGAACTGCGGTTAAAAATCAAAGCCAGATGTGATCACACGTGCCTGTGATTCCAGCACTTCAAGACTTAGCAGAAGGATTACAAGTGCAAGCCCCACCTACCCAGGCAATTTAGCAAGTCCTTGTCTCAAAATAAAAAGGAGCAGGGATGTAGCTGAGTAATAGAGAATTCCTGGGTTTGTTCCCCTGTACTGAGAAAAAGGAGTAATTAAAATTATGCCAGGGTGAGAAGTAGAAAGAACTCGAGCCTTACAGCTTCCAGTTCAGTGTTCTGTCCGCAGTTCTGTGTTTCCCAGGCTGGAGTGTGTCAGTCCTTGTGGATTAGGCACCTCCAGTCCTACAGGCGATGAGCAAGAAGAAAGCTACTGAGGGTCTCAACGGGTTCATACCAGCAAGGCCAGGAAGCTTGGGGTGCCTTCAGACATTTGAAATGTGTATAAAACAGGCAGATTATTAAGTGCTGCAAAGAAAAAAATAGATAAATGAGAAGGGAAGGCTAATAAGCTTTGTCTAATAAGTAGAATATACCAAGTTCTCCTTGGTAACACCCTAGTGGAGAAGAAATATTTGAAACCACTGAAATATACCTCAAAAGGTAACAAATCACATTTAGTGTATTGAAGTTTACCTAATTCACTATGATCCCTAATCAGTACTAACTGAAGCTGGGCATTTAGCTCAGTGGCTGAATATAGGCTTAGCATGCAGAAGGCCTCAAATTCAATCCCTGGCACAACAAAACAAAGAAAAAAGAAAAACAATCTCCTGATTGTATACATGACTTACGCAATTATTGAATATAAGATGGCACTATCAGAGTTGATAGATTTGGGTTATAAACATTTCCATTTGTTTCCCTGTGGAACTAGTAAGATATGTAAACAGTTTGACTTCAGAGTCTATTAAAATTTTCTTGGGCTGAGGATGTAACTCAACAGTAGACCACTTGCCTATGATGCTTATGGTCTTGGATTCCATCTCTAGCACCACAAAAGAAGAAGTTTAAAGTTTCTGTTTGTTATCTGTGTCATCTGTGTCCTGGGCCTCCTGCATACCCTCCATACCTCTCTTGTCTCCTGGTAGCACACCCGTCCCCTCCTGACTGCTTTGGGTGTGAAATTCTGTTACTAGCTGGTTAGGTCTGCACTAGTTGTTGCTCCCCAAGGACAAAGAAGATCTTTGGTGGGAAAGTAAAAGGTTTGCTCAAAGCGATGTGGAGCAGCCCTTACTCTTTTAGTCTTCATCTCACCTGGTCAGGGGAACAAGGAAGACGCAGTGAGACAACAGGCAACAGTGTCCCCAGCTCTCACCTCACTGTTCTCGAGGCCCTCCCCGCCTGGTGAACGTGGAACCAGACACGGACCTCCTGGGGCCAGCATGCGCGAATTTCTTTCCCACAATGTGTGTATAAATGTTCTGACAGAGAACTGTTTAGTTATGTGATTTGAGATAGGAAAGGGAAACCATTTGTGCTCTCAGCATGAGGAAGTTGGAGAAGCCATCTCTCTCTCAAAGAAAATTCTAATTTTTTAAACTTGTATTAGTACATGTTTGCAGTGGATTCACTCTAGGGCATTGATACAAGTACATGACACATCTCAATCCCTTCTTTCCCTCCTCCCTCCATCCTTTTTTATTTTTCCAGCATCAGATTCATTTTTAAAACTATTAATTATCACACATACAGATTGAAAATCAGACTAAAAGGTCAAAGAACATATAAAATATGTAAGACAATCGCACTAAGTCAAGATACACTTCTAGGTACATTGTCACACTGGTAAAAAAAAAAAATCCAAATTTTTAAGTCTATTTTACCTTTTGAGTTACATCCTGGACAATCCTGGACTCTAACACAAAATCAATAGTCCTGAACAGATCACCTCCCATCTGAAAACCTCATTGCCCCACTTTGTAAAATCTGTAACGGAAACTACCCTGTTTGACTGTGTCAAACAAGTAACAGTATGTACTAACGTAGTAAGTAAAAAGGGAGATGTTGTTATTGTCTTCTGCTTTTCAAATATGCCTGAAAACTTAACTGTAAATAAGCTGAACTGTAAAAGGGATGCATTGCTATTGGGAGATATGGTGGCTTAGAACATTGTTGTTTGTTTTCACTTCTTGCTTTCTGGTTTTGGGGGCACTGAAATTATAAATTCTGTCATGTGAGTTACCCCTGACTTCATGCTGACTAGTTAGATTGTGAATAGTGCGATGACATTTTAGGCAGCCACATGCTCCTATGCAGTAAGATTGCTAAGAATGGGCATAAAATGATGTGCACAGTCTTTCAATTGGGAGAAAAGTTACAGGATGGTATATTAGGAGGGTACAATTTTATGCATTAAAAGGAGATAACAACTCCCCATCCTTCCACTGCCATTGCATAATAAACAAGACCCACAGAAGTCAGTCTCGTACCTCATAGGCCATGCCTGAAGTTAATGAAGTATCAGGGCGGGTCTGTGTGACTGGCAGGCGAGCGCCAGCAATCCCTTCTGGTCTTGATGATAGTATGGCACCATCTGGTGGCAATTTTCTGTGCTGATTTTGATATCGATGAGGATGATTCTGGATCACATGACTGACTAGAACATCCACAATAGTGATAGTAATTCTTCTAGTTAGCTCTTGTCTGGGGAGATTATCCCAGAAGAATTCCTGCTAAGCCTCGAACCTGAAATGGAGTTGCCTGTTCTTTATTTGCTGTGCTTTCCCTCACCTGTGGCCCTTTTTACAAAAAATAACTTCAAGTTATTCCCCTTTGAGAGTGGAGGCTGACAAGGGACAGGAGCCATTTCACAATTACACAATGCTTACGTTCACAGAATGTCGCAGGTTTGTGTATATCATAAAAACCAAAATGTATTTATGATCCACAGCAAATGTTTAGGAAGATAACCTAACAACAGAGGGTTATTAGGGGTGTGTGTGTGTCTGTGTGTGTACTTCTGGTAATTAGAAAAATGGTATATTATCTTTCTGTAAATTTACCTAGTGGATGTGGACTTTCAAAATGTATGTCTCATAGTAAGGAATAACTGGTTTACTCTCAGCCTTACTTAATGGGTATATCAGCAGCAGATATACAATGCTTTCTTCTTATCAGAAGACAGGTGTATCTCTTAGTTTATAAAATATTATCAAATATATGAAGTAGACACCTAGAAAGTTGTTTCCACATTAAGATACAGCTCAAATTTTTGCTTTTTTTCTTTATTGTTTATCACCTTATGAATTACTGCATTTTTTTTTTTATATTCCTAGACTCTAAAAGAGAAGAGCATTGTTCAAGATGACAAAGAGGTGATCTTGAGCTCAGAAGAGGAGAGTTTCTTTGTCCAAGTGCATGATGTTTCTCCAGAACAACCTAAAACAGTCATCAAGGCACCCCGCCTCAGCACTGCCCAGGAAGTCATTCAGCAGGTAAAAGCCTGTTCCTGGGGAGAAGTGTGGCTCAGGGCTGGATTGCTTGCCTGCATTCACGAGGCCCTGGGTTCAATGGAAAGGAAAGCAGAGGAGAGAGGAGGTGAGGAAAACAGATGAGGGGAAGGAACGGAAAGGAAAGGAAAAGAGAAGAAAGGAAAGTCGTCACCTCAGCTGTCAGCATGAGTTACTGGGACAAAGCATGTCTACGCATTGAAAGCTCTTTTTTATTTTTTGTACTTTACAAAGTTGCACTTTTTATTTTAAAGGGATAAAACAGAACAATAAAATGAAACAAAACAAAAACAGTAACAGGGCAACAGGAAATCCACAATCTGTTGCTATACTGCATATTGTTATCCTCTAGTTATCCAGAGCACAGGCCGGGGCCCGCAAAGCCAAACACCATGACAGTCAGTCACTTGAGTTCCTGTCACCTTGGCACGGGCTGCATTCCGCCGAGGGGGAGGGCTGGGGGTGGAGGCGGCTTCCCTGCAGCCGCGGGGCCTCTGCCGGCACACGGGGAGGCTGCCCCTTCTCCTGGCTGCTTCTCCCTGGCCAACACGGCCCTGGGCACAGGGGCACGGGGGCCACACTACTTCTTTACCACTTCTCCCCTGCAGCCAATATGAGAGCTCATTTTATAAGTAACATTCTAGAAGAAGGGGGTCTTTTAGGAAGATTTTCCTGTTTAAAATAACTGGTTTATACTATACAATTTACAAACTTGGTTTATGATTCAGTAGATTTTAACATATTGACAGAACTGTACAACTATGATCACAATCAAACTGAGTTCAATTTTTTTCCCCAAACAAAACACTATACCCACTATGTCCCAGGTACTGTGCTGTACTTTGGAAAGGCAGAGATGAGCAAAATAGGGAAAATCTGGGGGCCAAGGGTGCAGCTCACTGGTACAAGCACCTGCCTGCAAGCGCGGGGGATAGGGTAGGAAATATGGTCCTTCACTCCTTCAAGAGATACTTGGTATCTACAATGAGTGTGACTCTTTAGGAGGCACCAATAATAATGGATTGAGGATCTGATTCCGCAGGGTGATTTCACTGTCCCAAAAATGCATGACCCAGAACCTAATAACCACTTCTCAAAGATCTTTCAGATGACAAGTGGGCAGCTACCTGAACCCTCTTTCCCCTGGTCAGGCTTGTTTCAAGGAACTGTTTCAAAGAACTCTTTTATTTCCTCCAAAACTTCCTCATGGTTTGTATTCATTAAACATAGTTTGAGAAATGAGCTAAAATCTTAATGGCTAAACGCAGATTTGATCAGGTTGCTCTAGGCTGATGGTAGGACCTGTGGTGCTTGAGCCTCAGTAGCCACACAGAGCTGTCTGCCGACACATGAGCCAAGTCTCCCAGCAGCCAAGTGTTAGGTAAGTTGTTTTTTTCTAAACAAAAAACCTCAGTATAGTAACATCTCAGTTCAGGAATGCTTCTATTTGCAAACAATTTGGTTCACAAACAAAAGCATTCAGCAAAATTTTGCTTCTGGTCCCAAACTCCACATCAGGTGACAAGTACAACCATAACCACCTTTTCCACACAAACACAAATGCAGCTATTTTTCCCAAAATCATAAAACAAATTAAGTTTGTAAGCCGAGGTAGCACTGTATTCAGATTTAGTTGCAGAATCAGCACTTTCCAATAAACAATTGGGTTCTGGTTTGCAGTTCGGGCATTGCTCTTTAAAGTTCTGCCATCACTGTTGTAGGTTCAAACCCAGCTCTGTTTTTCACTATGAGATATTGAGTATGATCTCAGATGATCTCTGGGCCTTAGCTCTACTGAGCATTGGTAAACTAGCTGGGGGCAGAGGAATCTGATGTATTTCCATTTTGTAAATATTCCTATTGTGCTTGACTTGACTAGTCCTGTTGACTCCAGAATACCATAAATCACCAAAGTCATAAAACCTGGAGATAAGTTGTTGCAAAGATTATGTCAATGTAAAACATTTAGTACCATGCTAGCACATAGTAAACACCACCTACGTGCTAGTTACTGTTCCAAACATGAATTTGTTAATTAGCCCCCTTGATTGACTTTGAATTCCAGTGTTTTTGTTTTTTGGTTTCAGGGATTGAACTCACAACTTCACCATTGCCAGGCAGGTGCTTGTACCAGTGAGCTGCACCCTTGGCCCCCAGATTTTCACTCATTTTGCTCATCTCTGCCTTTCCAAAGTACAGCACAGTACCTGGGACATAGTAGATACTCAGTAAATATCTGATGAATGAATAAATGAGTAAATTAGAAGGTATTTTTGTACTCAATGAAAAGGGAGACTGTGTGACTAAAATCTCAACATCTAAGATTGTAAGAGGAAGCATTATGGGAGGGAGGCCCCTGAGGGGCAGAATTCTGTTCCTCACTGGCTGCATAACCTTCTATCTTTTAAGATGTGCTTTAAGGTATATGCAGAAAATCTAGTTTAGTTCTTTATTCTTTTACTTATGAACTGGAATTGTGGAACCTACTTAATCTTTGTAAATTTAAGCTTCCTCATCTAGAATCTACTTAACTTTTATAAGTTTATGCTTCATCTAAATGATAGATTGTTGAGGACATAAGTAATCTGAGAAAGTGTGTTACAAACTACAATTACATACATGTAAGAGGAGGAGTTAGGTGACAGCTGGAAGTTTCTTTCCATCTCTAAAAGTATGTGCCACTTTTCCATGTTAAAGTTTAGTTAGAGGGATCGCACATGTTGAAGATACTTTATTCAGTTGATCATAACTTCTTTTTCAGACCTTATGCAAAGCCAAATATTCCTATAGCATCCTGAGCAACCCCAATCCGGGGGACTATGTGCTTTTGGAAGAGGTAGTGAAAGACACACCCAACAAGAAGTCTTCTGCTCCAAAGTCTTCACAGCGAGTCCTTTTAGACCAGGAGTGTGTGTTTCAAGCCCAAAGCAAGTGGAAAGGTGCAGGGAAATTCATCCTTAAGCTAAAGGAGCAGGTGCAGGTAAAGTTTAAAGTTACTTCGCTCTCTTCCTAAAACAGCTCATACTGGGCTGGGGATTTAGCTCAGTGGTATAAGCATCTACCTGGGAAGCATGAGGTCATGAGTTCAATCCCTGGTAGCAAAAAAACACCCCAGCTCATATTCATAATCACATCATGATTTGAGAGCTAGTACAATCTGGAAGTTCCTAAGTCAAATTTAGTTGGGAGAAAATTGTTGGGCTCTTTCACTGTGTGTGTGTGGGCAGGAGGAAGGGGGAGAATTATGTTGCACTATGTGGCTGAGGAGTCCTGAGAGAAAAATCTCTTGGTCCATCCAAAGCTCTATTTAGCAAAGAGAGAAGTAAAAAGGGTTCTTTTTGACATAGTGTATTGTAATCCCAAATATTGTATACAGTCACCCAAGTATCATAATCCTTTTTCTAGTCTTCCTCACAGTCCAAAAAGTTGTATTTATAATCCCACTGAGACAGTATAGGAAGCCAAGCAAGTTAATTCCAATCTACCACCTCCAATGCACTGCACAGCGAGTAAAGACATATTCAAACTTAAAGGCAGCCAGTGAGGATGTGCACACAAAAGCCCTGATCCTAGGCTCTCCCAGACTTTATTATCTTGTGAAGAAGGGGGTGGCTTGAGGATGAATGACAGTGAGGATGGCGGAAATTACCCGAGTAACTTGAGCTGGCAGCCAGATGAGAAGAAGAGCATCTCTGCAAAATGCAGAGATAATGTTATGCAGAAGGATCAATTTGCATGATTCAATTAAGGTAGCAACTGAATTATAGGAGGCTGTTGCTTCTTTGGTTTCTGATATGTAAATTTTGTGCCCTGGGGAATCATAGCCTCTTTACCTTGAGGCTCATACCCAGTTGACATTCCGGGAGCAAAAGGCTCTAATATCCATCCCGCTGTGCTTATGTATTTTAGAGAGAGCACTATGTGAGGAAACAGGAGACTAATGGCTTTAGGGATTACATACCAGCACCTCAGCCAGCCTTATTTGCAATGCTTAGAGCCAACTGAAGACAGGAAATACCATAGTCAGCTGTGTATGTATCAGTATAAGGAAATAAGTCTCCATATAATCAAAGTTGGGGCAGTTGTTCTGCATTCAAGGGGAGTCACTCCAGTGCTTTGTGATTGAGGACCATCAACCAAGGAAAGATTCTTTTTCCCACAGGCATCTCGAGAAGACAAAAGAAAGGGTATCTCTTTTGCAAGTGAACTCAAGAAGTTTGCCAAGTCCACCAAGCAGCCTCGGGGCCTCACTTTACCACCTCAGCAGCTGGCCTCAGAAAGTGTCCAGTATAAGGAAGAGAAACCCGCGGGTGGCTTGACATCCAGGGACACCGCTGATTACCAACAGTGACTAAGGGCAGCATGCTTCACCAGGTATACAGTCACTGCAGCCTCGGACTCAACTGAGTTTGCTTTATTATGTCTTCTCCACAACATGTCCCCTGCAGGCAGCTGGGGACAGTGCCTTGCAAAAGGACAAGGCTGCTGAAACCTTAAGGAAAAGCAGCCTTAACCTCAAGGCTGCTTTTAACATTTTAGACCTTATTTTGCAGATAACTAAACAAAAGTACAAGAGGGCAACCAACTTAACCAAAGGGGCACACAGCCTTACTTCATCAAACATAGCACTGCCTTAATTAGTAATTCACATGGACATTTTTCAAAGGATCTAGAGATCCTTCAGCTTTTATCCTCTGGATTCTTAGTTTAATATTATTCTAATTTAGGTTTGATTTAGCCTAACAACTCCATCTCCTCCCTAAAGTAACCATATAAAAATGTGGCTCCCAAGATGCAGTAGTTAAAAAGAAAGCAAAATCACACAACAGCCTCCACAACGTTGGTTACTAGACCATCAGTATTCACATCAGTATTCACATACAGGATAAATTTCATTTTATCCATTTGTTTGTTCTTTGAAGTTCTTGGTTTTGGCGTTTTGAGACAGGGTACTACTATGTACATGAGGACTGCCTTGCACTTACTTCGTTGTACAGGTTGGTCTCCAATCCCAGTGATCCTCCTGCCCTGATCTTCCAAGTGCTGGGATACAGGTGTGCACTATCTTATCCAGCTAGTTTTACCTTAAAGCAGATTATTTATATAGAACCTGAACAAAAGCATGCAAAAGAGCCAAACATATTTCTACTACTCACTGAAGCGGTTTTCTTAAACTGGTCAGGCTCTGTTGCCCAGGCTGGCCTTGAACTACTGCACTTAGATGATCCTCCTTCTTCAGCTTCCTGGATAGCTGGAACTACAGGCCCATGATGCTGTGCCCAACTTTACTTAGTTTGTTAATGAACCTAAAAAATCAGTAAAGCTCACTTTTCATCTGTTCCATAGCAGGTCTAAGATTCATGTTCACAAGAAAGCAACAACACTTAAGATGTTGATGCTTATCCCACCAGCTTCACTATTTATCTTTATCACTGTCTTAAGATTTCTCACTTAAAGGTGCACAATTACGGAAGTTCTCAGTTAAAGAATTCACTGATACTTCTTTAGGGAGCCAATTTTGATTTTGCCAGTCCAAAAGAAGACCCAACACACTGAAACCACATTTGTATGTTTAAGGAGCATCTCCCAAAATAACTGGTGCCCCATGGCAACAATCCACACCAGAGAGCATTAGATCACAGTGAAAAGTGTGCACCCGTGATGCTCCAGCTCAGCACTTGTCTGTTGAGATACATCTAGTATCCCAGACGTTAAAGTTCACATAAGGACACTGACCAGCACTTAAAATACTGTTTTCATGCCCATAATAGTATCAAATCTATTACAGGTGGGATGATACCATATTACAGGTCTAGATTGTAATTTTAGTCATGATGGAGTGAAATTCCACTAAGGTTGGCAAGTTTGTCAGAAATATACTCCACATTTAAGCAGCCCTCTCTGTGCTCCAAGACTGCAGTGAATACAGAGGAATATAACTATACTGGAAAGAGGAATATAACTATACTGAAAATGCAATTTAAAATAACATGCACACCATGACATTACCAATTGATTGTATTTTGGGGGAGCAGTAAGATCAGCAGTGATCTAGAATTTGGTCTTTGCATTGTTTTTCTGAAGCAAGTAGATATTTATAATCAATCAGTTAACTTCATAGCTTTACTTAAAGATGGGGAGGTTTTTCTTTAAAATAGCCATTGGCAAAATTATGGGTATTTATATTTCATGTCTGCCCTCCGTTAAGATGGCTTTTCCAAGAAAGAGCATTTAGGTCTTTATATGTCCATAACAAGTTCAGTGTTTTTACTACAGACACAATAGTTCATATTATTTGTTCTAAATTTTTTTTTTCTTGTTTGTTACCAGGGATCAAATTCAGGACCTCACACTTGCCAGGCAGGCACTTATGCCCCTAGCTAAATCAAGGCCTAAAATGATCATATCTAAAGTTTCAAAAATAATAGAAGTTTAATGACTTATTTGAATATGATTTTTTACGAATACTATTTTCTAATGTTCTACTCCTAAAACAATCATGTTCTAACACTGTCTTTGTAGGAAAGAGTCCTTAAACAGCAGCCAAAGCTGTGGGTTTTTGTAGGCTGAACAACACTGAACTCTTGATAGGTGATAGGATTTTTGGCGCAGTTAGAAGACAGAATATAAAGTGGCCTTTATTTTAAAGATGTGGGGAGAAACTCCTTACCACCAGGGTCTGGCTTTCTCTGCCAGACACGTGGTATGGGGGGCATACATATAGCTTTGGTCTGGGGTGGTGCCTAAAGGGGCATCGTTGATGCCCAAGCAGCCCATTGGAATTCACTTTGCGCCACAAGTAAATTGCCTAGGGGTGGGGAAAATGACCTCAAGGTAAATGTCCCTGGGTCCCACTTCTCACTGCTGTAGTGTCCTATCTAGGGCAAAATCCTTTAGCAGGCTGTAAATATTTCTACTTTTTCATGTTCAATACACTAATAAGCCTATTCATGCAATGTTACAGGTGAAGATCTTTTGGCAAGAAGTCAAGAATGAACATGGCAGGAAGAAATAGAATTTATTTTCAATGGAGTTAAACTGGAATGCTGACTTCTGAACTGCAACCTTCTTCACACATGATGAAATGAAGTCCACGGTGAGGACAAGTGGCACAGCGCTAAAAGCTGCCAGCGACTTCCTGCTGGCATGCAGGAGCAGCACAGGGGACCGCCGTTATAAATGCTGAGCTGGGAAACACCCCTAAGCGTGGCGGTAACTCTCTAAGAACAAGGTCAGCAAACTTTTGTCTGCAAAGGGCCAGACAGTAAATACTTTAGAATTGGAGACCATATGAACTCTGCTGTAATTCTGTTGTGTAAATTGTGTGTACTGCCAGAGGCCCACACTGACAAAAAGTACATGAATGAACAGAGCTGCATTCCAAGCACTGAAAGTGGAATTTGGACACTGAAAGTGGAATTTCATATAGTTTTCTCGTCACAAATATCCGTTTTTTTTCAACCATTAAAATATATAAAACAGTCTTCTTAGTTCAAGGGCTCTACAAAAATAGGTGGTAGGCTGGATCTGATAGCCCAAGGGCCAGAGTTTGCTGACCCAACTTAGAGAACTGGGAACAAGAGACACAGAGATCTGAAAACTAGCAAACTACATAGTGTAGCCTCTCAGTTCATGGCTGAGAAGTAAAAGCTTTTGGGGCATTGTAAGTGTAATTAAGTTCTGTAAGATTCATTAAAAGTAATCCAACATAGTTCCTATCCTGTGTACCATAGTGCACTCTTAAGATTCTTTTCACATATAGAAAAGATACTGGGTTTTTTTTGTAAAGGTTATTGTTCATATATTCACAGATTATTCCATTTTTGGTTTTCACAAAATGAATTTAGAACGATGTTGTAATGCCTTAATAAAAAACCTAATCATTTTTTTAAATCAAAAGTAGTTTTGTGGGGAAAAAAAGTAGTTTCGTGTTTAAAGTAGGTTTATTTATTTTGCAAGGTTTGTACTGACACTGTATTTGTATATTTATTAGCCGTACCATTTTAAATATGCTTTCTGTGGATTAGAAGCATTAGTGATTCTATTTGAAGGCAAACTTAAAATGTATACTTGAACATCTAAAATGGGTTAGACTTTCATGTAAAATAGCTTCATCTTTATTTCTCATTAACTGAAAAGCTGTGGACCCAAATTATATTTGATGTAAATTATTTTTTTAGAACTTTGCTGTACAAAACCCATTTAAATTCAATGGATTCTTCGTCTTGGTATGAAGCAAATTATGACTTTAAAAATGAAATGTTTTCCTCTAAAGTAAAACCCAAACTTCCATCTTTCCATTGGGATTAAATTTTAAAACATTTTTCTTAAAATTATAAAACACTTTAAAAATCCTTTGAGACTTTTACCAATTATAAAAATGAATGTTTGTTTTGCTGTACTCTAAAAAGTGTCAAATATATACAATGTTATTGAAAGTTCTTGATTACCATTTTCTTGCCAAAAGAATTCACACGATACTCCAGTTTAATACTGTTTGTGTAGTATTAAAGGCTTCCTTTTAACCAAATAATTTGTAATAACTGCACAATTCTACCCCACTTTTAAAATATTCCATAAACAGTTTATGAGGCCTCTATAAACTAACAGGTCAAATGGTTTGGTTTGGGCTACTAAGGGTTGAAATCTGAGTTACTGACCCCACTGGCTAAAGCCAAACTATGCTGAGTAATGAAATGCAAATCAACACAAGTTTCTCCAGAGTTATTATTTGGCGTTGATGCTTGCTAACAGCCGTCCCTTCTACCCACTATGGCCTTAGCATAGTTGTGGATTTGGTTATAACACAAATCTGAAACTTTTCCTCAGAATGAATGTGAGACTTGAGTGTTTACCAAGTAAATGAACCCAGCTTACAGCCTATGTTGCAACCCAACACCATGAGGATAAAGTACACATTGTACTGTAGTTTTAGGGATTTTAGGAAGGACAGACTACTCAAACATGTAAAGCAATTTACAATCTACTATAATCATGTGTCACTTAATGATGGGGATAGATTCAGAGAAATGCATGATAATCTCAAAGTGAATTTTCACAAACTAAGAGGCTATGGCATCATTAGACACAGGAATTTTTTTTTTTTTTTTAATTTAGAGAAAAAAAGCAAAACAGAAAAAAGGTAAAATACAGAATTTTTTAAAAAAACCTAAGAAATCACTAGTTGATAAATTACAGTTATTTTAGCTATAAAAAAAGGATTGAGGCTTTTATAGGTAAATGAAGGCAACTTGAGACAGGAATTCTTTAGCACTATTATAAGCCTATAGGATCACTGTCATGTACCATGACATGCCCACAGAGTGGTCTGTCACTAACCAAAATGTCATGCGACATATGACTCATAACCAACCAATACAACCTGGGTGTTTGCCAGAAATATGAAATTTTTATTTGAGCTTATCACATCTGAATTATATCAGGTAATAAATAAAATTACTGTTATTTAGAATGTATCTAAAATAACCACTAAGATTATATCCACTACTTTTTATAGTATAAGAAATCTGGATAGCAAATTCTTATCAGATATGGAAAAGAACCTAAATGTGCAAGTTGGGTTTATAACAATATTTCAAGAAGCTTCACTAAAGATGAAAGGACATGAATATGAACTTGACCTATTACATGGTGCTAGCTTTTTAAAATAAGTTCATCTGGCAATAAAGGGTGAGAGTTAAGGATTCATCATGACATGTGATACTGGAATGGAGGGGCTCTCTCAGCCACCTTTTTGTAATTCTCATTGTTTTGTGACATACTAGAGGGCATTAAAGAAATAGAGATAGCTGGATGAAATAACCACATTGTCTTCGCAGAAAGTACTCCCATGAGGTAAAGTATCTTTACATGTCATCTTTAACAAGTACAAAATTACAAATTCTCTAGATGGGGATAAAGATGAAGTCCAAACCCCATCTCAATGGCTTTGGATACAGTGGAATGGACGTGGAGCCAGTATGACTGACATCAATTCTTTGTAGCTGTATCTTCCCCTTCTTCTCCCTCTTCTAATATTTCTGTAGACTTCTCCTCAGCCCAGACACCCTAGGCCTTAACTATGAAAAGCAATCAGGGTTTGCCAGTAAATAACTCTAAAGCAAAGGTCCACCACAATTATGCTCCTATGCCAATGAAAAGTCGGGTTTTCCTGGCTGGTGTCTTTGACCTTATGCATGGCAGAGTAAGAGGGAGTCCTCAGAGAGTGCTTGGCAAGGTGGCAGTCCTATCCCTTTCTCTCACATCAGCACTGAGGCCACAAAGGTGAAGAAATGGGTGCCCTAAAAGCTATTAAAAAAGGGAGGCTACTTCTAGACAAAGTTCAGACAGGCCAACACTTCCATGAGCCACTGTTAATAATCTGTGTTTTCTGTTCTTCTACTATCAACTTTTCAAAGTCAATCTTTGACTAACAGCTAAGGATTTTGACACAGAAAAACCTGAATCTCTTTGAAACGTACACTGAGTCTACATGATAACTGTTACTCTTAAATGTTTGTTATGCTCAAGCCTGTAGTCAAACAACTCTGGGATCATACTTATTTCAGATGATATAACTCAGACACTGAATAAGGTAACAGCACATTTTTTTTAGGATACAAATGACTTAACTCAGCAGCAAAGATCATGGAAGATTTACTCTGTCTAACGCCATTACTGCACCTTCCTTTAAGGGCCTCGTTTAGTGCTAAGCCCATAGCGGGTGCTTAATATCTGTCTAGTTTAAAAATTGAGGCTGTAGATTAGTATAGTCTAAGTGTGTGTCTGTAATTACTAAAGATTAAAACATTTAACTCCAAAACTAAAACAAGTTATATAAAGTACATTTTATTCTCAAATTTATATAGGATATTCAAATACTGTATAAACACTTTTGTCGTTCCACTATGACTATATAATACAAGAATGTTAAAAGCATAATACAAGCGTACAACAGTTGATGAGTTTCTATTTTAAAACTGATTTTTCACCTGAATTACAATTTTTGCTGCCAAAATGAAATATGTATTTGGATGTTTGGAAATAAATGATTTCTGATAGGCACTGGTCACTCTGTGCTCTGATGGTGACAGACCCTTTGCTTATCCACACAAATATTTAAATTCTTAGACTGTTTTACATATAAATGATGGGTTACAAATATATCCTGAAACATTCCTTTCTCATCATTAAACAATCAAGCCTTAAAAATCTGGCCTCAGAAATACTTTTTAAATTACATATAAGCATATGCTAACATACATGGTTAGGCTTATGTCTGTTTCCTCTCTGCTGCAATGGAAAAGGAAGTTTCTATGTTAAGTTATCTCATGAGAAAAGAGTGCTAAGCTCCAGGTCAATATAACTGGCTTTCTATGACTGAAGTAGTAATATTTAGTTGGACTGCTGTTCCTTGAAAAACAAACAAAAAACTCACAATAGGAAAGAGAGAAAAAAGCCATTTTACTAAGCTATTAATTCATAAAGTATTCTCCGACTATGCTACAGCTATTATATAAAACACTACTTTGTAAGTACATTCATATGAATATACATTTTCCCTGTATTAAGTGGGAAAAGAAGGCTCTCTGCTGTGTACTCTTTATTGCTAAAATAGAATGGTAATCCCACACTTGTTTTTTTCTCCCGGGAACAACTCTTCCCCCACCATCCTCCAGGGACATGTCATAAAATGCACACAATTTCAAAATACTAAAATCCTAAGGTTTTTTTTGAAAGTAGCTGTCTTGGTCATTTTTTTTACTGCTGAGACAAAACACCCAAAGTTAAAGGGGGAAAGATTTATTTAGCTTACATTGTAGAGGTTTCAGTCCATTGTTGGCTGCTCCGGGGAAGAGTGGCAATTGGCAGCAGGGCGTGCAGAGGAAATACAGGGTGGGCAGGCACCCGGGTCCGGGAAAGGTCTTAACTGGTTTGCGATGTTAAAATTATCCACCGGAAGTCTCACTTTCTCTGCACTTCTCATTGGCCAGCAGCAGGGGTCTCTGTCTTTGCCTATCCTCATGACCTCCCAGGCCTCCCAGACCTCCTTTTAAACACTGCTGATGTGGTACCATTTTTTATTTCATCCCTCACCACACCCCTCACACAGTGAGCCGGAGGGCTCGGCAGTGAATACCTGTAATCACAGTTACTCAGAAGGCTGTGGGGCAGATTTCAAGGCCAGTCAACTTAGTGAGACTGTCTCCAAACTGAAACATTTTTAGTTCAGCACTCCCTGAGTTCAATCTCAGTATCACAAAAAAGAAAACTGTAACTTAACAGTACATTAAGAAGGAAAATTCCAAAATATTGGGAAGAACGGCTCTCAATTCTGCTTTCTTAAAGAAATGATACTTTCAAAACTGAGCAGAGCTCTCCGTGCCATACAAAGTGATTCTTCTTCTTCCAAACTGTTCTTAGGATATTTTCCTGGTATAAAAAAGTCCCAAATTAACAACATGTCTTTATATGTACCTGTACATAAACATAAATGTACAAAAGAAAGTCCACTGTTGTTCTTTTTTTGTACTATTTTAGTGATGTTTTTAAATATTTGGTGAAATCCAAGGATGACTGAGTAGCAACTTCATTGCAATGTTTTCTGATTAACTGATTCAAATCTTCATTTAGAAATGACTCCCCTTGTAAAACTTTATCCTGAAAAAAGATTTTAAAATATGAGTTAAAAGTTACTAGCTGAAATAACAGTAGCTAACACCACCAAGTAAGATATAATAATGAATGATTGGTCAGATATGAACTTGCCTGGTTAGATATGAACAAAACAGTCTCACTAACCATCTCTACTGAATTCCAACCCCAAACATCTATAATAATTATCAATTCTTTTTTTTTTTAAGAGACAGGGTCTCACTATATTGCCCAGGCTGGAGTGCAGTGGCTACTCACAGGCGCGATCCCACTACTGATCAGCACGGGAGTTTTGACCTGCTCCGTTTCCAACCTGGGCTGGTTCACCCCTCCTTAGGCAACCTGGTGTCCCCCGCTTCCGGGAAGTCACCATACTGATGCCGAACTTAGTGCGGACACCCGATCGGCATTGCGCACTGCAGCCCAGAACTCCTGGACTCAAGTGATCCTCCCACCTCAGCCTCCCGAGTAGCTGGGACTACAGGCGCACGCCACCGCGTCTGGCTTAATTGTCAATTCTTAAACAAGAAAAAAAATACCTATTTATAATTAAGCAAACTAGTATTACAGTCATTAAGAGAAACATTATTTTTCCTTTTAAAAAAATGAAAAATATCACATACTTTCCTTTTGGAGTTTGAAAATTCAACAGGAGGATTGAATGTCATTGCTGCCATGCTGTAGGTCTCAAAAAGTTCAACTGCGGATCTATAATCACAAATATAAGAAATGTAGGTTACGAATTAGATAGGTAGCAGACAGACAGGTAGATGGATGGATGGATGGATGGATGGATGGATGAGTGGATGGGTGGACACATGGAAATAGATTGTTTCCAAAGAATGCAATCAATCAATGAACCCACTTAAATCTTAAATTTCCATGTAATGACATTATCTAACTAAATCCAACTCAGAGAAATCTGGCAGACAGGTAGAAATGCAGGCCTAGAACCCAGAGAGAAGCTTAGTGTGATCAAATCCCAAATTAACCACAGTACAGTTTGTGAACGGTAACCAACTTTGTACAACCAGAGAACTGAAGCATGGAGTTATCCTCCGTGAACTTCAAATATGGCTCAATCCTTTAGCTACTGGCCTCAAGGGGAAATCTAGTGCCAAAAATATGTCTATAACCGTGGCATACAAATGAATCCTTACTGACTTAAGAGTTAGTTCACATTCTCCAAAGAGACAACAAAAGTCCTACCAATAGCTCTGATTAGATGAACACCCCAACCTCCAGTTTCCAGGGAAAGAATGCTGTGTCTCCCTCCCTGAGCCTTTGGAACAAACCATTCTTCATCTCCCTCTCGAAAAGGAAACTGGCACAAAGAAGTAAATGCCCAGGACCGCTAATGAAACCACGCCAAAAAATAACAAAAATGACAAGGAATGTTCTTTTTTCCCTTAAAAAACTAACAAAAAAAGTTTAAAAAAGAAACAAGGCGGGGGGAGGGAAAGAAAAGATAAATGGCCATTTTATTATTTAATAAAGACAAAAGTTATCATCTCCAGCCTACCCAGAAGGAAAGAGTTTTTGGAAAACTTCATAGTTCAATCTCACTTATGAGAAAAAGCAACTATATTGCCATGTAAAAATTCAGGTTAGGTCACCAAATTTAGTATTTCAAAAGAAGCTGGAAATACAAATTTAAGGTGATTCTTCCAATATTTAAAATACAGGAACTAATTCAATTTTTACTCAGACTCCAAAAGGGTAGAAAATCAGCCTGGCCCATAAATCAGTTCTAATCCCCAAATTAAAGAAAACAGAAGGCTGCTTACAAGAGCAGCAAAGGACAAAATATTAATTCTGAGTTTGGGAACATTTCAAGGTGCAATGGTTTGAAGAAACCTCTCTAAAATTCAGGTACTGAAACTTAAAGGCCAATGGGATAGAGAGGGCGTGGGAGGGTTGTTTTCTTTTCAGTACAGGGGACTGAATCCGAGACCCCCGCCCCCTTTTTATGTATTATTTGGAAACAGGATCTTATTAACTTAACCAGACTGGGCCTGAACTTGAAGTTCTACCTCAGGTTCCCAGAGTGCCAGAGTAATAGGTATGCACTGCAACAGCCAGATCCTACCCACCCCATCCCACCCCGCCACACACACCAATTCAGTACCCGTATGTATAGTACTGGAGATTAAATTCAGGCTCTTCACACTGAGCTGCATCCCCAGTCTGCTTTTAATTTTGAGACAGATCTCATTAAGTCCCTAAATTGACCAGGCTGGGCTCAAACTTGTGATACTCCTCCTTTAGCCTGCCACAGTGCTCAGGTACAAGAATCACCCCAAGTTCAAGGCCAGCCTGAGCTGCACAGGGAGACCCTGTCTCAAAAGACAAACAACAAAGAAAGCTAATCAGACCACAAATTCCTCTGTCCGAGTGAGACACAGACTCTTGTACAGGATACTATACATGGCATTTAGCTAGCCTGTCACTCTGCCTTCTGCCCTGTGAGGGAAAAGTGATACCAACAACATAAATCTTGCAAGTCAAGTTCGGCCTTCATCAGACAATGCAACCTGCCAGCGCTTTGAACAGTAAGGAAAGAAATTTCTGTTCTTTATAAATTACTCAGAATCAGGGATTTTTCATAGCAGCATAAGTGAACTAAGATAAAACTACCATTTTCTCTCCTTTTTCTTTGTAACTGAAGTTTTTGCTAATTTTGTTAAAAAAAAGATAATATTATGCTTTCGACTTTTGAATAATTTCAAAATAAAACTGGGGAGATAGAAAACTGTTTTAGAAGGACCCTTTTCCTCATCCAGAAGCAGATGCAGAAAGGACCCATTTGAGTACCTGGTAAATGTGAGGCACTCCCACCAAGGCCAATGAAAAAACTGTTGCTTTCCTGCTGGCAGTGTTTCAAAACACCTTTCTCAGCTGGGGGTTTAGCTCAGCGGCATAAGCGCCTGCCTTGCAAGCAGGCAGACATGAGTTCGATCCCTGGTACCGATAAAAAGGAAAAAGACAAAAAAAAAAAAAAACACCACCTTTCTCTCTCTCTCCACTTAGGTGCTGTCTTTCTTTATGCAAATAAATAAAGCAGGACGCAGAGGGGTAGGGGAAAAAAGAAAAACCAAGGAAGATCACTTCTAGATAGGCAGTATTTTATTAACTGCTGCAACTTAAATGATGGTACAATTCACTACTATTCTTTTTACTTTTCCTGTGTGAAACTTTTCACAATTTCATTTTTAAAAGGTCTGAGGAATTATCCAATACAAACTAATAAAAGCATCACCCAGCGTATTTCCTCTATACAACAATTCAGAAATATGAAGTGAAACCAAACCAGACACCCAACTTTCACTTTACATTTTATAATCTAGTACTTTATAAAACAGACTTTTCAAAGTAAATAACAAGTTAGAGTTTGGTCTTTTTGTTTTGTTTTTCTTGTGGTACTGAAGAGCAAACCCAGGGCCTTGCACATGCTAAGCAAGTGCTCTACCATACAGCTGAATCCCAGCCCTTGACTTTTGTACTTTTAGACTAGGGCAATACTATAGATTCAAGCCTCTGCACCACAAACACACGTATATACGTATGTCCATACATACACACAAACATACAAAAATACAAACTGGAAAAAAAGGAAGAAAGAAAGAAAGGCGGGGGGGGGGGGAGAAGGAAGGAAAGAAAGAAAAGAAAAGAAAAGAAAAAAAAGACAAGACAAGACTAGACTGGCTAAATGATACCTTCGGCTCAACTCTGGTTTGAGTGCTTCAGAACCTTCCGAAGGTGCTCCAGCGAGCAGATGAGCTGCAAATCTCTGCACTATGGGATGATAATGTCCCTGAAGAGAAAATAAGACAACCATGTTTTACACAGGTCAGTACCTGAATATTATCTTTGTTTAAAAAATTAAAATACAAATCTCTTTGATGATCAAATTATCAGTTATATAGTCTTGCTTTTATAGTATGAAAAAGAAACTTCAAAAAGCAATCTCTTTCTGACCAAGAAGTTAGTTTACAAGTTATCCGATATTTCTATTTTGTTCAAGGCTCGTTCCATTGCTATCCTTACTGTAGGACCACGGACACTGTAGAGAAGGGTGAAAGTACCTAACGACATCTCCTTAAACAGGGTCCAAATACAAATACAACTAACAGCAAAGGTTCTTATGTTCTAAATAGGGCTATGGAAATATTTCATAAGTCTTATATAACTTCAACTGATCAAACTCTTTACTGCTTTTTGCTCCCTTAAAAAATGTCTCCCATAGCTTAGAGAATAGTAAAAGCAAAGCAAATATAACAGTATTAAAACAGGAATCCTAAAAAAGGCATCTCCAAAACAAAACAGCAATTACAATTCCTATGGCAGTGGTGTTTTGTAGAAGAGGCCTCTCACCCGCAGTGCATGTAGTTCCCACAGGGCAGTGTTCTGAGCATTGCAGTACTCAGGTTCATCCAGCTCAGGCAGGAAAATCCCACTTCCCTGAGAGTCACTGTCAAGTAACAGATCTGTTTTCGGGAAAGTCTGAGAGAACAGCACATTTTAAAAAATTAACACTGACAAACTTTTATTGGTCTATACTTGGACTTCATTTAGATTTATGGCTGTATACAAGCTATAAGCATAAGATTTCTGTACTTAGGCTGCTATTTTTTGTTGCTGCTGTTTTTTGGGACAAGGTTTCACTTTGTAACCGAGGCTGACCTCAAACTCTCAGCAGTTCTCCTGCCCCAGCCTCCCCAGTGTTAGGATTATAGCTGTGTGGCACGACATCCAGCCTCTATTTAGCGTTAATATAAGTTTGTATCATAAGAGACAAAAATTACAAAGAAATGTCATGTTTTATTTGACTTTACTCTGTCTTGCAAATGAAAATAGTCCTTCTACCCTCCACTCTCATTTTCAGGAATCTTTCTAATAGAAATACTTCCATCAGACACATACAAAAAATATTCGCTTTGGCATCATTTGTAGGAACAAAAAACAACAGTTATGTGTATTATTCAAGAGAACCACAAAGAAGCAGAACAGCCAAACTACCTAAATTTAAATCTCACTTCTACTACTCACTAGCACTTTAGGTAAGTCACTCTTTATGGACCTCTTTTTCCATTGATAAAATAGAAACAATAATGATAACCACCTCAATTATAAAAATTAAGTGAGTTAATCTTTGTAAAGCATTTATAACACTGGCAGGCACATAATTAAGAACTGTACGTTTGTTAAACAAACCACTAAATAAACCCTCATCATTAAAAGATAAATAGGAATATCAGTACTGACACAGAAATGTAATCTGTATGATGCATGTGTTTACATATGAATAAAAATCTACACAAATGATACTCACTAAATGGTAATAATAGTTACTCTGGGGAATACCAACGGAATTAGAATGCTTTTCCTTTTGTGATTTTATGTACTTCCTCTGTCACCTGATTCTGTTACAAGTTACTTTGTTTTTTCTTTATAAAGAGTTGGCTTCGGGGCTGGGGATTTAGCTCAGCGGCATAAGCGCCTGCCTTGCAAGCAGGCAGTCGTGAGTTCGATCCCTGGTACCGATAAAAAGGAAAAAGACAAAAAAAAAAAAGAGTTGGGTTCTTAGCCAAACATGGTAGTGTACACCTGTGATCCCACCACTCTGGGAAACTAAGATAGGAAGATAATAACTTCGAGCCATGCCTACGGATCTTAGGAATTTGGTAAAATAAATAAAAGAGCTAGATAAATATCTCAGTGTAAAGGCCTTGCGTTCAACCCCCCAGTACCACAATAATTCAATCAAGTTGGATTTTCTTTATGTTGCCCAGCTGGCCTCAAACTTCTAAGTTCCACTGGTCCTCCTGTATTGCCTCCCAAATAGCTGGAATTATGTGTCACTGCACCCAAAGATAAATTACTTTCACAACTGAAATAATAGAAGACAGAAAGTAAAACATGAATCAAACAAAATGGCACTGCACTATACACATAACGGCTCTGCTCTTTTCATTTCCTACGTACGTGCATTAATGTCCGAGTAGTAGCTAAAAGGCCAATGCTTGAATTTGGCAGAACCTGAAGAGCAACGGTACAAAGACGCTTGATGAAGGCAAGGGCTCGCTGCTGAGAAACTTGCTTTCTGCGCTTGGTTAGCATGACATCAAGGCACTGGAGTAGAGTCTCAACACCTTCATTGGTGGCACCTAAAACAACAGAAATATTCTTCAGAGCTTTTTCATTATTGAACTTCACTGAACTTCAGAAAAAAGGTGAACTGTCATAGCTGTCCAAAGGCATTTCTCTAACCAATAAGAAGCACCAAGAGATGGAACAGGTGGCATGTACTACATTTCCTCCCACTCCCAAAAGTTCTCTCTCAGATGTATGGCCCTGGCAAGCCAGCTTTTTTTTTGGGAACTGGGAATCAAACTCAGAACACTTGCCAGGCAGGTGCTGTGCCACTGAGCTATATTTCCGACCAAGGCCAGCATTTTATGTACCATTTCTTATTTCTCACGGATTATAATTCTGTTCATAACATATTCATGGTAGGTAAATACCTGTTAAGGAAACACTGCCTACACATACATACCAGAGGGAGAGGAGAGGGGAAGAATAAAGGAATTAAGGTATGTTGTGTACATGCACCAACTCCTCAAAGGGAAGGTAATCATTATGGACTGTAAATATGTACCAATAAAAATAAAATAAATGAGAATACACACCTGCATGTAATTTGAACAGTGTTTTGTAAAGATGCGTATAGAATTTCATTGGATCAATATTTAAAACATCACCTTTGAAATGATAACAAACACAAATTAGGTATGTTATAGCCTCCAAAGATAAAGCAAATAAAACTTAATTAAGAAAACACCTTACCTTGCCCAGAAAGAATATAAAAAGCAGTCTGCACACAGTGAAGACTTTCTTGATAGCTTAGGTCCTTAAAAAAAAAGATATTAAAAATGATAATTAAGAGCTGGGAATGGAGCTCACTGCTAAGGAGTGTACCTAATTTACATCTCTAAAAAGTAATTCACTAATACATTAATAGAGTTACTTACACCAGATTCAATTAGAGTATGAAGAACTACCAATAAGTCATCAAAAAATTCCACATTTATAAGGTGAGCAAACCTAGAACCAAACAAAACTCAATTAACTTAAAAGCAGAAGTTAAAATCAGGTAAAAGTGAAACATAACTTTAAATCTGTATTTTTAATACTCCTTATTTCAAATGTTAGCTATTATGGGAAAAAACGATGATTATCAACAGTTTCCATTAATCTTCACTGGCTTTTTCAACAATTCACACACAGCTGAATAATATACTCAGTAGGAATATATGAGGCACAAAATAAATTAAAAGCATTTTAAAATACTTCTGTCCTGAAACAGGTTGTTGAAAACAAACATCCCTGAGGAACGTTTCTTATGTTCAGTAGTATTCTAAGTCATAAAGGAGGTGGCAAATCAGCTTCTAGGAAAACGAGAGAGAGGAATCTTGGAACTGAGGGTATAGGTCTGGAGTAAAGTGTGTGCCTAGCATTCACAAGGCCCTGTGCTCAATCCCAAATACCAGTAAAGAAGAGGATGGACCCAATGACAGCTTTAAAGATAAAATGGAGAGAATACTGGACCTGGTATCTAGTTCAGGCTGTGCTACTCATTATCTACATAAAAACTGTCACCTGAGTTTCCTGAACCACTATTTCTACAAAGAACTGAGGCCATTATTAGGACTAGACAATTATATGAGCACTAAATCTGAGACTGCTCTGTACACTATAAAATATTAGGCACCAAAGTAGGTTACAGTCAGAAAACTTCTACAATACTAGTTAAGAGTTTTGATGCTATGCAAATCCTCAGTGAACAAAAACAGCAGAAATGATACCCTTAGAAGTGATTCATTCTATACATATTGGTACCATTTTGTGAGAAGCAATTTGGCATTATTTATCAGAAAATAAAATAAGAATACCATTTTTAAAAGAGTATCTTTTAATCTGTCCATAACAAGTAAATGAAGATATGTAGTATATCAATAAGCATTTCTAAATGTAAAGTAACATAGGGTACGGCTAAGTAAGCCTTCATATCCATAAAATGGAGTATTATGAACTTAAAAAATTAAGTAATCTATTGGGGCAACCTGGAAAGATACCTAGAGTTTAACCCGTCCCTCCAAAAAAGCAAGTTACAAGGCACAGCATGATTCTATTCATGTTAAAAAAAAAAAATCAGTAGACAGAAAATATATACGTTTAGAGGTGAGGAACTTAAACAGTAGGTCTTATATCATACAGGAATAATCCCTTTTTTGGTCAGTCTTTCTTTGAAGATTTTCAGTTGCAAGGATATTACCTTATAAAGATATGCATCCCACAATTAAACAGCTCCAATCATTAGAAAGAAATGCTTTGCCTATTCTGTATCTTCTAGTCATTCATCCTACGTCTAACTATATCTAGAACTGTGCTTCCTCACAATGGTAGTCCAAACTGAGATGTATATAAGTATAAAATATATACCAGTGTTCAGGCAAGTTAAAAAAAAAAAAAAGACACCAAGTATCTCAGTAATGCTTAGTACTAACTGATTATAAAACAGTATTTTAGGTAAATCAAATACACTCAAATTAATTTCGCCTGTTTTTAACTGTTTACTGTGGCTAACGGAAAATTTTAAATTGTACATTTAATTCCAGTTATATTTCTATTGAATAGCAATGTTCTATAGGATACTCCCTTAAATTTAGATGTGAAATGCTATCTTAAAAGTTATTACCCTACCTCACATTCCCCAACAAGTCATTAGTGTTGATAGAATACACAAAAAGAATAATTTCAGCAGCAAAAGATTACACAGGACTAGAGAAATGATGAGCAAGCCAGGTTAAATCAGTGTGCATGATCAACCCAAGTGTGGTGGTAAATAACTTACTAAACAGGCAAATCAGGACCAGAAGTGAGAAATGAATCTTAAGGATACCTAGAATTTACTAAGAAGAGGAAAAGAATGAAGGAGTTTTAATAATGAAAGGTTTAAAAAAATAAATGAAAAGTTTGAGATGAGAAAACCAAACAAGTCCTTTTTATAAAAGTGTTTCACACAATTTACTCTTCCTGTGAGCCAGCAGAAGCCATGCTGGGCCTGAGAGGAGAAATAAGAAGCCAATGCACCCTTCCTGTGAGCCAACCAGCACATAGGCTGGGAGACAAGAATATCATTCCCTCATCAGCTCCCCTCTCCCACTGTAAACAAACTGGCTGATTGAGTGGAACACAGACTGAGCTGATAGCAACTGAGGTACAAAAACAGCTTAATCCTTGTATTGTTTGACTTTGCAGGCCTAAAGCCGGAAGTTTGAGCATCCTTTAAGAGGTTAACAATAGGCAATATAGTAAATACGGAGGATTTCCTTTGGTCTTGTTTTTGAAATCCAGTAATGTTCTCACTGTTTTGTTCTGTTCCATTTTACTGTTTTGTTCTATTCAATGTTCTGTTTTGACTGATTTTATTCTGTTCTGTTTTGTTTGATTTTATTATGGGTAGCAATTCTGAAGATAACAAGAGGTATTATGGTAGTCATTGCTGATTTCCTATTATCCTGTTTTGAAGTCCTGTATCACTTTCACTGTTTTGTTTTGATTGGTTTTATTGGTTTTTTTGTTTGGTTTTATTCTCTTTGAAAAAAAATTTAACCCCTCACAATTTTGTTTTAGTTTTTTTTTCCTTTTTCTCCTTGAAATAAAACAGATTTGATCAGGCATGGTGGTTCATGCCTGTAATCTCAGCACTCCGGAGGCTGAGGCAGGAGTTTCGTTGCAAGTTTGAGACCAGACTGGGCTACAAAGTGAGGCCTGCCCAAACTGCATAGCGAGACCCTGTCTCAAAAAGACAAAAAAAAAAAAAAAAAAAAAGAAATAAAATAGATTTGGAAAAAAATAAACTACAAGCAAAAAAAATTAAACAGTCCTAAATTTTAAAAAAATTAAATTGAATTAAATTTTTTAAAAAGTCTCAAAAGAAAGACTGATGACAAATAAGAAAGAATGTGGACTGAGGACCTTAGGGAACCCTGTTTAAAATTCATGATTACTTTGGTCTTGTCTATTTAGAAAAAATCTGAAAGGTTGCAACCTACACAGCCCTTACTTGGCAAGACCTTCTAAAACTGCTGGCAGGAGAGGTGATCTCTGAGCCTTCTTTAATATTCTGAAGTAGGTCACGAACACGATATTCAAAGTCTCCGTGTGCTGGCAGAGGAAATAGACAAAATCACTGTAGGATAATCCAGTATACTTTCCCCAGGCTGAATTATGACTTTCAAAATTAAATCTTATTTCCTTCCCATCCCTCCCCACAATTCAATCTTTAGAATTTGAACAAAACAAAGATACATGTCTTGTGATTACATAAAACTAGCAGAGATCACATATCAGTTTGTTGCACATCACAAATCACCTGTCATAAAAAATCAAAATTATATATACACAAGCCAAAACAATAAATTGTTAAAATTATTTAACAACATTTTGAAAGCATATCAGCATACAGAACTGCCTACCAGTTTAAGTTTTTTCTCTGTACTCTCTGAAGCTTCTGCTTCCCGAAGCTCTCGCTCTAGTTTTTCCTCTGCTTTCTTCCACTGAAAACAAATAAAAATTAAGAGTATACAGTAAGAGTCTATAACACTAATTGAAAAAAGCAGGAAGAGAAAATATCGATCTAAAAAGACATACATAACATGACCACATAGGAATATATGTATAAACATAAACAAAAGTAAAACACATGAATAAGACCATCCAAATCAAATTCATAAAGGTGGTTGCCTTTTAGAAGGAATGGAAAAGAATAAGATTGGAGAGTAAATCAAAGGAAAATCCTACTTTTGCCTCAATGTTTTTCTTTCAAGAAAAAAAATAAAATGCATTAACATTTGCTTATTTTTGGTTAGTTTTCATTTTTATTAGTACATATTTACAGTATATAATAACTGTATTCATTGTGAGACACTGGTACATATAAAACACATCTTAATTTTTCTAACGTCCCCTATTCATTCTGAATAATAGGTACATGCAAAATGCTATCATTTTCTATAATATCAATTTTTAAGAAAAGTGCTAAGTCCCAAAACAATTCCTAATGTTAAATAACCCATAACAGATTTCAACCTACGCAGCCCTTACATGGCTATGTGGACCCATCATCAACAGTTCTCTCTCTGTTTCTATAAAATAAAGCCACATTTTTTTCCACTTTCTAATGCTGGAAAAGCAGCAAACAATGGTCAGTAAGCTGCCGCACACAGGGAACTGACCGAGGAAGTTTCTCTCCAAGAGAAACTGATAGAGATGCCATGTTTTTATTGGGTCTTTGTCATACCCCCACCCCCACAACAGCTATATATATATATATGCTGGATCCAAATGTTGTTTTGGGTTTTTTTTGGTGGGGGGGGGATAGGGTCTCCCTATGAAGTTCAGGCTGGCTTTGAGCTCACTTTGTAGCCCAGGCTGGTCCCGACCTTGCAACAATCCTCCCGCCTCAATTTCCTGAATTCTGGGATTTACAGACGTATGCCACCATGCCTGGCTTGGAGCCATTTTAAGTATTTATATTATCCCAATATATTTATCTTCATTTGTAATTGTTAAGTTTCATTTTGATACTTCTATCATGCTTTCATAATTCATTAGGCCAATTCAAAGATGGAAGTGCCTGAAAATATTTTTTATAATCACTATCATTATCCTAACAGTTTAGCAATATTTTGAGATGTTATAATAATAATGTTGGTAACAGTGATAAGAACTAGTTTACAAAACAGTCCAACATTATAATCTTATCAAGTGCTTCACATATGTGTATAATGACCTTGTAAAGTATTAGCCCTTTAAAAAAAAAAAAGTTTTCAAAGTCTCAGTAAGTAATAAGGGATTGGAATTTCAACCTATCTAACAAGAGGCCAGAATATTAGCCAATCAAAAATGTGATCCAAACCTAGGCATGGTGACTCACACCTGTAATCCCAGCGCATAATTGAGTTCAGGGCAGCCTGAACTATACAGTGAGACCCTGTCTCAAAAAAAAAAGTTCAGAAACATGACCCAATTAACAGAAACTCACTTTACTCTCATTTTAAAAGAATTGTATCTTTTCTGTACGGAAAAAATTTATGTCTTACAACGATCTTACACTGATCTAAAAAACCAAAAGATAAAAGCCCACAAGGCAAAAATATCTTTTCTTTCATTATTCACTTGGCCAATAGTTGTCAGTTCAAATTGATTTTAACAAAAGATTTCTTTGCAATAAGTGGGAAAAAGAAAAATAAATATAAAATTTCAACAATGTTTTTGTTTATTTGTGGGGTTTTTGTTTTGGGGACAGTCTCACTGTGTTGTCCACAATGGCCTGAACTCGGGCTCAAGTGATCTTGCCTCAGCTCCCACGAAGCTGGGAGTACAAACATGCACTACCACACCTGTCTTCCAGATTTCAAGTCTTATACTTGTATTTTAACTATGACTTTCTTCCGCCTAGATTATGACTTCAAGAAAAAAATAAAACAGCATATTTAAATGAAACAAAAAAAGAAATCAAACCTTTCTCTGCATTCTTGATAGTGTTTTTCTCTTTTCCTTAAAAGTCATGAACTTTTTTGGTTTATTAATGTCCTCTGTATCTTTCTTCAGTTCTACTTCCTTGATTCTTAAGCACAAAAATGTTTTCAACATCTAATATTGAAAAAAAAATTTTTAAAACACTATTAATCTTGCCTTCAAACACTTTATATAGAAAAGCATTTAACAAGGCTATTTCCTTCATTCATGTAAAAAGACTGAAACACCCTTCATCACATTTTATAACAAGTCCTACTATCTTTTTGCTGATCGTATTCATTTATTTGTGTCTATGAAAGGCCATCAGTACTTAACTAAACATACAAATTCTGCTGTTTAATGAGTATGAGGAGAGAATACATTACCTGCATTGGCAGCTAAGATTACGAAGAATACACAGAACAAACAGAAATATCTAGGAACAGTATGGAAGGAGGAGGTATAAACTGTTTCTAAACCAGCTTTAATCTACTGAACCTGGTTCAGTTTTACAGTTAACAACAGTTAACAGTCTTCATCTGCTTCTCACAAAAAAACATAGCATAAAGACTACCATTAAGTTAGAGACACCTTATTTTAGTTTAAATAAGTGGTTCCCCAACTTTAGCAAGCATCAAATCACCCGGAAGACAAGTTACAACACAAATTAAGGACACCATCCCCAGACTTTCTGATTTAGTAGGTCTGCAGTGATATCCCAAAGTTTGTATTTCTCATTTCCTGGCTGATACTGGTCCAAGGACCAAAATAGGAACTATTTATTGCCTTAGTCATTCAAAAAATTCAGAAACTACCTGAGAAACTAATGCTTTATGTGCTATATCAACTGTCCTCACATTCAAACACACACAAAAAGCAGGGGTTAAAACATTACGTTTTCTCTGGAAAAAACACCTTAATGATTTCCTACAGCCATAGCAACACTATGGAACACAAACTTAAGAACTAAAGATGTGCATCATTTGGATGTTTCAATGAATACGTTTGGAAGAAATCAAGTATTTTAGATAACAAAGTTAAAACACAGAGTAAAAAGGAACACCAAAGGTATAAAGTAACCTAAAGCATTCTAGATACTGAACGAATTTTTAATATTTTGTTAAGGTATTGTATGCACTCATAAAGTAACTCATCAAAGAAAAATAACTCCAAATTAACAGATATATTACTTAGGGGCTGGGAATATAGCCTGCCTAGCATGCATGAAGCTACTGTTCAATCTCCAGCATCACAAGAAAAGAAAAAAAAAAGATACAGCTTCATGTGCAAGTCCCATTCTCAATAAAGGTGGTAAATATTTTCTCTTACTTGAGCCCAATATATTTCATTTTAGTGGTCTAACTGAAATCATCAGGGCTTTTTTGTTTTGTTTTTTTATTTGAGTATAAGGAATCGAAATCAGGACCTCATGCTGGCCAGGCAGGTACTGCCACCACTGAGCTAAATACTGGCCCCCGAAATCATCAGTTTAAAAAAAAAAGAGGAATTTAATAGCAAAGAAAGATTATGAAATAAGGAAATAAAACACCCAAGTACAAAAAAACCATTTTACCAAAATTATAGACCTAAAAATAAATTTATAAAATATATCAGCCAGGCATGGTAGCACACACCTACAAATCCAGAGCTCTGGGAGGCTGACAGAGGAGGATTGAAAGTTCAAGCCCAGCCAGAGCAACTGAGCAAGACCTTGTCTAAAATAAAGATTTTTCAAAGAGCGAGGGATGTAGTACAGTGCAAATCCCCTGGGTTCAATCCCCAGTACCATAATAACAGACATACAGATCCAAATTAAGAAAACTATAGTAATGTCACTTAAGAACATATCACCCTAAATCTCAATATATAAAATATTCTTGAATAAAAAAGATCAATTCTGTAAATACTTTAATCTTCCTAACCTAATTTATACATCAATTCCAATAATAGTCTGCATGGACCACTGCAGGAAATGTAATAATAATAAAAAAAAAGGTCATAAATTCTATGTAAAATACACACACACACACAACACACACACACACACAAATAATATTTTGAGCCAGATGTGGTAGCACAGGCCTGTAGTTCCAGCACTCAGGAGGCTAAGGCAGGAGGATCATCATAAATTCAAGGTCAGTCTAGGCTACAAGGTGAGTTCAAGGGCAACCTGTACTACATAGTAAGATCCTGTCACAAAAAGCAAAAACACCAAAAAAATATTTTGGAAAAAGAAGAATTATTCATAGCTTTAATCAATTACACTCATTTTGATCAGTATTTCCCTACCCACAACTGTATTATATTTGAAGTATAATATTCTATTGAAGAATCAACAGAATGGAACTAAGTAAAACTCTGTGTATACTGGAACTCAGATTAAAGGCAGCATTAAACACATGAAAGGCAGCATTTTAAATAAACAAAACAAAGAAAATAATGTTGGAATAACTACTATTTCAAATATTATTAAATACCTATTCAGAGAAAGATGTCAAATAGCTTATATATGTAATTTTTAAAAACCACAAAAATTAAAAACACTCTGGCAGGAAATAATCTATAAATCTTGAGACTGAGGTGCTCTATGCCTGACAGAAATACAACCTCATACATAAAGTTCAACAGCAAATTCAGTAGCAATTTAACAACAAAAAGTCTGCAACCTATGTAACAAAAAGATTTAAAATTCTTAATATGTGGTACAGGTTCCACAAACACAGTTTATTTCTTATTCTTTTATCCCTATGACCTAGAATAGTGCCTAGCACATAACAAATATTTATTGAAATAAATGATTATTTTTAAAACTGTTATAAGTTATTAAAGAAAACAAATACTTGGTAAGAAAAACTGGTACGTACAGGTACAGATAAATAAAAACCGGTAAAAATTTCAAATGAGCAGTGAATATATAGAAGGAATCAAAACCTTCCTAATAAATATTTACAAAGAAATATACTGTACAGTATCTTTTCACCTACCAGACTAATAAAAGAAAAAAAAAAAAAGTGACACTGAGCATGGAGTAAATAGTGAGGAAATGATTAGTGAAATTTAATTATTACTTAATAATAACACTAGTGAACATTTAATCACTAGTGGACATTTAAGAGATATGTTTCTGGAAAACAATTTGTCAGTCTCAAGTTTTTAAGTATTGTTACTACTGACTCCAGTATTGACACTTCAGAAATTTACTCAGTATGAAAAAAATATTCCCAAGCGGTTCTCTTCAACACTTTGTAACAGCAAAAACCTAGAAACAAATCAGCTGCCCACCAACTAGGAAACCTCATATTCATATACTGTAATATTATGGCAGATACAAAGAATGGGATAGCCCTAAACAGCCAATAGTTCACAATATATAAAATGAAAACTGTTCTAGAACAGTTTTTATAGTACAGATCCATCTTTTATTTTAAAATATAAGCAAACACGTGTCTGCACAGAAAAACACCTGTAAGGATGAAACAGTTAACAGTGCTTCACATTTAAGGAGTTTGAGCACTTTTATTTCTTACTTTACATACTTCAATAAAGAATAAATTCATCAAAACAACTACACAATTTAAAATACATAAAACACAAAGTAAGAAAAGAAAGGCTTACCTCTGGCCTAACTTCGTAATTTCTGCCCTTCACAAAGCCAGAAATCACTTTAATCACACCAAGAGAAGCTTGGCCTAATTTATCTTGTTTAAAGAGTTTCTTTACTGCCTCACAACACATTTCAGATATCTGAAAAATAAATGTTATTATTAAACCAGTGTTTCCAAACCTTGGTACTAATCTTATTTTGGGCCAGATACTTCTTTATTGCGAGGAGCTGTTCTGTGCATTTTAACAGGTTAAAAATACTCCCTATCTTGAACCCCAGATACCCCACTACCACCACCAATTATGACAATCAAAGCTGTCTACAGACTCTGCCCAGCATTCCTAGGGGGCAAAAGTGCCCCTTCTTTAGAAATACTCCAGTTTTATTCAAATGATTTTGATAAAAAGTGTTTAATAAATAATGGTTCCAAAAGAATGGAGGGGGTAGGAATCACATGGCCTGTTCAACTTCTGTGAAGCTCTTTGGTCTAGGCGGCACAAGCGCCATGACGACGGGAACGTCACCCTTTGGAAAGCGTCGTAATAAGATGCACACATTGTGCCGCCGCTGTGGCTCTAAGGCCTATCACCTTCAAAAGTCGACTGTGGCAAATGTGGCTACCCTGCCGAGCGCAAGAGAAAGTGTAACTGGAGCGCAAAGGCTAAAAGGCGAAATACCACCGGAACTGGGCGAATGAGGCACCTAAAAATTGTGTATGGCGGATTCAGGCATGGATTCCGTGAAGGAACAACACCTAAACCCAAGAGAGTAGCAGTTGCAGCATCCAGTTCATCTTGAGAATTTCAGCGATTACTCAAAATAAACGTTTTGGTTTTACAAGAAGGAAAAAAAAAAACTTCTGTGAAACATAACAGCAATCATTTAAAGCAACTTACTGATTTTGACACATCATTCATGAGAGGGACAATCAATACAATGATGTTGTTGTGAAAATTAAAATGAGGCAGAGCCACCAACAGCTCACACAGGCTTTTCACAGCCACTTGAGCCAGTCCTCTGTATGCCTTTAAGGAGACCACATTACTTTTCTTCAGCTTTCTTTGCTTCCAATCTAATTAAAAGAAAAATGTAATTAATCATTGGCCAGTATTTAAGCTAATTAGTTTTCTCTTACAATAAATTTGTATTTCACAATTTTAAAAACTAGAAGAAAACAAAGAAAAGATTTCAAAGCAGTGTGATTTGCTTAGAAAAAGTCTATACCAGCATGTTCAGAGAATACTAAACCTGTGAAATGTTCATATATGCTTATGTGTAAAATACACTGGATTTTAAAATTAGGGTCACATAAAAGAAAATTAAAACACTACAATACCCTGACTGATGTGTTTTGAAATTTTATTTTAGTTGTTTTCTTTTTTAGTTTTTCTCCTTGAAATAAGATGGATTTGAAGAAAATGCACTGCACTGATTTTCAAAACAAACTACTTGCTGACATAATTTAAGTACATAATTTACTGTTAAAATTAATTTCATTACTTTTTAACTTAAAAAAAGAGGCACCTCATTTTTTAAAAATGACATGTGCAGCTCATATTATAGTTTCACTGGACATGGCTGGTCTGTAACAAAGTTCCTAGGTTATACCCTTGAAAGAAAATATGCTAGTGAGTAGATTCCCATTGGAACACCAAAATATAGAAGCAATATTCATGGCAGGCACACCATTCCACTCTCCTCCATCAGGATTCAGGAGTCTTAATCCAGCTGACAGTAAATATGTGATCCTTAGGCCCAATGCAAGTGAAGGAACCCAAATGGGTCAAACGCCCTAAGTGACTAAATCTTTTCTCCATTCATACTCCAATTTTTCCTAAGCCCTTTCTTTGCTGAAGAAACAGAAAAAGAAAGGTTTGATAGAAGAGTTTATTCTCCTCAATAACTGATTGTTAAGTTCATTTTTAAGGACAATCATATCCATCATAAGGTATCTTTCTCCTCTGACTAGCATTTCCAAATTTTACAAAAGAAGATTAAATCCCAAGTGTTCATAAATTCAAAAACATCAACAGTAATGTTAATAATAATAGCAAATAAAATGATAGTATCCAGAAATGCTAGGCACCATCTTAATTGGTTTATAAATTCAATTACTTCCCACAATAATCCTGTGAGGCAGGTATTATTATTATTTCCACTTTATTAAGAGGAACACTGAGGCACAGAAAGACAAAAGTAACTGACCCATTACGAAGTTAATAAAGGTAACAAGTGGTAGAGGCAGGAAGTGTCATTCAAGTCCTCATCTGATACCTGCCTGTCACTACACCACACCAAATATAATTTGCTTTATGACCAGACTAAGTATGTTATGTATTTTTAACATATATTTAGTATACCTTTCACCATTTGCTCCAAATTTTCCAGATAAAATTTGTATTGGCTAACTAGCCCTTCTTCAAATTCTCTTAATTTCTGGGTTTCTTTGCGGACCTGAAAAGATCAAAAAGACCATTTTTAAAATCAGAAATTAAAAATTAGCACAAAATATGAGTGGTTCATAAATGTCCAGTGGAGTTAAAAAATCATCTATAGTTCCCAAAAATTTTTATTTTTTTCCTTGCAGAAAATTTGAAATTGTTAAAATTAATTTCAGTACTTTTTAAACTTTTGAAAATTGGGAATTAAATCTAAGGAGTACTGAGCTATATCCTCAGATCACTTTTTTTTTTTCCCTCAGATCACTTCTAAGACATGTTCTCACTAAGCCGCCAACACCAGCCTCAAACTTGTAATCCTTCTATTAGAATTACAGCTAGAATTACAGTCACGCACCTGCTACTACACAGTCCCTCAATTTATTTTACACAGTAATTATATCTTACATCACCTTAGTAGATTTTTCTGCTTCTGTGAGGGGCCGAATTTTATATGAAGGAGTAATGTCCTTAAATAGCTCCATCAGAGAAATTATCACCAACTTTCGAACTGTAACAGCCACATCAGGATCTTGTTCCATCAGCAAGGAACGTAACTCTTTTAGTTTTTTAATCTGTTAAAGAAATAATTTATAAGGCTATAGAAACAATTCTGAATGAAACAGCCTCATATCTGGTATTAAGTTTCAATTAACCTAATGATCAGAAGTTTAGTCAAGCCACAGCAACACTTCAGATACTATTTATGTACCAACAGAGACATTACTTAAACTTCAAGGTAAACATATTTTGTTATACGAGTAGTTGGAAAAATAAAGGGCTTATTAAAAAGTTTAACTTTGTTAGCTTACCTAATTTTAGAAATTCTTTTATACTGAGTTTTCTTAAAGCATGTTTTCCTAAAAATTCTTTGTAATGTATTAAAATGTCATACATACCAATCAAATACATTAATCACACACACGACTTAAGGATAGTCAGCCACATCAATTTCAACAAGGATCATACAAAGAAAATATGTATGATACAATATAGAAGTAAAAAAAATGTTTTGGTTGTTTTGATGTTACTACTGTCTGTTGGAATATTTTAGGGTTTTTGTGGAGTTTCTTTCTTTTCTTTTTGTAGTACTAAGGATGGAACACAGGGCCTCACATACACTAATCAAACACTACCCCTGAGCTACATCCCAGTTCTACTTTTTACTTTATTTTATTATGGTCTCCTTAAGATGTCCAAACTTGCTTTGAGTTTGCAGTCTTCCTGCCTGAGACTCCCAAGTAGCTGGGATTATAGGAATGGACTACCATTCACACTCCACTGGAATGGTAACTTGAAAAGCAACGTTCTGGTTGTTTACTGTCATGAGGTGAGTGACGGATACACCACCACATATCACTATTCCTAAATTGTGTGAAATAAGCATAAGGCTCCAAACTATTAGAAGGCCTAAATTCCAATCTACTGGTTGTTAAAATGGGGGGAAAAATCAATTTAAGTTGCAAAATGAATTTTAATTGTAAAATGAAACCAATAGAATGTGTCTCTGCAGTTTTATAATTAAAGACTATACAAGTGAAAAATACTCCACTTCCCTGATTCTACTCCAATTTTTTCCCCTTAATAGAAAAAGACCAGTACCGCTATAAAGCATACCCATTTGAAATTTTTTCTGTTACTGTAAATTATGTATTTTATCATTCAACAAACAAATACTTGTCACAGCAGGTTCTGGAAACACCAGTAATAACACCACTTTCTAAGACATTATAACTTTTCATATAATCATCACAACAAAGTTTTGTAATAGATACTATCTTCTTTTTTAAAGATGAGGAAATTAAGTCTTGGGTAAAATGACTTACACAATGTCTCACAAACTGCACCTAGCACAGCCAACACTAAACTTCAGGTCTCTGAAGTTCACATGTTGTATCACATGTTCTGCCATTATACTGTATTCAAGAACCAGTAATAATTCACTGCAGGCTTGGTCCTATTTCACTTAAAATATTTTTCACTTAAAAATATTCCTAACAGATGGGCATAGTGCACACAACTATAAGCCCAGCATAGCACCTGGGAAGCTGAGGCAAGAGCATTACTCAGAGTTTGAGGCTAACCTGGCTACATAGTGATTTCCAGGCCAGCCTGAATACTACAGTAAGAGCCCAGCACAAAAAAATTTTTTTTTAATTTTATACACACACATACATTCCTGAATTCCACTGACTTTTGTGTAGCATGTTCCTTATTAAAAACTATGGAGCCAGGAATTTGGCTTAGCAGCATAATGATCTGTCCAGCAAAGGCAAAGTTACAAGTTCAATCCGCGGTACCAAAAAGAGTAAGAGAAAAACCTCTAGAGATTAGCAAACTTGCAAGTAGGTTCGTCCACCCTAATACCTTTAATGTTTAGAAACTTACTACTGTTAGAGTTACCACAGTAATCTGATATCTTCACTTGAAAAAAATGAGGAAAATAAGTATGACTCAGTTTAAGTGACTTTTCCAAGATTACAATAGAAATTAAGTTCAGATGTAGGATAAAGGTAAGATTCTCTCTACTGTCAGCTCCTTTGTTATGTTCTCTTTGTGCACGTTAACAGGCAGTAAAAGTCTTAATATGTAACATGTTTATAAGCTATCTCATATGAAGCGCCTAAAGAAATACATGCTACCTACATTACTTTCGGGATCTGACAATATGGCAGATGCCAAGGTTGCAATATGAATTTTCTTTTCCTGCAGTTTCTTCTTCCTCTCAAACAAATGTTCTTCTATAGTCAGCTCTCGAATAGGCTCTTCAATGGTCTCTGGAACAGATTCAATTTTTCTCCTTTAAACATTCCTTTACTTATAACAGCTAAGAAAATTAATAATCTTCTTATAACAGTAATGATAACAATGAAAGTAAGAATTTTATGTTCATTACTATATATCTATATATCATCCTTTCAACAATTACATACAACAGGTAAAATCATCTGACTCATTTTGTAGATAAGGAAATAAGAAGCAAAAGGAAAGGAAATAATTGAGTTAATATCATCAGCCTAACAGAAATGAAATTCAAATTCTAGTAATACTGTTCTACAGCTCACATTCTTAACTGCAGTGTTAATAAACTGCAGTTAAACTTACATGAAATTAAACAAAAGGGAAATCAGATTTACTTTTTTTAAAGTACAAATTATTATTAGTTTTCAACTGTATGTAGTACTTTTAATTACACAAAACATGTCTGACTTAAGAAGTTCACACAGAATTTAATAAGCACACAAATATTAACTATAATGAGAATATGATGAATGACTAAAAACAAGTTAAATAACTGACCTGCAATTTCATTTACACTATTATTGAAGTTTGCTAAACAAAGGTAAAATGTAACCAGTTTGTTCTTTCAGGAATTCTAAATGAACATGGTTTCAAACAGTGAAATTTGTCCTTTCTTACTTTTATTACTTAAAACTGTTCTAACTTTTAGAAATCCACATTTAGTGATCTAACAGACATATACCAACTATAATTGCTCTAGTAATGAACTAATGATTCATACAACAGAATTATTTTTGTAACTTAAAGCTAAAAAGTTATTATTTATTAGTAGGTAGGTCCTTATCTTATAATTAAAAGAAATTCAGAACAATTAAAAGTTGTAAATATTTCCATAATAAAGTATCAAAATCCCATACACCTTTCAAATGTGCAAAAATGTTCAAAATGATCTTTAAATAGCAATACTCCAAAACATACATACCAGATATTGCTGAAAATTAACTCACATTTATTAAAATTTATTTTAATTTATTATTAAAATAATTAAAAATCATTTAATTTATTAAAAAATTAATTCTGACTTAAAAATTTAGTCATTGTAAAGATGCATCCTATTACCTTCCTCAAGTTCCAGTTCTTCTTCTTGATCTTCTTCATCTTTGTTACTGTTAACAACTATTTGGGCAAAATGTATGTATTAAATTATGATCAAATATACCTAAGTCATGAGACCATAAAGAAAAACAAAGAAATGATTATCATATAACTTAAGATAGTAACTATGTCTATGGGGAAGGAGCAATTAATAATTAAAGGGAGTACAGTAAAAGGTTCTACATGCCAGTAGTATTTATTTCTTGCCTAGATTTCCTTCCTGGTTTTATGAGGGTATATACTTTATGATAAACCATGTAACTTCATATGTTTGATTTCTTCCTATGTAGTTTATTTCACAAACATACACAAAAATATACATTAAAATTGGTCAAGGGGCCAGGTGTGGTGGCTCATGCCTGTAATCCCAGCACTCAGGAGGCTGAAGCAGGAGGATCGTTGTGAGTTCGAGACCAGCCTGGGCTACAAAGTGAGCTCAAGGCCAGCTTGAACTGCATAGAGACCCTGTCTCAAAAAGACAAAAAAAAAAAAAAAAAAAAAAAATTGGTCATAGGAAGTGGAGGACACACATGTAAGCCCACCACTACAACAGAAGGCTCATGAACTCAAGGCCACCTTAGGTTATACACTAAGTTCAAGGCCGGCCTAGATTATAACAAACAAATACCACACATGTTTTAAAAAGAAGGTCAAATGGATTAATACGCTCTGAGTTAGGCCAGGAGGTAGCTCCCTTGTAGACTGCTTACTGAGGGCATACGTAAGGCACTGGGTTTGAGCCCAGCACTGCAAAAGAAAACAAAGCAAGTTTGGTAAATTTGCAATGAAAATCAAACTTTCAGCTTCAGTTATACTCATAGTACAACATATATCTTATATAATCATCTCTACTTCTAGTCAAAATCTAGCTTGCTATATGACTAACTGCAGCTACACCTTATGTAGACATAAACGAATGTCAACATAAAACTGAAGTGTGAATCAAAAAATTGATTTTAATACTAGAAGCTAAATACATCACTCAATTAGACTCACCGAGTTTCTCCCTGGTCTGTGGGATTATACCACTTTTATCTTTGATAGGAAGCAAGTGAATCAGTTCCTTCTCTGGTGCAGTTTGCAGAGTTCTTGGTATTTTTTCGTATTTATCAATGATGCGCTCATGCTTTCGTTTCTTGGCATGAACTGGCTCACTGCAGAAAAATAATTCTACTTTCAATTTCAAAATACCTTAAAAAGGTTAGTGAGAGTATGAGGTAGTACAACCATTATGGAAATCGATACAGAGATTCCTCAAACTAAAAACAGAAATTCCATTTGAACCAGTTACTCGCCTTCTATTAGGTTTTTCAAGAGTTAAAATCTTATTACAGGCCCGGGATATAGCCAAGTGGCACAAGAAAATGTATTTACCTACACAATGGAGAACTACTCAGTCCCAAAAGAGGACAAATTTGAGTCATCTGTAGGAAAATGTATGCACCTTGAGACTGTTAAGTGAAACAGATATAGCTTAAATAGCACAGTTTCTCCTATATGAAAAACTCAAACTATAAAGAAGAAAATAAAAGATAAATAACAAAAAATAGGGAGATCTTTAGCAAAAGGGAAAGGAACTAAGAGACCAAAGGAAGGGAGAGGAGAAAAAGAACTGAGAAGTGTTATTACATGAACCAACTCCCCATTAAGACTGCAATCATAATGTACTACAAACATGCACCAGTAAAAAATAAAAATTGAAAAATATATGTATTTTTTTTTTTTTGTCTTTTTGAGACAGGGTCTCACTGTGTAGTTTAGGCTGGCCTTGAGTTCATTTTGTAGCCTAGGCTGGTCTCAAATTCGCAATGATCCTCCTGCCTCAGGCTCCCAAGTGCTGGGATTACAGGTGTGAGCCACCATGCCCCGCTGAAAAAAAAAAGATATATATATATATATAGATAGATAGATAGATAGATAGATAGATATAGATATAGATATATAGATAGATAGATATGATATATATATATATATATCTTTTTTTTATTTAAAGAGGAAAAAAAGGACATAAAAAAACAAAGCAGTAAAAGGGTACAAATAATACAGTATTTCAAGAAAAAAAAATATACAGTAAGAAATCACCAATTAATGTTACATATTATCTTCCCAGAAACAGTTGTCCAAATTACAAATTAAAGCATATAAAGTGGACATTCATACAGTGAAATTGGAGACAGTTCCATTCAATGATCCAACAAAAGCTCAGTAATATAGTTTTCCATCCTACATACTGGAACGTACCTGCAGTTATATTCCTTAGTCCACCTTCCTTTCCTCTCTTTTTTACAATAACAATTAAACTTTATGGATTTTATTACTCCCACGGTTCTTATTAGTTTTTTTGAAGAAAATAAAACCAAATGTGACTAACCAAAACAGAGTCAGTTAGAACAGAAGGGTGGGCATACCACATGATGCAAAAAAGAATACCAGGTGATCAAAAGTGGTTACCATTGTGCCTCTTGCTATTTTTAAGTTGTCTATCAGCAGGTATAATAGAATTGATCAAAACAGTACAGAACAAGACCAATAAAACCTACACTGAAGACTTTGCAGGACTTCAAAAAAAGGATAATAGTCAAACCATAATGGGCATCATAGTATATCTTATTGCCTTCAAAGTGGTTGCCTATACTCTCAAACTTGATACTAGCAAACAAAATAGAATATAGAATAATCAGAACAAGATAGGGAAAGCAATAACTGGGGTTTAAATCAGATTAATAGGAAAACCAAGAAAGTTACTATAATGTCCCGCTATTTTTAATTTAGTTTTCTCTTAATTAAAAAAATGAGAGAAAATAGATTAATTTTTTAAAAAGGGGCGGAGATTGAGATAAGAGAGGACATTGTAACAGAACAACGCAGGGCAGAACCAAACCATTCAAGCATCTTTGTGTTTCACCACCAGATAATCTAACATAATAGTAGTCACCATAGAGCCTCCTTCCTTGAATTATTTGTGTAACTTCATATGCTATAACATCAAGCATATCAAGACAGTGTGAAGCCATTCAAGAGAATGCAAGAATTACAGGGTGTTTAGAACCAGCTAATAGAAAACCAACAATGGTTTCTTTATTATCTCTTTGCCTATAAAGAATTTTGTTTATACTATAGCTTATAGTGAAATATAGTAAGATACAACATGTTAAAACCAGTGGAAACAGATGTACCACAGCTTGATGGGACTTCAAAACAAGATGATATTAAATCAGCACTAGCTTTTATGTTGTGTTGTTTTCTTCAAAATAGTTATTTGTACTATCATAGATACTAAAATCAAACAACCCAGGTTAAAACCATTGCGGTTAATGAGTGCAAACATTATATGGCTTCAAACCAATATGATTGGGAATCATGATTACCACATAATTTTATGTATTCTTATCCTTTCTTACACTAGGGAAACTATTTAGTATTTATACATGTGAGTTTGATTTATTTCACTTATGAGTATGGTCTCAAGCTGCGTCCATTTATTTATAAATGTCTCAATGTAATCATTCTTTATAGCTGAGTAGTACTCCATTGTATAAAAATACCACAATATATCTTAACATATTTCCACCAGCTTGAATCACTAGTGGTTATATGATTATCCCACTAGGCAGCTTGAACCACTGGTGCCTTATCATCTTATATTGGTCTTAAATTATAATACTTATTTCATTAAACATATTAATATTCATGAATAATTCACAAATAATTAACTTTTCAAATTTTATTTTATTAGTTTATTTTTTTGGTCTTTTTCGTTTTTTATCGGTACCAGGGATCGAACTCACGACTGCCTGCTTGCAAGGCAGGCGCTTATGCCGCTGAGCTAAATCCCCAGCCCCAACTTTTCAAATTTTAACATAAACATCCACTGCCAATGTATACAATATTGATTTACAATTGCTATACCACAAACAGGATACAATTTTTCTATAATTTATTTTTTTGAGACAGTGTCTCACCATGTAGTCCAAGCCAGCCTCCAATTCATAGCAATCTTTCTGCCTCAACCTCCCACGGGATTACAGGTGTGCACCCCATCCCTGAAAATCATTTTAATGTTTTCCTTAAAGAACCGTAATATAACAATATCTGGTCGGCTCAATCAGTGACTTTATTTGCATTACTGTAATCAAAGATCCTCTGAGAAGTGGTACAAGTTACCATGGGACAGTCATGCACCACCACCATTCTTTCAAGTCAGTGGAAGCAATCGAATTCAAAGCAGAACCGTTTGGTAGCAAGATATACAAATTACAGCCCCATAGTGGACATGTTAAAAGATACCTAAAGGCTTAACATTTTACCTTTGAAATGAGTTAGGAACCCAATGATAGGCTCACTCCCTATTCCTGCAAAGCAAAAAATCCAAACACAACTTTTTGGGGTTTCTTTAGATTTTGTTTTGTTTTGTTTTTTGCAGTACTGGGACTTGAACTCAGGGCCTCTTTACAGAGCTACACCCCCAGTTCTTTTTTTTTTTTTTTTAAGAAAGAGTTTTTGCTAACTTGCTAAATTGTCCAGGTTAGGCTCAAAGTTGAGATCCTTTGTCTTAGTCCCCACAGTGTGCTGGGATTACAAATATGTACCACCAAACCTGGCTCCAAGGACAACTTTTGACTCCCCAGAAGTTTAATTACTAATAGTCTGCTACCGACTAGAAACCTTAGTAATGAAAGTTAATTGTGATCATATCCCAGATAAACTTCATTGGCTACAATACTGTGTAAAGCTACAACGCACATAGTGAAAAATTGTTGAGAACCATGAGCGATCACTTTATACTGTGACCTAAAATTCACTAGTAATGAGCCACTCATACTTAAATAATTTTTATCACAGCATTTTCAGCGGATACTCAGAACACTTGAGTTCATCACAACAGTAATAGAACACTGCTATAAAATTAGTAATTATGCAGTATATACCAGTTAATTTTACACTTATGATTTAATACTACATCTTTAAATTTGTTGTATTTCTTTTAACTGGGAATGGTGCCATGAATGAGTTGACCATTTGGATAAGTACATTTTTTTTTTTGTCTTTTTCTTTTTTATCGGTACCGGGGATCGAACTCACGACTGTCTGCTTGCAAGGCAGACGCTTATGCCGCTGAGCTAAATCCCCAGCCCCTGGATAAGTACATTTTGATAATTTTACTTGTTATAATAGATTGGTACATAGTTTATGGTATAAATAAAAAACCAGTAATTATAGATATTTTATATACTTGTGACATTCCTTTCAACTTGATAACTGGAGACTACTCAATTCTTCTGTGGTTTTTTTCAAACTATCACAAATTTCAAGAAAAAAAAATCTACATATAAGCAGAACCCTACAGTTGAAAGCCATATTGTTGCAATACAGCAACTATGGGGAATTTTCTTCTGTCTTGTTCTTCAAATCCAGTGGTATGGGCAGCAATTTTGAAGATAACAAGAGGCATTACAGTACCAATTGTTGATTGCCTATTATGCAGTTTTGAAATCCTATATCACTTTCACTGCTTTGTTTTGACTGGCTTTATTGTTTTACTTTGTTTGGTTTTACTCTCTTTAAAATAAAAAAAAAAAAAAACAAAAAAAAGCCATATTGTTCAAGGGTCAATTATACAGAAAAGTAAAACCATCTACTGACACACAATTATCAACAGATACATAGATATCAGTACTTAGTGCTAAGTGCCAGTACTTAGGGCAACTGAATAAATGAATTATCCTGGCACACAGCAGGCACTTAAACTGCAAATAAATAAATGAATTATGTAAAGAGGCTACTATGAAGACTCAAAACTACATCTAGCTACATCTAGCTTTCCTAAATGGAAAATAAAGGTGAAAATTACAACAAACTCCTTTTGAGTAATATTCTGCAGAGCCAAGGATGACATTATGTTTTTTTACATTTCCCAAATCTTTCAAAGCCTAGCACAAACTTTGGAGATTAAAGTCTAGATCTACTCCATGATTGTGGAGGAAGAATCAATGTTCCCTATAGAAATGAGACTAATAATACCTAACAAGTTAATGGCATTAAGTGAGATCATGGTCAATAGAACGCAGGACTGTTTCACAAATTACTTACATAGAACAGCATTCTTCCCTATTCAGTATATTTCACTGCTGAGATTCAAATTTCCTTTACTTAGAGAACAAAATGAGTTAACAGTTTACTCTTTGTAAACACTGCTAAGAGGTGAACATCTTGAACTAGTCAATTAGATAAAATTCAGAACCAAATTTGTAAATGATAATCCAAAGGAAGTATTACCTAGAAGAAAGATCTCTTGTTAAAAAAGATACTCTTTGTCCTAAGTCCTTCATTAACTGTAAATCATCTTCATCCATCATATCTAAAGGAAGAGCTTCCTCTTCTTCCTCTTCTTCCTTCTCCAGCCTTTTAACTGTTCCACAAAAGAAAATACAAATTTAGACATTTAGATCTGTACATGTATGCACATGTACAGCTTTATTTTTTCTAACCCTTAGTCCAGTGTTTCTTATTAGTACTCCTAACGTACTGGGCACGACACAGTAATTCTTTGTGGTACTGGAATGCCAAAAGCATTCATTGTAACAACAAAAAATAAATGTTTTTACATATTCTGAGATGTCTCTTGGGACACATGAGAATCAATGACTTATTTCCTTAGTGTCTCTTATCTCTCAGGCTTTTGCTTCCATTCTACTTCAGCTATCTCTCCTTGGTCCTCATTCTACTGTAGATACCACCTTTTATCCTTTTAGCTTTCAGTTACTTCTAGTGCCCTTCTTCATTAACCAAACATACAGATTCTTCAATCCTATAACCACTCCGCTTTGTGTTCTGTCTTCACTATCTGTGACTGCACAGTAACCATTTTAATCATTTTTATGCCAATATTCTCAAGTACTTTTTTCTACACTGAAGACATTCACATCTAACAAGAAAATCTATTATAGATCACTGAATTTCCTTTTCTGCTCATTGTCTTGGTTGCTTGCTCTCTCACAAAAAGAATGCTAAGTGCCAGAATTAACCTTATAAATGTTGAAGACTCAACTAGGAAAAAAAAAAGAAAAAGGCAATGAGTGAGGTCCACAACAGAACTTAAAATTCTTCCCAATAGCAGTAAGACTGGTATTTATTGCTATATAAATGTACACATTGCATAGAATCAAACTTTCACTTGCCTTAAATGAGCATTTCATTTCTCAAACATACTAGCAATCAGTGTTGCCTTGGTCAATTTTTACTCTTCCACAGGAAACTTTTCATATATCATCACACTTCTAATCCCACACCCACTTCATACTCAGAGGACTTAACTTCCTACTGTCATGAGAAAAAAGATCGTAAGTTAAGAGCTTTAATCTCCCATACCTAATTAAATACCATGTACATCTATCTTTTCCCTATTCTTGTTTATTAAGCTGTCTGACAGAGTTCACTTGGATGCTGAACTGTAAGAATAAAGAAAATTTTTGCTTTTATTATGAAATTATTAGCAATCGTACTTTCAAAGTATAAAACTTACATGGAAGAACTTTTTAAATTCACCCAATTCTTTTTTTACTTATTTAGAGATGAAGTGACAAACCAAGTTCATACAGCTAACAAGTAACAAAATTAAGAGAAAAGCCTCTTCCTGACTTCTAGTCTAATGACCTGTCATACATCAAAGTAATAAGTGGCCAAGGAATCAAACTTCTTAGGACTGAATGAGATGAACACTTTAAGAGTGGTTATTTAGTAAAAAGACTTAAGTCACATATGAGTATCTTGAAAGTACCAGTAAAGTTGTAGAACTGGCAACTCAAAATGATCATATTATTTTTATTTTGAGAAGAGGGAGTTCTTGGATAGTATTGCAAAATAATTTCGATAATTACTGCTCAATTTTACTCCTAGTTTAGAAGTGAAAAGTCAAAAATTTAGAAGGAAAATACAACTGAGCAACTCTGTGAAGAGAGTGCACCAGACAAAATCAGTGTTCTTACCTAAGTTAAGTACCAGTGAGTGAGAAGATGAAAGCACTGGCCAAATGCCCAACATTTATTCACGTGGCTGTCCTATTTTCAAGTAATGCATCTTTAGATTTGTTTTCTAGACAAACTAAAAGCAGAGACTAGTATTTCTCACTCTGAATTCTATCCTTAAATGTTCCATTATACTGATAGTAACAACATACCAGGATTCTCTCCTTAACTACTCTTAGGAAGATCTGAGAACAGGAGTGATTACTAGAAAGCAAAGTTATTTCCATGAAGAACATTTCAGAATAATTCAATGGAAAGTAGGCCATGTGATTACTCTCACAATTACCTGGTGGTATTTTCTTTGGGTCCTCCAAAGGGATGGGATTTTTAGATACAGCATCTTTTACAGCTTGCCTTAGTTTCCTCTGTTCTTTTCGGTACTTCTTGAGAGAGCTTTGTTGTTTAAATTGCTTATTTTTTAGCTTGTTTTCAAGTTTAACTTTACTAGTTTTCAGTAATTTGCGAAAGCTTGGAACCTGTTTTTTATTTCTTCTCTACAAAACAGTAACAAAGGGTAAGAAATTTCAATTATTTTTTTGTTTAAATCAGGTTGAAGAGAATTGATTTTAAATTTCATCAGACCAGTTTCACTACTGTAATGCCTCACAGCTCTGGGTGATAATATGAAGAGCTGAAACCAAACACAGTGGCTCCATGCTGGAAATTCTAGCACTCTGGAACACTAATGCAGGAGGATCACAAATTTGACTAGCCTGGCCAATTCAGCAACTTAGCGAGATCCTTTCTCAAAATAAAAAACAAAAAAGGTTTAAGGATGTACCTCATCACCAAGGCCTTTCATTCAATCCGCAAAAGTAAGTAAGTAAGAAAGAAAAGTTAAAATCAAATTATGAAAGTAACCCTACAGAACGGCATTGAAGCATCAGCTGTTCCACCTGGGAATGAGCCCAGAATCTACAGCTACTCACATGGGTCTAACAGTTTAAGAAAAGTAAACAATCTCTGACTCACGGTAAACGGTTATTCCAGGGATATAGTCAGATCTGTGGACTAAGACATTAAGGGAAAAAATGGCTAACGACCAATATTTACATACTGTTTTATCACTGACGAAGTGCTCCAACCAATTACCTCCAACTACCTAGTAAGCGCTGTTATCCTCACATTTGCGACGAAGCAGCAAAGGCATTGAGACATGTCATTTGCTACAGATTCTAAACTAAGAAAAGCAAAACTGAATTCCATTCAAACTTTATTCAGAAATTCAAATCCTAGCATTCTCTTAATTTTCAGTGAGAATCCGGGCAAATTACTAGCTTTCCTATCTACTCCTTCAAATGAAGTAGTTTCAGGTCCTCTAACTACATCAAACACTCGTTAAGGGGTACATTTTGCTTCTCATTTGTTTGAAGAATTCGAAATGAGACCTAGAATAACCCTTCAAAGTCCGCCACACTGTGGGTACAAGACTCAGGGCTTGTCACAATGCGGACTCCTGAAGCTGTTGGGAGCACACAGTGGGCGACGAAGACAACAAGGATCTGAAGGCTGACCTTACACACATCCTGAAGGGACCCCCATTTAGGCGACCGCCCCCTGCACAAGGGTGGAAAGATAAACTTGGCTGGAACTCTATTAGCCAAAGTAGTCCTTAAGGAACCGGACCTGGACTCCGGAGGATACTTACCGCCTTCATCCTTAGGCCTGAAGGAAGTCCCGACCTAATAACCCCTCCAAGGGTAGAGGTAATCCAGGAACCTCTGGGACTGACGCACGTGCAGAACCCAACAAACTTCCAGACCCGGAAGCGGCCTTCGGGTCCGCCTCCGCCGCCGGAAATGGGAGGCGGGACTTCCGTAGGCTGCTTAGGTGCACGCCCTCTCGCGGTGACTGACCCCCCACCCTGGAAGGCTGATCCCGCGGCGAGAGCGCGCGTAATGGCTCCAGGTGACAGCCGAGGCGGGTGTTTCTTAAGAGGTTCCTTGAGTCTGGTTCTTTCGCTCTGACCAGTTTTTCTTGAAGAAATCATGCTCCTACTCTCTGAATGTGAAAACTTGACTTTTTACATCACCTCACTGTGTTCTGTGCGCTTCACTCACGTGGCTTATCTCATTCTGTTAAAAGGTCCTGATTTTCCTTAATCTTTTCCTTCCTAAAATTTTGAGGACAGAGTGAAGCTTATTCCTTGTGTTTATCTCACCTTCCTGAAAGGTACTCTGGGTGTGTTTGTGGAATGACAAGTGATTTCTTATCACCTTGTCATTCGAAAGAGTGTGATTTTTGCTCTTTTATTTTGAAATGTATTTTTTTTTCTTTAACTTCAACCTCGTTATTTGGTAAAGAACTGTATCTGTGAGGCTCAGCTGGATTTCATCATTGTATAACCATTACCTTTGGATAAATTCTACTTATCTGCTTCTGCCAAAGTCATTAATTCTTACAGGAAAATTTATGCATTGCAAGAATGTTTTTCAAATTCTTGTCTTTTCCCAAGACTGTTTTTCCTGGAATAAATTTAAGGATTCCATGTCAGAGCTCTGTGTGTGTGTGTGTGTGTGTGTGTGTGTGTGTGTCTGTAAAGCATAGGAAAATTCATTGGAGAAAAGGAATGGGGAATAGGAATGGGAGAGTGGGGAACAGGAGTAGCTACTGAGAGACAGGAATCCCTAGTGGGTTGCTGGTGTGTGTGTGTGTGTGTGTGTGTGTGTGTGTGTGTGTGTGTGTGTGTGATTTAAGCATGTGAATCCCCTTCCTCCCCCAGTACTAGGAATTAAATCCAAAGCCTTTGTACTGAGTTACATCCCAACACCCCTCAACACACACACACACACACACACACACACACACACCCTCCTGCCTCAACCTCCCAGAGTGCTGGAATTACAAGTGTGTGCTACTACACCCAGCTAGCATATGACTGTTGGTCACATGGTCACAATTGGCCTCACAATCCAGAGCAGGTGAAAAAAAGCCAGCAGTCTCCAATGTTTCTGAGGTCACTGATGTTGTTGGTCTTACAAAGATTTCGAAGAAATTTGCCAACTTTTGCAACCCCTCTCAGAGACCAAGAGTTCCCTTCTTTCCACCTCCCTTCATTTCTTTCCACACCCTGCCTGTGAAAGAAAGGGAAGAGCCTGTCCCACTGGAGTATTACTTCACCAAATAAATTGAAAACATCAGCTGGTGTTCTTCTCAAGTGCCTGAATTCTTTCCTAAATCTTTCAACGTATCTACAGTTACTCCCATCCTTTCAGCTTCCATCTAGACTTGCCAAGTCATTCCAATGTAAAACCAACTTAGGAAAACTTCTTCAGACTCTTTTTTTAAACCAAAATAGAAAAAAAAGATAGAAATGATATAGAATTTCAAAAAAATATGAAATTAACACTAGTTTATATGTTACATATTGTTATCTTAGAAGTAGTTCAGGTTACAAGATCTAGGCATAAAAAATGATCAATCGGGGCTGGGGATTTAGCTCAGCGGCATAAGCGCCTGCCTTGCAAGCAGGCAGTCGTGAGTTCGATCCCCGGTACCGACAAAAAGGAAAAAGACCAAAAAAAAAAAAAAAAAAACCAAAAAAAAAAATGATCAATCATATGACAGCACAAATTGTTCTTTTTGATAAACAGATAAGTAGTATGGTTGTCTACCTTGCATATATATATATACAAACATACATTTATATATCTATACCTACATACACATAATCTTTTCCTTTCTTCCTTTACTTCTTTCTCCTATCCCAGTTGTTCTGTTTTTGAGCACTTTCTTACCCTTTCACTATTATAATATCTATTGTACATTTTAGATTCTATTAGTCTTTCAGGCTTTTAAAAAATTTTTTACACTAGGAAGACAATATATTTATAAATGTGAGTTGATTTATTTTATGTTTGAGTATTGTCTCAAGTTGCCTCCATTTACCTATAAAAGTCTCAAGATTATCCTTTGTATAGCTGAGTAATAGTCCATTGTATAAAAATACCACATCTTTTAATCCGTTCTACGGTTGATGGGCATTTGAATTGTTTCCAAGATCTATTACAAATTGTGCTGCTATAAACAGGGGTGCACATATGTCACTGTGGCATGATATTCTCAATTTTTCTGGGAAAATACCCAGAAGCAGAATACCTGGATTCAGTGAGACATCCAATCCTAGTTTGTGATTCCTACTAAAATCTTAATTTCTTAAAAAATCTTGATTTCTTAATTCTATTGTCTCCAATAGAATAACAATTCTTTTGCTATCTCACACTCAATCCACTAATAATCCCAGGTTGTGCTCCTTATCCTCATGGATCCTTCAGAATTTCTCTGGACTCAGGGATATGGGTACATGGGGCTATCTCAAACTAGCACTGCAAGGATATATTCAGAGGTCTCTTAACCCATCTAGGCCAGAGGCTGTAATTTAGTGCAGAATGCTTGTTTAACATGCACAAGGCCAAGGGTTACATCCCCAGTATAGCAATCAAATAAAAACAAAATGGAACAAAAAACTTTTAAACTGGGAGAGATGGCACACGCCAGTAATCCCAGCATTTGGGAGGCATAGACAGGAAGATCACCGAGTTCAAGGCCAGCCTGAACTACATAGTGAGCCCAAAGCCAGCCTGAAATACACAGGGAGACCCTTTGAAAAAAATTTGACTCTGCCCATAACATTTCACAGAAACTGATCTCATCAAGGCTAGATTGTTGGAGTTTCTAAAATGCAGTTAACTTTATGTTTCTCTTTTCTTAACTTCGCTGGATCTATCTGCTGCATTTTATACTACTACTTATGTATTCTTTGTCACATTAGAATGTTGATTTCTTTAGCCTTCCCAACATCTTCCCAAGGTTCTCCTTCTACTTCCATTTCTTTGTCCTCATGCCTCTTCAGTGTAGGAGATTCTCAGGATTCTACTCTTGACCCACTTTTCTACTTCTTGTTCTATTTTGCTTGTTCTTTTTCCCTTCCAGAATGTTCTCATCAATCTATCTGTTGAAAAGATGTGCTCAGCCTGTACCTTTCCTCCAAGCTACAGTCTTATAGTCAGTTTTAGACATCTCCATGTGGAAACTGGGAGCCTTCAAATCACTGTGTTGAAAAGGGAATTACTTTTTCCTTTACAGTTCTTCAAAAATTTCTTACTTCATTTGGATATAGAGAGCTAGGATCCCAAGACACCAGAGAAAATGCCAGGGCTTTCATGGTCATTCACCATATTGTAGTTCTTCCTCCTTCTCCTTCACCTCTTCCTCCTCTTGTTTTTATCCTCTTTTTCCTCCCCTTTCTTCTTGCTCTTTCTTCTCTTCCTCCTCCTTTCTTTGTCTTCCTTCTATTTCTTTAATAAACAAACATACTTGAAAACGGCCACTAAATTTGTACAGTACAATATAGATTCTGTTAGTCCAGTCCACAAGAGAATTTATGTAATTTATAACAAGGAACTACTTGAATATTTGCCTCTTTGGAATATCAATATAATGATGAAAGAAGCCCATTCCTTTGTATCCCAAATTAGAAAACAAAAGTGTTATCATTGTCCATTATGTTGGACATAAAAGGATCAGGCAAGCTCCATGACAGCTCACCCTAGTGGGACCTCAGGGAAGACACAATAGGCAAAAATTAAAGCAACAATTACTATCACTACAAATCATTGAGAGTAGTAGCCCATAGTGTTGTGCAATATATACCCTCCCTTAGGTCAAAGTGCTTGACCATGTTCAACCTTCTTTTTGTTTCCCCTTCTAAGATTTGGGAGATGGGAGGAGACTAGAATCTCTGATCATACCTTTGCCAAACTGCAGTAGTTAAGGAAAGAAATATTTCACTATGATTTAAAGTTACCTTGAAGGGCTTGGGATCTAGCTCAGTGGCACAATGCCTGTGTGACAAAGCACAAACTCGTGAGTTTGATTCCTGGTACTAAATAAAATAAAATAAAATCAGAATTAAGTTACCTTGAGTTCCAAAGCACAGGAATTTCATAAAAAATAATTCCAAGGTATCAATCTTATAGAATTCTAAATCTTTCACCTACTAATTTATAAAAATAAGCTACTTATTTATTTGTAGCCTGTTATAAGGGATCTAGTCTAGAACTTAGTTGCATGGTTACCAATGTACTCAATAGAAATAAAAAACTATTAAAAGGTAGTGATGATTCCATTTGTGACATCTCATAATGTGAGTTCTTTATGATCATGCCAGCGTGTCACTTGAGACTATCTTCACAGAAATGTAGAGATGTGGACAACATATCTGAATCTGATTCTCTAATTGAAATTGGATTTCATTCTAATATATGTTTCTATGTGACTGTGCCTTTAGTTTTCCTTCAAATGATGATTACCACATAGAAACTAAGAACCCATAATAGACTCAAAATAGATGTTTTATTTCCCTTATGAAAAATTATTAAATGGTATATGGTATTATTAATATAAATCTCCAATACTCCAACATCAAGAACTTGAAGAGATATCTGCCATGGCCTCTACCTTTAACAATGTTAAAATATAGCTGAGAAAAATTATATGATTGAGCAAGATAGTTATGTATAACCAAATAGAGAATACTAGAAGAGATCTACAATTATTAGAGAAAATGATAGAATAATGTATACTTAAAGGGAAATTGTAGACATGATAACATTCAGATACATGGGCTAACATATTAAAAGAGCAAGGTCACACAAAAAATGCACATAATGTCTATTTTGGTGAACCAGAAATGAAGTTGCTTAAAACAAGTAAGTAGGCTAAACACAGTGTACTCTCCCTTTCCACCCACACATGAGAGTACATCAAGCCATGGATTTCAAGCCATCTCTGTATTTTACTTTC